CGCCGCCGTGCACGCTTTCCTCCGCTGCAGCGAAGCGCTCAAAGCCATCGGCCGCGAAAAGCTTGCTTTAGTCATGACAAGCTTCTTTGACGACTTCACCGTCCTTACGCGCAGCGCGCATTCAAAGCTCGTCACGTTGGCAGTGTCCAACCTTTTTCACAAGCTGGGATGGCAAGTGGCCACAGAGCCCAAAAAGAACGCAGACTTCAGCGAAGTTTTTGACGTGCTAGGCGTGCGAGTGGACTTGTCCAAGCAGCACCTCGGAGAAATCTCAGTGAGCAACAAGCCAACCCGTGCAGCAGAGCTGGGGTTGGTCCTCAGCGAGGCCCTCGCCCGCGGCAGCATGTCCCCCTTGGAAGCGCAGAGCCTGCGCGGCAGGCTCATCTTCGCTGAGCAGCAAGCCTGGGGTCGTAACACTCGCATGGCAGTGATCTGCGTAGGCGACGTCCTTGGGGATGGACCAGAGCAAGTCCCCCTAACAGAGCAGCAATGCCAAGCCATGGCGTTCCTGCTGCAAAGAGTCGTGCACGGACCGCCAAGGACAGTGTCCATCCATGCACGACGGAAAGTGCACCTGTACATCGACGGGGCCTGCGAATGGGAGACCCCAAGACTCGTGCCCAAGTGTGGCCTCGGAGCAGTGCTCATTGGAGAAGGCATCGCCTTCACCTGGGGGCTGCAGATCAGCAGCCAAGTCACAGCCCAGTGGGCCGCCAGGGCGCAAAAGCAGCAGCTCGTCTACGAGTGCGAGCTGTTGCCCTACTTGCTCAGCCTTCAAATGTGGGCTAAGCATATAGCAGGCAGCGACCTGTTCGTCTGGATAGACAACGACGCAGCGCGTACCTCCTTGCACAAGGCCTTCACACGCAAGGTGGAAGGAGCGGCGATAGTCTCGCAAGCGGTGGACTTCGAAGAATCCCTGCAGTGCAGGGCTGCTTTCTTTCGAGTCCCCACAGACAGCAATATAGCTGATGGCCCCAGCAGAGACTGGTGGGAAGACACAGAGCGGCTAGGCGCAGCGCGCCAATACCTGCCGCCCAACGCAGTGTCGTTGGCTTTGTCACTCGGCGCGGACTAGATGGGGGGTGAGTAAGGCTTCGAGTGCCTTCAAGGGGGGTGAACCAGTCGTTCGCCTTACCACGACCAGCGGTCGAGTTTTGGTTTGAAATGCCAGTGGCATCGTTTCGTCAGAGCCCGAAGATCGGGCCCGAACCGACCCCCCATGTCCGCTAGGAGAAAAAAGAGAGTGTTTTGCACAGGGTTCTCTCTGCAGCGCAGTTAGGGTTCCCCAAACGCGCGCTAACGGAAGTTTCGTTGGAAAATAAGCATCCATCATGCGTGCGTGAATGGGTTTTATTTTCCGCCGAAAGTGTAGACAAAGTTTGTCGAAAAAGGAAAACAGTGTTTTCACTTGTGTGTGAGTGACACTAGACAAACTTTGCCGTGCAGCTTTCGGCTTGGAGTTGGATCTGTGATCCAAAAAGTTTTTGTCCCACCCACCACACCCTGTATAGTATGCGGGGTCCGGGACACCGCTTCGGCAGCAGAGCTGCCAGGAGCAGCGCTCCTATGCTCTCTCCCGCGGAGAGACTTCAGCACAGAGTGCGATTTTGTACATAGGCCGTAGGCCGTGCAACTACAGAGTAGCAACTGGTAGCTGCAGTGACCCAGTAGGTCCTAGCATGTTTCACTTTATCTCCCCGTGGTACGGGTTATTCCCTGGTAGGGGGGGTGAACCAGTCGTTCGCCTTACCATCGACCAGCGGTCGAGTTTTGGTTTGAAATGCCAGTGGCATCGTTTCGTCAGAGCCCGAAGATCGGGCCCGAACCGACCCCCCATGTCCGCTAGGAGAAAAAAGAGAGTGTTTTGCACAGGGTTCTCTCTGCAGCGCAGTTAGGGTTCCCCAAACGCGCGCTAACGGAAGTTTCGTTGGAAAATAAACGCGAGTTTCTCCCGACCTATTGCTTTGAGCGCTTCGCTGCAGCGCAGAAAAGCGTGCACAGCAGCCACTGCGCCAAAAAAAAAGGCATGCTATGCAGGTGGGCAATTTTGACCTTCCGTCAGGGGTGCCCCCTCTCCCCTTATTGATTTGGTTTCGTGCTTACTCATCTTTTTTTTTTTGAAGATGTCGAGTGACATCATACGGCAGAGCATGGTACCATATCTGGTGGCCTGCGCCTGGGCGCCACTCTATGGGATTTGGAATATGCAGATGACACAGTTCTCCTGTCCAACTCCTTTTCTCAAGGGCAAACCTTCCTCCATTTAGTTCAGAAAGAAGGTGCCCGACGAGGCTTATATCGCAACTATGACAAATGTGAATATCTATCTGTCAACTCCCTTCATCGTATTTTATTTGACCCGAACTATCTCCTTTCCCCAGTTGAGGACCTACAAGTTCCACTCTCCGATGCAGTAAAGTACCTTGGAGTGTATTGGATCCACGATCCACTGTTTCCATAAAAATATATCTACCCGCATTTCCTAGAGCGATGGTGGCCACCTATGAAGCACGGGCATCTTCCCTCTAAGTGGAAGCTTTTGGTATAGCGCTCAGTCATCCAATCCATTCTGATGTACGCGATGGACAGCCTTCTACTCACCCCCGCACAGCTCACCAAGCTCGACTCTGTCCACTACAAGTGTTTGCGCAGGATGTTTAAAATCAAAGCTTCAGATTACCATAGAGTTATTAATCCATCTGCGGCTCCTTGCTCTATTCAGTATCTTGCCGAACTGGCTTTCTCTTCCAGACGTGTCATCACTCCTTCCCAACACTATTCACAAAATCGCCTGAACCTCCTTGGTCATCTATATTGGCACCCAGAATCACTTGAATTCCAATCTACCTATATGCCTTCAGCAGCTTACCGCCACACAAGAGGCCCTAATAGGGTAGGTAGACCCAAGACGCATTGGGCCGAATCATGTCTAGTGGAAGCTTCTCGTCGTATATCTTATCTACAGTCTGATGCAGCCCCACCACACTCCTCTATAGAGCACAGCTTTTTCGCCGTTCCGACAGCAGCCGACATTCGACAGGAACACTCTTCCCATTCTATGGTATGGATGGACAACACTCCTTTGTACCGCCAAGTCTCGAGTGTTGCCAGAAATAGAGCTTTTTGGGTATCTGTTGTTCACAAACCAAGCCGTAAACCCCACAAGTGCACCTGAAACGGTCGGTGCACACGGGACCCTCACGGACCCTGATGCGCTTGCAAAAAAAAAACCGGTGTTGGCCGGCACCATTATGTGGCCTTGGCCTTGACCCCCATGTGAGGGTGAATGTGAAGGATAGTGTATGGGGGTCGGGTGATTTCGACGACCAGGTGGGGGCAGTCCAGTTATGGTTGGGATAGCAGGCCCCGCGAGGACCCACGTCCGTATACCCCTGCCTTGGAGCAGATGATATCTCTTCGGAGAGGGGACGCGGGTCGTGGTGAGGCCGGGTCCGCTTGAACTGCCTTGCTGGATACCTTTCGCTGGGGCGGTGGGAAGTTGAACTCCAACTGGAGCCCCGATGACGCGTGCGGAGGGGCTGCGAAGGCGGGAGGGATGACGCTTTACCCATGGCTGTCACACCCCGGCCGCTATCCATCCATCCATCCATGGTCCATCCATCCATCCATCCATCCATCCATCCAACCAACCATAGCTGCATTTGACACTCGTTCAACCAGTGTTGATTTGGAAGGCATCCAGCTGCAGTGGACCCCGAAGTAACATCTCATGTTTAATCAGTGCCTTATCTCATGCATGTTTTGATAACCAAGGAGAGCAGTGCAAAATTATGTTTGCCTCCCCTTCCCACTCTCCCCCGTGGAGTTCGAACCCAGGGTTCGGGAACATTGCAGTCTCCGCTTTACCTTCAACCGCGTCGTTGTTGGGTGAAGCCAGGGTGGTTTCTATCTTTTTCACCGATGTTTCACTGGAGAAGGGAGAAAACGGCTTCGGGGCCATCCTGACTCGGATGGCCTGCTGATCTGGTTTCGGAAGTGGCCACACCTGACGTTGTTCGACTCAATGTGGATAGTAAAGCAGACAGCCGTGGATTTGTCAGGTTAGGCACAAATGCATCTTGCAATGAAAAAAATATTTTAAAAGAGTGCCTGCATCACCTGTGCTCAGACGGCTTCCCCCTCCGGGTTGGGCGGGTGGGAAAAGAAAATTTTTGCCCACCTCCTGCATGATCAAAGCCGCAAGCGAGGCCTGGTTATCGCAGTGTAGTATCAAGTCAATGTTTCGCAACTTCTGGCAGAGCATGGTGATGCCAAAGCAGGCTAGCCGGCTGAATGGAGACTTCCGTGGACCCTACCAGCCCTAAGGCAGCGGCATCGGGAATGCACAGCCGGATGGTGCCTGCAAAAAACACTGGGTGGGTGTTCATGTCAGGGTTTAATTCATCATCGTGGACCATGACATACAATCGATGTTGAAAATTTTAGCCATTGCCCTTTGCAGTTATCGAAAAGATGCATGAAAAAAAAACATTTCATGTTTTTTGTTCTTATGACGTGTTAGGGTTTGCCACCCACTTTTGGGGTTCGGAGTCGCAACCGAACATCATGTGGTTTACAACCTTGTGCGCTTTCAGGGTTTGCTGCTCTTAAACTCGCAAACCCAGCTTTGAACCCTGAAAGAAGATGTTGGGTAGCAAGACCTAAATCCAACCAAGCGACAAACACTGCAAACCCCAAAGAAAATGTTGGATGGCTCAAGAAAATGTTGGATGACAACCCGAGTGATGATGCTGGTTTAAAAGCTCACAAAAATCACAACTAATGAATTACATATGTCAACAAGACGCAAAAATTAGAAATCAACAAAAAGACCCTTACAACTTATCGCTCTTGCCCCTGCAGCTGTATTCGAGTCACACTTGGTGTTGTTTGGCCATGTTTCGTGGGGAACTTTGTTTTTTGAATTGCGGCCCATAGTTTACCAAGTTGAGCACCAAAGGTGAAGATGCTGTATCTACATATGTCCCGTTGAAACCATGGTGCATGCTCGTGATGTCGTCCCAGGCAGCGGTTGAGTGTGCAGCAGCGATTGTAGTTTGTAGTTGTTTCGCAGCGATCGAGATTTTTCTGCTTTGCCACTAAGAATTTCATGGTTGTGGATGTTGTGGGGATGTTAACCGTGTGGCGCAGGTGAATCTTCCTTACCCACGGAGGATGACCTGGACTTGCATCGAAGTGATCTTCTGCAGGCTCATGGCATTTTGTTGAATGGATGGTCATGCTAGTGTTCCCAGTTGACGGTAGCAAAGCTTCGCCACACACTAGTTGGCCTGACGATTTGTTGAATTCGCTTGCCGAAGCTTGGACATGTCTTGCAGGGAACGTTGCAAGCAGATGGTGCACTTTGGCAGACGGCAGGACGATGCTGGAGCGTTGCTTGGGGGTTGTTCAGCTGAAAGCGGTTTTTGTATGTAATGTTTGGCATTGGAAACGAACAGCGGAGCAGAAATAAGGTTGCCAAAGACTTGGAAATTGATCCAAATTTGCAATTTCGGTGCCGCTTCATGCTCTTGTTCCTATTTGGCATCCTCGGGCATGAACATCCGCTCCGGCCGCTGTCCCTTGTCTCAGTTGGCTTTTGTGGAAAGCCAAGATGTCGAAATGTCCAGAAGTCGACACTTCAAGGTTTGGGTAGAGCTGCACAAGGCAATCCTACATTGATGTTGTTCGAAGGAGTGTGACTGTTAATGGCAAGCTGATGTCCAAAATGGAAACTTGCAGCGAGGCTCCCTGAGCGAAGCTGCGAGGAGTGGGCTTTCCTCTCCATGCCGGACAGGCCTGTTGATTCGACAGCTTGGCATCGTGGTGCCGATCGGCTATGTCGTGAATTGTTTGCAGGGGCCAAACGGTGTGGTTGAAGTTGAAGCACTTGTGTGTGCGAGAATTGCATAGTTGAATAGTCCACAGATCTCTTGCTGAAGCCCGGAAGCGAAACTACAATGCAGGCAGACAACCGTGAGCCAGTGAGCGTGTCAGTGTGTGTGTGTGTGTGTGTTTCTGCAAATCCACGTTCTGAGCTTGTCGTCATGACAGAAGCTCTCCGTTCGGTTTTGGCAAGGCAAAACTAGCTAATACTTCAAAGCGGTTTGTCAAGGAATCGTGTGACGCCTCGAGGCTTTAGATACTTTAGCTTCTCAAGCTCGTTGTCTGTCGGTCAGGGTGTTGCGCACCCTCGATCTGGAGATGATGCAACGCTTCTACCGTCCCGGCCAAGAATCTGGGCAGCACGGCTGCGAACCCTTGAAAGGCAATAGCTGGTGTCAACAGGAATACGCGAGTGTGCTTGCTACGAAAGCCGAAGCCACAAACTTCCATCTTGACTGGATCTAGCTGCAGTTTTCTTTCCGTATCGGTTCCTGAGGAGTACGAACTCGGCATTCCTCGAGACAGAGAAGTGTGGATTGTCGGAGCATTTTCCTCTGGACCAGAAGAGCTCGGGCAGATCTTACGGTGGACACCGTCAAGGATTCACATGTTCGAGCCGATCGTAGAGTGCCTTGATTGATGATCAAGTGTCATGTCCATACCAGTGTTGATTTCGCAACGGCACACAGATTTAGTATAACATATGCGCTTGCCTCCATCGAGGTTCTTCGAGAAGTTGAAGTTGCAATGGCGTGGTCACGAGCACGGACAGCTGGTGCATCTACACAACTACGGTCTTGGGGAAGCACGAGAAGCTGGCGAGATGTTCATGGCCTCTGTTGGAAGCTCTCTCTTCCAGCCCATGGAGTTCTCGGCGACTCGCTTGTTCCTGGATTCTGTGAGCGACTTCAAACACGGGAGGCTCCGCGAGCATCGCACCCACGTCCGCGTGGAGGCTGTCGAGCTGGTCTGGAGAATCCTTTCCACGGAATCCCTCGGCCTCCTCCACATGCCCCTCGATTCTAATACCTTGTTTTAGGTTTCTCTGACTTTTCCGGAGAGCTGAGTGGAAAAGTCCGAGGAATTGCGAGGGCTGTGAGTACGAAGTAATTCCGCAGCTGGCGTCGGCGGGGCTTTTGCACAAGATTCAGGCGGAGAATTGAGCGCTGAATCTTTTGAGGCCACAGAAGCTTTGTTTGCAATCTCTGCTAGCAGGTCATCTTCGTGGCATCGCATCTGGTGCTCAATGATAAAGAAGCCGATGAGCTCTGCGATGCGGCATCTTCGGGCACCTGCTCGTGGCTGGGCTGGTGACGCCAGACCAGATGTCTGTCAGCCTTAACTGCCTGCTTTAAGCTGCCCTTTGTGTTTGGTGCTGGGGGTTCCCTTTTGGGTTCTGCCGGACTCTCTCTGTTCTGATCTGCTGAAGGTACGATGCTGCCATCGTTGGGGGTCGGCGTTTCTGTGAGAGCTTTGAGGAGGCGACGAGACGGCAGACGGCAGACTCCTTGCGTTGTGCCACGTGAGAGTGACTGAGTGCTGTGTCTGTTGCAGTCTTCCCGACCCCCAGCGGCAGCGGTGGTTTGGTTCCAGTAGTTCAGGGCCAGTGCTTCAGTTCGTTTCTAGGGCAAGCTTTGAACACACTCTGCGCAGCTGTCAGCAGCGACGCCCTGGCATTTGAGGTTCTGGCAGAAACCCATGCGCGAGTTTGGGGGCTGCCATTTTCTTGGCAATTCTGGGAGCTCAAAGCAATGGAAAAGACCCATGGTTGGGTTCGCGGTGCGTCTGCTTTGCTTTATGGCCTGCTGAAGTTGATGTCGACCTAGCGTGCTGTCTTACAACCACGTGTTTCGGTAGGATCGTTTCGTCCGCGGTGCAAGGGTTAAGGCATGAACGGATGTCGGCCGGATGAGGCAGCATGCATTGTATCCACTGTGTGCTTCAAAGGCAGCGTTGCTCGAGCCTTCCTCGCATCAAAGGTCAAGGGTCAGGATGCGGCAAAGCCAAGCAGATACTAGTCAAGCAGATGGTGTGGCCCGCATTGATTGGCCTTGAACGCTCGAATCACGACATGGGCCATGGCCATGGGTGATGCTTGGGTCTGCCACGAGGCTGTGATTGAACCTGAACTTGAAGCTTTAGTTTGACAACATCACGCAGAGTCTTCCTGGTAACTGTGTACTTTTGCACATGCTTCGGTTCATCTCGTCAGAGTCTTCCGGTTTCTTTCTTGCTCTGGGAGGCCGAGGACGCCGTGCAGCAGCCTGCTCTTGTGCGGGTGTCTGGCCGCATCTGAGACCGTGGAGCTGCGGTCGGGCACCTGGCGTAGCGATTGCTCAAACAGAAGAGGCAAGTTGCCACGGCCGTGGAGCTTTGGTGGGGCAGCCGAGGGATGTTGGGAAGTTTCTGGATCCGGTGTTTGTGCCGGACTTCTTTCTCGATGCTGCTCCAGCGGCAGAGGCCAGAGGCTGCGGCCGTTTCGTGATGGGGAGGGGAGCGTCGGAGCTCTGAGACGAGGTCTTCGGGGCCCTCACGGACGATCCACCGTCGGGCAAAGGCTACGTGGCCTCAGTGCTGGACTCACTGCCTCCCGGCCTTTCTTCATCTTGCGAGTCCTGTCATACCTTGTAGTCGGCTAGTCTATACTGCTGTACTGCTGTAAAGGTGAGTCTTGTTTCCGACAGTTTGCAGGTTGCTCGGCTCTATAGTCACTTTAGTCACTCGTTTTGGATTCTCCGAGTCTTGGAAGTCCTGCTCTATTGTTGCCATGTTTATGAGTGGCATTCCGGCCGTGTCAGCTACATCGAGCTTGGTGAGGCTTGGTGAAGGGGCAACTGGTTTAAAAACAACAAAAAGGGTAGGTTCTTCTCGCGCCGAAGTGTCTTGCAGTACTTTCTTGGCCAACCCCGCCAAGCTTGTCATCACACGTAGCTGGAACTTGGCCTAGATTTACAGCTGTCTTGCGCTGTCTGCGGCTGTTTGTCCGATGCCTTCTGTGACGCCCTCGGTGGGTGGTACTCAGGCAGGTCCCTCCGCGGATGGCCCCGGTTCTCCTTTGGGAGACCGGCCTTCTTTTGCAGCATTTGGCCTCCAAGGAGGTCTCACAGGCCGGCTTGACTACATGTACCAAGAAACACATGATAGAAACGCGACGCTTTATCCCTGCAGCACCAGACAGAGACTGGGACGTGCAGAATCTGGCCTCATCATGCCTCATCCTATCCGTTAGCGGTCTTACAGTTTCAGAGTGTGGGCTCGTTCACTGTAATCTCGTTACAGCACCGCCTAGGGCTGTTTGCTGCCGCACGATTGTAAATCCAACTCTCTGTCACGTTCATCACATCCCCATGTCGCAATGCTCAGGAAAGCTCGGTTTTGCTCGCTGCCCCTGAGGTGATCGTAGATGTTGGTGCACACGAGTGGAGCCGCTTTCTTCCAAGTCTACGGGAAGATCCTAAAGCTTGGTTGATCCTTCTGGAGCCGGGTCGGAAAGCAGCTTGGCAAGCGATGCAGATGCCAGTGCCGATGCCTGCACACATTGAATTCCAGCTCTGTGCCTTCACGAGGCATTCTTGATGCTTTATCGACGCCTGAAGGCCTTGTGATTCGGAGGAATTCCGTGTGTTCGCAGTGCTGCAAAACTGCCGTCTGCGATTGAAGCCTGAGTCGGGTCAGCCCACGCTGTCAGAGAAGTGTTGTTATTTCGAGCCATCTAAACAGATGAACTATGCCGATGTGATCGACCGGGTAGTGGCCCTTCCAGTAGCGCTGACGTGGGAACCAGGCTTGGTGTTGAAAAGTTGTGCCGCTGAGAGCATGGCTAGAGGAGAGCTGCCAGGCCGCCTCTGGGGCTTTCGTGTGCTTCACACCAGCAACGTCATGGAGGGAGAATGCCACTATGACCGCAAGGTGTGGGGCTTGTTTCTCTCGGGCTGCATTGCAAAGCTGAGGCAACAGCCTACTGGAGCCGAATGACCAGATTCCGGTTCCCTGCATTGACAGAGGCCCAGAAGAGATTGTGCCCGCCGCTGGTCCGCACCCCATCCGATGTCTGCTTGCAAAGCCCAGTCAGGCCTCACAAACCAAGCTTCGGGCACTCAGCGGTGGAAGCTGCAGAGACCAGACATCTTGGACACACCGCACACTGCACAAGGTAATGTCCTTGGACGTCTTACTGGAGCTGCTGCTTCACGACGCCTCCTTCACCAAGGCTTTGAGTGGACATGCGCCCTGGTTCAGTGTAAGACAGTCGTGGTCGAGGATGTGTGCATTCAGGGCCACAGCCAAGATGATGCCGCCGCATCTCACAAGGAAGGACTGCCGGGCTGGGATCCTCGCAGGGAACAGAAACGCTTCTTTGAGGCGGGTCTTTCTCCCAGTCCAGGACCTCCCATCAGAATCAAGTTGGATGCACAAGGGGCCGACTTCAGCATCTTCTCGGTCCTGGAGTCCACGGAGGCGTGGGGTGGGCCCCCAGGCTAAGCCGGTGCCATCATGTCGCTCTGAGCAAAGCGCTTCATAGATTTCGATTGAAAGCCTGCACGCTGGCACCATTCCGCAGAAAGTATCCAAGTTGGAGGTCTCTAAACGTTGTGACCACTTCGACAGACGCTGCAGCTAAGAGCCTGGCTTCTCCTGCACCCAGGCGCTGCTGGAGCGTGTGGCAGAGGTGCAGCTGGAAGTCTCGGTAGCGAGATTGCACAAAATTCCGCACCGCAGGGCCTCGTACTGTAAAGTGCCGGCTGCACAGTGCCGCCATCTCAGGATCCAATGTACCATCTGCAGCCCTCCAGGCATGATATCATGGTGGGACCCCACGCAGCATTGTACAAGACTTGCAACTCATCTGGAACGACCATGTGCTGAAGCTCGTGAGGAATGCGTCGCCTTGGGTTTCAGTTGGATTGGCAGAAGCAGGAGATTCACGATGGAGGCCAGAGACGGGCATGTTCGTGATCTGTCATTGCATGCATATCACGTTCCTTGGTGAAAGTCTTAAAGTGCAGGAGTGCACCAAGTGCGCTGTGGGTGTCGTTTGGTCACCGACAATCCTCGTACCGAAGACTGTTTCTTCGTTCGTGCTGCGGATTGGACTCACGGACGGCTCCTCTACTTTCTGGTCTTGTTGAGTGGATTCGGAATTGAGCAGTTGGGATTGAGATTGGCTCCACTCTGCTCAAAAGTTCGAGGGACAGGCACCCGTTTTGCGGTATGGTGTCCCGTCTTCAACAGAAGCGTACAGTTTGACGGGGCCTAATTCGCAAGGATGTTGGATCTCTTCCTTCGGCGACCAGATGAGTCCGTGCGCTTAAGCGAGGGAACTGGGATGAGCATCTCCCTACAGCAGCTCGACTTGCACAAGACCTGAGCCTTGCCTAAGTTTCGTACGCCTCCGTGTCTTTTGAGCTCGACGACTGAGAGTCCGATGGCTTTCGCGAATCCAGGATCTGAATGACAACAGCCTTTGACACCATGGGTCTGAGCTGCTAGTTGTTCTGTTGTCCTCTGAGCAGGTCCATGGGACACCGCTTACGGAATAAATAGAAGGGCACGGGTACGGGAATGGGGATGATGTTTGCCGCTTGCAGCTGGTGCGGGGAGCGCCGAGAGTCGCGATGCTGCCGCATTTCTGTGTCCGTGCAACCCTGACGGAGTCTCAGGTCCAATTGTGCAGAGCTCAAAAGCATTTCCGTACAAGTATGGAAAGATGACATGTTGTCACGTGTCACCAAGATCCGGTTATGAAGTGGCAGTCTGCTGGCCTCATCCGTCTCATCCCGTGTGATCAAGGGTCAGGTTGAGACTGAACTTGCCAGTTGATCTTCTGACTAACATCGACAGGCCAAGGCCCACCGGCAGAAGTGGAAAAGGGGACACAGCATACAATGCTTCTGTCAAACTTAGGTATGGCCGTTACATGCAGGAACATATCAACGCGTGCGAGCGCGACGCACCTTGGCGTTTGATTCATTTTGTTTGTCGGCTGCGTGTTCGTTTTTTGTCGTCGTGAACAAGCGGATAAGGCGGGCGCAAGGTTAGAAGAGCAGGATGATGAGATGGGTGCTGGCGGATTGGCCTGCCTCTACCGTCACAATCTGAGCCGCTCTGAATTTGCTCTTCCGCGAAACCTGCTGACCATAATCCTCAAGGCATTGCAGGCTGGCCACTACGACAAGCGGCACTCTCAACCGCACTGCAGCACAGCTGCAGATTTTCACGGTCGAGCTTCTGTTGCTGGTGGGACACTCATCACTCAAGGCTGTGGGAGATGATTTGGAATAGCAAGCAACAAGCAGATCGTGGCACTCTCGTGGTAAACTATGCGCAGGTGAGGGCAGTTCAAAGGTCTTGCGTGCATTTGGTGAGAGACGTCCTCCAAGATGTGTCGTGGTGTAGCGCTGACGTATGCAGGTGATACTCGCAATGTGGGATCTCCTAGTCTTCGGTGGGCCAGACCATGACTCTGCGTGGGACGAGCTTCATGATGCTGGGGTGGCGCACTTGATGTTCACAGCTGCTAGCCTTAGTTTATTTGAGGGCCAAATGTTTTCCAATCTGGTTACCGGTTGCCCTGTCATACTTGAAGAGAGTCACTGGAGTGCTCGTGTTCGTGAGTCAGAGGGAGGGATGAAAGCTTGTGGAGCCTTCGAGGTGCTGGTCGAGGCCAGGGAGTGCTGGACCCTTGTGGCCGTGGCGTAGCTGCATAGAGATCCCTGGCAGGCCAGCTGCCTTCTCTTTCCGGACCTGTGCAGCACGGACTGCGGCTTGGTGGGTTCAAGGCGTGTCTGCATCCCTAGTGGCCTAGCTCCTCAGCCGCTAGCACAAACAGTGCTGCTTTGGTGCCGTGCTGAGGCATCGATGTTCCATCCGAAGCCGCAGAAGAAAGTACTCCAGGCATGGAGCCGACGTTTCAAGACTTGTTTCGGGATTTCCGTATCTTGGATGTAGCTGTGGTCAGGAGTATCCAGAAGTTGTGGTCCTTGTCTGTAGAGCTGTGTTCACAAGCCGAACCTGATAACAGGGCATGCGTCGCCTTGCGCTTCACTCCGTGATTGTCGCACGGTCTTTCACGACGCCAACCCCAAGACTGTGCTCAAGACGCCTGGCTCAGAGAAGCTTTCTGACAACTGCTTGCTTCCATGGCCCTCGTTCCGAATACATGGGTCAGACTGCCAGCATGGCATCCTAAAAGGAACTGGGGCAAGAGACTTCAGGGTGGGAACCGTTCGGGAGCGAACCGTGTTCAACAAGTTGTGACGGTTCGGACTTGCTTGCATACACTTCCGGGCCTCCACACCGAGGCTTCCCGACACATACGTGCTGTTCTGAGCTTCCGATCCCAAGGACACGGCTAGTCAGCCCGGGCACTGATGCGACTTGTTTCTGCTTGAGGTTCCTGTTTTCCGGAGGGCACAACGCCTTACGCGCCCTCCGTGTTTTCCATCCCATTGGCGCCTGGAGCTCGATCGCACGTCAACTTTCCCAAGCGTTGACAGCGGCGGCCACAACGTGCCTGGACTGCCCTGAACTGCATTCATGTCAAATGTGGTTTGCCTCCATGGCTCCTCGAGTGCCGCTACCTGCTAGGGCGTAGGTACCCGAACCAATCTTGGCCGAATTGCATGTGGCCAGCTGCATCCCAGGTTACTGTCATTTCAGTTGATGCCTCGCACTGCAGCCTAGAAATCTCGATGATAGCATGGGATCTGGATGCTGCCGAAATGCTTGCGTTTCACAGAGATATCTGGGACAGAGCAGAACGAGGTCGGGAGAACATCGATGCAGCTGATTTTCGAATTCCAACGGAAGGCAATCTGTGGGATTTTGATTGCCAGTTCGAGACCTCGTCTGGAACATTGCGGACGCGAGGTGACGTCGTGAGCTACCCCATCCTCAGCGAACTTCCACATACCCAGGAGGCCCCTGTCTTGATCGTTCACTGTGAGGCTCCAGGAGGCAGACTTGCGTCGCCTCCGTCGTCGGTTCTGCTGACGCGATCTGTACGGTCTATTCCCGACATGCCCTCCATCCAGCTCGAGGTGCCGTTGCGGGAGAATCAGCGGAAGAAAGTCAGAACAGCTTTATGCAATTCACAAGTCTGGGGGTCGCACTCGCTGAAACAGCTGGCTCCAGACTTAATGGAGTTCTGGTTTCTATACTACAGCGAGCATTTGAAGATCGATGAAATCTACGTCTATGATTTGGATGGATCTTTCGAGAGCATTCCCATCGTTCAGGAACTCCGTGCCAGTGGACGGGTGGTTTATGATCCGTTCTTCTCAAGCATACCGCCGTTGAAGGATATCTTTGCTTCGGCCGGGCACAAGACTTCGACAGCGCACTTGGCGCAGACCCTCGTGCAGCACCACTGTTGGCAGCAGGCCAGGCAAACCGCTGACTGGGTCGCTCTCTCAGGAGCACGCCCTGTCCAGACAACACCGCAGACATTGTAAGGGCATTTTTGGAGTTGAAGTCAAGGTCATCTCGCTCAACCACGGCTGGGATATGTTCCTATTCTCCCCGGCAGGGGGCACCCTTCAGGACCTGCTGGAGGACTGGTCGTGATACCTTGTGATGGTTGTGTAAATGCGAGAGCAACGGCATGCAAGCCTTGCGAGCTCACCAGGAACTGCCACCGGACCAGGTGACTCGCGTGCTCGGTGTGCGATATGGAGAGCACGATTCTGTCGATTCTGACGCAGAGGTGGGAGTTGACAGATCATGCACCTCATTGAATGCATCGCTGCATCACTGTCTTGCGAAAGTCTCCGTGGACAAAACATCGCTGCAGCTCGAAAGCATCGATGATATTACCTTCACAAGAAGCACTAGCCGTTGCTGACCGCTGTTGCTTGCTATCCTGTTGCGGTGCGGGCAGGTCACGCCGAATGTGAATGTGTCCCCAGCTTGGACTTCGCTTTCCACTGAAGTTTTATGCATTCTCAGCTGAAGACACACAGTTAAGCGAACAACGAGGTTCCTGCGCTTTCCACACCATGTTGACCCTGGCGTGCGACCCGAGAAGAACAGCACCGAGGAGCTGGTAATTATCGCTAAACCTTTTCTGATTGCGAACATCGCCCTCAGCGCTGTCGTGGTCCGACAAGACGCCCCGCTTCGTTCGAACTTGCTTGAACATCCGCTGCCGTGTCCCAAGGGGCAGTCGCGAGAGTTTGCTGGGCCGATGATGCACAAGGCCCAGCAGCTGGATGCAGAGAAGTGGCGCGCCAACCACTATGTGCAAGCTCTGGGCGGTCGCAAAGTGCTCTATCGCTCAGAGGACTGTGTTTTTCCATTCGCAGATACTTCCGCGTGTGAAAGGTACGCTAGGTCACGAGGGCTTTCGTCACCGCATTGGCACGGTGGCAGCAGAGGGCTGGCAGCATAGCAAATGCCACAACCAACCGTGTCAGATGACAAAATAGCTCATATTCCAGGAGCAAATGGTCGAGCTCCGCAACTTCTCCATCTTCGATGCTGCTGCAGTTCAGCTCGGCCACGATCTTCAAGACAGATGGAGGCATCGTCTGTCGTAGTGGAGACCAGCTCGTCGGTTGAGCGGCCACGACCTTGCAGCTTCCAAAGTTCAGAGCGCTGCCTGGGCTCCGGGGCACACCTCTGTCATGCTGACATTCGCGACCGGCCTGAGCGGAGCCGCTTCAAGGTTTGCACACGCCGCTGAAGCCGTTACGAGCGGGACGAGGGCAAGGAGTTGGGGCCGGACGGGCCACGGAGCCTGCAGGACGCAAAGCCCCCGTTGAAGCTCTACGTTCTGCCACCTCGGCGCCTCGGCCCTCTGTAGCCCAGACCAGGGCCTGACCCTTGGAAATCCCGGCCCTCAACGATCAATGTCGGCAGCGGGCGATCGAATCTGCAAAAGATCAAAACAAGGGTGCTCGGGGGAACGACCTGTGTTATTGGAGTGATGAGTTTCTCAGCTTGACTCTAGTCTAAAGGCATATCCTTGGAGTATATGCATTTTGCAACAGGCACAACTCACAGCATGCAAGGTTTACGTCCATGCTGTAGAATTTTGGCTTAGACGTGGTCACAAGTACCCTCGGCATCTTCGATTTGCCGACGATGTGGGCATGCAGCTCAGACACTTCCAGCGGTTGCAAGTCTTGCTGAACTCACTTTGTGTGTGTGTGTGTACGCGAGCTTGCACGCTTGACGGTGCAGTGGAAAGGCGAAGGCAGGACTCATCGCGGCGCTTTGCGGCCTGGCCTTTTCGAGAACATGCCAATTCAGATGTTCCTGTTCTTGCCTGGAGATCTCAGGCAGCATTGGTTTGGCAACCAACCCGACCCACTATGGCAATCCGTCCACTGGCTGCGAGTCGGACGAGGTTGCCGTTCGCGTCAGCGGTCTCTCGGGCGACTTCTGCAGTCCGAAGTGCGACAGCCAGGGCACCTGCCCAAGCGACGTGCCCAAGGGCGACACCGCAAATCCAGAGTGTGCTCTCCGAACCACGACTGGCGACAAGTACTGCGGCCTGATCTGCCAGGCTGATTCGGATTGTGGCGCCATCCCTGCACTAGTCAATGGCTGGTCCTATCATAGGTATGCGGTGCGCGAGAGATATTTGAGTAAAATCCATGCACTCCGAAGTTTAATGAAGCTTAGGCACGGGCAGCTGCCAAAAGATGATGGGGATTGGCCTGTGCACCTACGAGTCGTCTTCGGTGAAGGCTCTGCCGGCTGTGATGACTCAGGCGGGATCTCTTTTTGTCTGCAAGATTGACATTTACCTGAACTGAGGAGGCAGTTTTAATCCGGTGTTGAATCGTTGTTTTGGGCACATTTGCAGGTGGCCGTGGCAACCAACCCGACCCACTATGGCAATCCGTCCACTGGCTGCGAGTCGGACGAGGTTGCCGTTCGCGTCAGCGGTCTCTCGGGCGACTTCTGCAGTCCGAAGTGCGACAGCCAGGGCACCTGCCCAAGCGACGTGCCCAAGGGCGACACCGCAAATCCAGAGTGTGCTCTCCGAACCACGACTGGCGACAAGTACTGCGGCCTGATCTGCCAGGCTGATTCGGATTGTGGCGCCATCCCTGCACTAGTCAATGGCTGGTCCTATCATAGATATGCGGTGCGCGAGAGATATTTGAGTAAAATCCATGCACTCCGAAGTTTAATGAAGCTTAGGCACGGGCAGCTGCCAAAAGATGATGGGGATTGGCCTGTGCACCTACGAGTCGTCTTCGGTGAAGGCTCTGCCGGCTGTGATGACTCAGGCGGGATCTCTTTTTGTCTGCAAGATTGACATTTACCTGAACTGAGGAGGCAGTTTTAATCCGGTGTTGAATCGTTGTTTTGGGCACATTTGCAGGTGGCCGTGGCAACCAACCCGACCCACTATGGCAATCCGTCCACTGGCTGCGAGTCGGACGAGGTTGCCGTTCGCGTCAGCGGTCTCTCGGGCGACTTCTGCAGTCCGAAGTGCGACAGCCAGGGCACCTGCCCAAGCGACGTGCCCAAGGGCGACACCGCAAATCCAGAGTGTGCTCTCCGAACCACGACTGGCGACAAGTACTGCGGCCTGATCTGCCAGGCTGATTCGGATTGTGGCGCCATCCCTGCACTAGTCAATGGCTGGTCCTATCATAGGTATGCGGTGCGCGAGAGATATTTGAGTAAAATCCATGCACTCCGAAGTTTAATGAAGCTTAGGCACGGGCAGCTGCCAAAAGATGATGGGGATTGGCCTGTGCACCTACGAGTCGACTTCGGTGAAGGCTCTGCCGGCTGTGATGACTCAGGCGGGATCTCTTGTTGCCTGCAAGATTGACATTTACCTGAACCGAGGAGGCAGGTTTAATCCGGTGTTGAATCGTTGTTTTGGGCACATTCGCAGGTGGCCGTGGCAACCAACCCGACCCACTATGGCAACCCGTCCACTGGCTGCGAGTCGGACGAGGTTGCCGTTCGCGTCAGCGGTCTCTCGGGCGACTTCTGCAGTCCGAAGTGCGACAGCCAGGGCACCTGCCCAAGCGACGTGCCCAAGGGCGACACCGCAAATCCAGAGTGTGCTCTCCGAACCACGACTGGCGACAAGTACTGCGGCCTGATCTGCCAGGCTGATTCGGATTGTGGCGCCATCCCTGCACTAGTCAATGGCTGGTCCTATCATAGGCATGCGGTGCGCGAGAGATATTTGAGTAAAATCCATGCACTCCGAAGTTTAATGAAGCTTAGGCACAGGCAGCTGCCAAAAGATGATGGGGATTGGCCTGTGCACCTACGAGTCGTCTTCGGTGAAGGCTCTGCCGGCTGTGATGACTCAGGCGGGATCTCTTGTTGCCTGCAAGATTGACATTTACCTGAACTGAGGAGGCAGGTTTAATCCGGTGTTGAATCGTTGTTTTGGGCACATTTGCAGGTGGCCGTGGCAACCAACCCGACCCACTATGGCAATCCGTCCACTGGCTGCGAGTCGGACGAGGTTGCCGTTCGCGTCAGCGGTCTCTCGGGCGACTTCTGCAGTCCGAAGTGCGACAGCCAGGGCACCTGCCCAAGCGACGTGCCCAAGGGCGACACCGCAAATCCAGAGTGTGCTCTCCGAACCACGACTGGCGACAAGTACTGCGGCCTGATCTGCCAGGCTGATTCGGATTGTGGCGCCATCCCTGCAGCTGGCAGTGATGTCGGTTTTTGCAAACTGCCTCTTGAAGCAGCTGTGCATGCAATGCCGTGTAGCCGAGGTATTGGCTCCTGCCAAAAGGCAATGGGCATCGGTCTCTGCACCTACACCGGGTCTGTCGACCAGACAGTTGAGAAGGTGGGACTTTCGACTTTCGGCTTGCACATGATGGCCCCGGTACGACTCCATGGGGCCCGAATGTCTAAGGGTCCCAGGGGTAATGCCTTGCAGTGTCGGGACGCGGGTGAAATGCGCGCCGAACCGTGCTTCCGCTGCTGCTGCTGCTGGGCGGGTGCTGAGTCACTGGTTTTTCTAAATTCCATCTATCTGCACAAATTTTCTGACTAGCTGTCGCAGCACAGATATGAGAGCTCTCTGTCGCTTACCACCTCACGCTAATAGTGTGTTGATTTCACTGAGACCGTGGTTTCTGACTGCGCAGGTGTCTCTGGCAACCAACCCCAGCCACTACGGGAACCCAAAGACAGGTTGCCAAATCGATGAGGAAGCTGTACGTGTTAGTGGCATGTCCGGAGACTTCTGCAGTCCGAAGTGCGACAGTCGTGACGCTTGCCCGAAAGACATGCCTGCGGGGGATTCGGCAGACCCGGAGTGCGCGCTGCGAACTGCTTCGGGAGAGAAGTACTGTGCACTCCTGTGCACTTCGGACGCGGACTGCGGATGCTCGATTCCCTTCAGCCCCACTGTTTGGCGTCGCTTCTCTTGTGCCGGATAGAGGGTCTAGTATGCGTTGGTCGTGCCTGCGTGCCTGCCCAGTGGCTGAGGCCAGGGCCTTTGCCAGCACATTCTGGGCACCGGGATTTGCACATACACCTCAAGACATCAGAGCTCAAGCCTGCAGGCGGAGAGCTAAAACCTCCCGTCTCCCGTCCTGGAGCCCGAGCCCCCGAGCCTCGGATTCCCAAGCCCCGCAGCGGAACAAGTCTGCTCAGAGTTTCCGTCGGCCCCCCTCGCGGCTTGCCATCGTTTATCAAATAACGGGCTTGTTCTCAGACAGACTGTGTGTTTGCAGGTGGCAATGGCCATTGCCGTGGCAACCAACCCGACCCACTACGGCAATCCGTCCACTGGCTGCGAGTCGGACGAGGTTGCCGTTCGCGTCAGCGGTCTCTCGGGCGACTTCTGCAGTCCGAAGTGCGACAGCCAGGGCACCTGCCCAAGCGACGTGCCCAAGGGCGACACCGCAACTCCAGAGTGTGCTCTCCGAACCACGACTGGCGACAAGTACTGCGGCCTGATCTGCCAGGCTGACTCGGATTGTGGCGCCATCCCTGCACTAGCCACTGGTTGATCCTTTCTAGGTGGGCATGTGCCAAAGAGGCCTCAAGGGAGGTGCATGCACGCCGATCTACGTTGGGTCCTACATATGTTACCCCACCACAACCTACCACAGCTGTTGTCCTACGAGTTCAAGCCGACATCTCGTATCAAAGCCGCCATCGTACACTGAATCAAACAGAAATACACCTAATTTCGCGATGATTCCTAGCTCCTAAAATCACCCCAATCATAATCTGCATGATCTCCGTCATCATGCACTCTTTGTACTATCACCCCAAATTTGCAGTAGTTTCGGGCCCAAAGAACACCGTAGCATGATCTGTACCATCAGCGTCGCCATGATCTGTATCGTCAACTATCGTGCCTTCTTGAGACTCTTGACCAACCCTGTCTACATGGTAGCCTCGTGTGCGCTGTGGTTTTCGCATTCCATGTTTTGCAGGTTTTGACATTGTCTACATGATGACACAAACCACTAGTCTAGTAACACAGGCACATAATCTACATACAAACTGCTGGTTGGATGCAACAAGTCTGCAGTTTGCTAATTACTTGTGGAAGTACCACCTTCGCTCCTAAGTGTTTTTCCATGCGTCGTGAAATTTGCCTCCGCAGATCAGTCTCAGATATCTTGTGCCCAAGGTGCTCTAGAATCCTGCCATTTAAAAACCCATCCGGTGGGATGCCAATTATAGCACTCAACGTGATCCACTCATATCGGAGCTGCAGGAGACAAGTATTGCTTGCCTATATACTCCAAGCAGGAGCTTTAGCAACGGTTCGGTGCTTCACTGCAATGCACACAGAACGACCTTTCGCTGTTTTGTGGCCAAAGCGGAGTGTGTTGGCCCTAGCCAACATCTTTGCAAACTTGTCTTTTAAACAAAAGACCCCCCGACATTGTCCTTGGTCTTGCCGACATAGCTCTATGCTTGCGCCACACCCTAGTCTTGTACTGTAGAGACTCGTATTCAGCTTAAGACAAAGTGTTCATGATTGTTCATGTATAGATATACAAATGCGCTTGTGGCAAACGGTTTGGATATGGTGATACTGTTGTACCGTCATGTCAAGCTAGGTTCTTGTATCCGGCTTAGTTTAGGACCCACGGCACATTGTTATGTCAATGCCGAAATATGTCCGTATACATACCTGAAACAGACATCACGGACTTTTTTGTGGGCTCTTCGATGTTCAATGTTCGGAGTGCTGAAACTTTTTTGTGTTAGGGTTTGTTTCTTGCTTGAAGCTGTCGATGCAGATGTGCATTATGCTGATGTGCGTGGGTCAACATGAACGGGTGGAAACGAAAGGAAGCACATCACATGTGTGTGTCTATTTATATACATGTGTATGTATGTATGTATGTTTGTAGGTAGGTGGGTATAGGAGTGTACGCACACATATATGCGTACATCTATGCATATGCGAATGTGCAGTTTTAGTGTTCTACGTCTGCGATTTGAGATACCGTGCGATCCAAACCATATAGCAGTTGCACAGCAATATGACGGTCAGCGTGCCAGATGGCATGTTGTTGTTCACAGCGAACCCTGTGAAAGGTGACTTGTGACGAGGCTGTTGCAAAGCCATGTTCAAATCCTCTAGGGTGATGTGTTGCAAATGCGACGCGGTGATGTGATGGGAAGGTCCCTAGTTTGAGGCCGTCCTACAGCCTGACATGAGATGTTGTGTGGACCTTGACTCTGCTGCGCTGCTAACCCGACAACCGAGTAGGTGACCTTGCGGATTGGGTGATGGGCACCCGCAAGTTACAATGAGAAGACAATGTGACAGATGATGCTTCGGCGGTGAGCAGCAGGGATCCGTTATGTTGTCTGCATTGCAGCCGAGGCACAGGCAGCTGCCAAAAGACGATGGGCATCGGTCTGTGCACCTACGACTCGTCCACGGTGATGGCGTTGCCGGCTGCGATGACCCAGGCATGCTTTCCTTGTTACGCAAGATTGTGACATGCACCTAGGCCCCTAAACTGAGGAGGCAATACAGAAGGAGGAACTTGTACAGGGTTGCTTCGGAGCATGCTTTGGCTTGGCATGGCACGTTTGCAGGTGGCAGTGGCAACCAACCCGACCCACTACGGCAACCCGTCCACTGGCTGCGAGTCGGACGAGGTTGCCGTTCGCGTCAGCGGTCTGTCGGGCGACTTCTGCAGTCCGAAGTGCGACAGCCAGGGCACCTGCCCAAGCGATGTGCCCAAGGGCGACACCGCAAATCCAGAGTGTGCTCTCCGAACCACGACTGGTGACAAGTACTGCGGCCTGATCTGCCAGGCTGACTCGGATTGTGGTGCTATCCCTGCACTAGTCACTGGCTGGTCCTTTGAGGTGAGTAAGCGATTCTCGGGAGACTTGAGTGAAGTACATGAATGCCGAGCAAACCGTTGAAACTTAGGCACAGGCAGCTGCCAAAAGATGATGGGCATCGGTCTGTGCACCTACGCTTCGTCTATCGTGAAGGCTTTGCCGTCCGTGATGACGCAGGTGGGGACATTTCTTTTCGTGCGAGCTTGTCACGTACAGTGAAGACTAAGAGGGAATACAGAAGGAGGAAGGTTTCACACAGGCTTGCTTCGGAGCATGCTTTGGCTTGGCATGGCACGTTTGCAGGTGGCCGTGGCAACCAACCCGACCCACTACGGCAACCCGTCCACTGGCTGCGAGTCGGACGAGGTCGCCGTTCGCGTCAGCGGGCTGTCGGGCGACTTCTGCAGTCCGAAGTGCGACAGCCAGGGCACCTGCCCAAGCGACGTGCCCAAGGGCGACACCGCAACTCCCCAGTGTGCTCTCCGAACCACGACTGGTGACAAGTACTGCGGCCTGATCTGCCAGGCTGACTCGGATTGTGGTGCTATCCCTGCACTAGTCACTGGCTGATCCTTTAAGGTGAGTAAGCGATTCTCGGGAGACGTCAGTGAAGTATAGTGAAGTATGAATGCCGGGCAAAGCATTAAAACTTAGGCACAGGCAGCTGCCAAAAGATGATGGGCATCGGTCTGTGCACCTACGCGTCGTCCATCGTGAAGGCTCTGCCGGCCGTGATGACGCAGGTGGGGACACTTCTTTTCGTGCGAGCTTGTCACGTACAGTGAAGACGAAGAGGCAAGTTTTCGTACAGGGTTGCTTCGGAGCATGCTTTGGCTTGGCATGGTACGTTTGCAGGTGGCAGTGGCAACCAACCCGACCCACTACGGCAACCCGTCCACTGGCTGCGAGTCGGACGAGGTTGCCGTTCGCGTCAGCGGTCTGTCGGGCGACTTCTGCAGTCCGAAGTGCGACAGCCAGGGCACCTGCCCAAGCGATGTGCCCAAGGGCGACACCGCAACTCCCCAGTGTGCTCTCCGAACCACGACTGGTGACAAGTACTGCGGCCTGATCTGCCAGGCTGACTCGGATTGTGGTGCTATCCCTGCACTAGTCACTGGCTGATCCTTTGAGGTGAGTAAGCGATTCTCGGGAGACTTGAGTGAAGTACATGAATGCCGAGCAAACCGTTGAAACTTAGGCACAGGCAGCTGCCAAAAGATGATGGGCATCGGTCTGTGCACCTACGCTTCGTCTATCGTGAAGGCTTTGCCGTCCGTGATGACACAGGTGGGGACATTTCTTTTCGTGCGAGCTTGTCACGTACAGTGAAGACTAAGAGGGAATACAGAAGGAGGAAGGTTTCACACAGGCTTGCTTCGGAGCATGGATTGGCCTGGCATGGCACGTTTGCAGGTGGCCGTGGCAACCAAACCGACCCACTACGGCAACCCGTCCACTGGCTGCGAGTCGGACGAGGTTGCCGTTCGCGTCAGCGGTCTGTCGGGCGACTTCTGCAGTCCGAAGTGCGACAGCCAGGGCACCTGCCCAAGCGATGTGCCCAAGGGCGACACCGCAACTCCCCAGTGTGCTCTCCGAACCACGACTGGTGACAAGTACTGCGGCCTGATCTGCCAGGCTGACTCGGATTGTGGTGCTATCCCTGCACTAGTCACTGGCTGATCCTTTGAGGTGAGTAAGCGATTCTCGGGAGACGTCAGTGAAGTATAGTGAAGTATGAATGCCGGGCAAAGCATTAAAACTTAGGCACAGGCAGCTGCCAAAAGATGATGGGCATCGGTCTGTGCACCTACGCGTCGTCCATCGTGAAGGCTCTGCCGGCCGTGATGACGCAGGTGGGGACACTTCTTCTCGTGCGAGCTTGTCACGTACAGTGAAGACGAAGAGGCAAGTTTTCGTACAGGGTTGCTTCGGAGCATGCTTTGGCTTGGCATGGTACGTTTGCAGGTGGCAGTGGCAACCAACCCGACCCACTACGGCAACCCGTCCACTGGCTGCGAGTCGGACGAGGTTGCCGTTCGCGTCAGCGGTCTGTCGGGCGACTTCTGCAGTCCGAAGTGCGACAGCCAGGGCACCTGCCCAAGCGATGTGCCCAAGGGCGACACCGCAACTCCCCAGTGTGCTCTCCGAACCACGACTGGTGACAAGTACTGCGGCCTGATCTGCCAGGCTGACTCGGATTGTGGTGCTATCCCTGCACTAGTCACTGGCTGGTCCTTTGAGGTCAGTAAGCGATTCTCGGGAGACGTGAGTGAAGTACATGAATGCCGAGCCAACCATTGAAACTTAGGCACAGGCAGCTGCCAAAAGATGATGGGCATCGGTCTGTGCACCTACGCTTCGTCTATCGTGAAGGCTCTGCCGGCCGTGATGACGCAGGTGGGGACACTTCTTTTCGTGCGAGCTTGTCACGTACAGTGAAGACGAAGAGGCAAGTTTTCGTACAGGGTTGCTTCGGAGCATGCTTTGGCTTGGCATGGCACGTTTGCAGGTGGCCGTGGCAACCAACCCGACCCACTACGGCAACCCGTCCACTGGCTGCGAGTCGGACGAGGTTGCCGTTCGCGTCAGCGGTCTGTCGGGCGACTTCTGCAGTCCGAAGTGCGACAGCCAGGGCACCTGCCCAAGCGATGTGCCCAAGGGCGACACCGCAACTCCCCAGTGTGCTCTCCGAACCACGACTGGTGACAAGTACTGCGGCCTGATCTGCCAGGCTGACTCGGATTGTGGTGCTATCCCTGCACTAGTCACTGGCTGGTCCTTTGAGGTGAGTAAGCGATTCTCGGGAGACGTGAGTGAAGTACATGAATGCCGAGCCAACCATTGAAACTTAGGCACAGGCAGCTGCCAAAAGATGATGGGCATCGGTCTGTGCACCTACGCGTCGTCTATCGTGAAGGCTCTGCCGGCCGTGATGACGCAGGTGGGGACATTTCTTTTCGTGCGAGCTTGTCACGTACAGTGAAGACTAAGAGGGAATACAGAAGGAGGAAGGTTGCACACAGGCTTGCTTCGGAGCATGGATTGGCCTGGCATGGCACGTTTGCAGGTGGCCGTGGCAACCAACCCGACCCACTACGGCAACCCGTCCACTGGCTGCGAGTCGGACGAGGTTGCCGTTCGCGTCAGCGGTCTGTCGGGCGACTTCTGCAGTCCGAAGTGCGACAGCCAGGGCACCTGCCCAAGCGACGTGCCCAAGGGCGACACCGCAAGTCCAGAGTGTGCTCTCCGAACCACAACTGGCGACAAGTACTGCGGCCTGATCTGCCAGGCTGATTCGGATTGTGGCGCCATCCCGGCACTAGTCACTGGCTGATGCTTTGAGGTGAGTAAGCGATTCTCAGGAGACTTGAGTGAAGTACAAAGACCGAGCAAAGCATTTGAAGCTTAGGCACAGGCAGCTGCCAAAAGATGATGGGCATCGGTCTGTGCACCTACGCATCGTCCATCGTGAAGGCTCTGCCGGCCGTGATGACGCAGGTGGGGACAACTTGTCACAGGCATGTCCAGTCAAGACTAACAGGTAATACAGAAGTGTTGCTTCGTTTCACGATTGCAGGTGGCCGCGGCAACCAACCCGACCCACTATGGCAACCCATCTACTGGCTGCGAGTCGGACGAGGTTGCCGTTCGCGTCAGCGGTCTGTCGGGCGACTTCTGCAGTCCGAAGTGCAACAGCTCTGGGATTTGCCCCAAGGAGCAAACGGGATTGTAGTTTGGTGCATGCAGGGTCAGGGTTTGTTCCGCGTAATTCTGGAAAAGCTGTGCGCTAGGACATGCCCAAGGGTGATACTGCAGTTCCCGAATGTGCTTTGCGCACTACCACTGGGGACAAGTACTGTGGACTGGTCTGCCGATCCGACTCAGACTGTGGTATGGGGCTTACGAGTGCTCGGTTTTCTTGTCGTTTGGCTTTGCCCAGAACTTCTGCATGCGTCCTGAGGAACTGGCTCCTGCCAGACCAGCCTGGGGGTCGGCCTCTGCACCACGCTTGGAATTTGCAGTGCCAGTGACTGCCAGTGCCGAGTTTGCCTGAGTCTCCGAAAGCCCTGGCCTATTAGGCACCTACGCCGCCGCGGATGCAGCGCGCCCGCTGCAGCTTCTTCCTGCCGAGGTTCCGTAGCTGATTTGAGCCTTTGTCAGTCTCGCATATGCCGCACATGTCTTCGTGGTGCAGCACCCGAGGCGGCACAGATCATCGTCTAAGCATGCTCGAGGCCTTGGCTGCCAAGTTTCAAGCAGCCAGATGCTCGCAACATGCGAATGCAGAGAGAACGAGGGAGCGAGGAGAAAGCACGAGCATCGTGCGCGAACGAGAGTCGCGTCAGTGCGTGTGACGGCTCATTCTGGAGGCTGCAGCGATGCACGCGACAAACTCTACAGTTTTCAGCAGAAACCAATGTGCCGGAGTGCAGCTGGCTTTCTCTCATTGCCATTGCGGTTGCAGTCCGGTGACTCAAGGGAGTCCTAGTCGACCTGAACTCTGAAGGCTTAGGGCATGCATCCGATCATTTCTTGGGACCCGGGAGGCGAGCTTCTTCCGTGGGTGCCCTGCGCCCACATGTGAGGCAGTCTTTCGCAGGGACCTCGGAAAGCTAAGGCAGCGACAGTATGAAACGGCTGTTGTCGTAGTGTTGCCTTGGTATCTTTTTCGCTCTGGTGCAGAATCAGAAGGCACGGAAGGACTCCGGACAGCGTATCCACACTGTTACCACTTGCCATGCAAAGTCGGGAGGCTGTGGAGCCAACGGCCGTAATCCAGTCTCGCCTAGCCGGTAATCTGATCACCACAGCCTTGTCCCTGAGAAAGAGTCTACCGCGCTAGGCCGCTAGGCTAGGCAATTGGAGCTGCACGAGAGGGCACAACATGATGCTTTGGAAGGTCTGACTCCTGAGTGGAAGGACTTTGTAGCAGTTTGTTTAGTTTGCCAGTATGATCAACATGCTGGTCTCTCGTGAAGACTTCATACCGGCAGCTGCCCGGTGCCCTCGGTGCTGCCGGCAATTTGTGCATCCGCAGCACCGCCAGCGGACAACCGGATTAGCCTGCAATAGCAGTTTCCTCAGCGAAGGGGTCGTGTGACAAGCATAGGTTGAGAGTTTCCCAGATTTCATGTTTAGCCTGGACCCCTCCGCCATCCCAGACAAACTGGAGTGCGGCGTACATTCAGCCTGATTGGGGCCGTCGCACCTGGTTTCAACCAGAGAAGTGGAGGGAAGCTGCAACGCCAACGCCGTGTGTAGTCAAAGATGCGCCCAGACCTAGATTCCCAGATGTTGTGCATGATTGTCGTCATTGCAGCACGTGGCCGATAGGAAATGAATGCCAAAAGCAGCTTCCGTCAGCTTCCCATGCCTCGTCTCAGCTGTGAGTGCCACACGTGCGACCCGACAAAAAAGGTTTGTGCAAGGTTCGAAAAAGGTCTGGGTCCGTTCTTGAGTTGATGATGTGGCTTAAAGGCTTTGGCCAAGTGATGCCAGGGTTCCGGCACGTACGCTGACCTTGCGGAGCAATCGCATCTCGCTCGCACCTCGCTGTGTCTCGGTCCAGGCTGTGTGGCGGTGCACCGCAGCGCCCGCAGCATCTCCTCAGAATCAACACCCAGGGGGCAGACCTTCTGCTCCTCTATTGCACAGTGTCGTCGCTTCTGTTTCCTTCCAGATTCAGGTGATGCCAACGTCCTGGGCCTTATCGGGATTCGGCCGTGCTGAAGCAAGGTATGAAGTATGTGCAAACTAGGCGCGGGGTTTACATTGAATCCGTGCGACACGAGTCTTGTACGGTTTGTCGATTTGTTGTTTGGCATGCCATGGGTCTGGTGGATGATCGCTTTGCCTGCAGCGGCCGCGTTCGGCGACGACTGGCCATTGCGGCAGGACAACAAGGGCCTGAAGGGCGGCCTTGCGTAGTATTTCCAGAGCGCCTAGAGGGGACAGTCCTTGGTATTTCCTTTGCAAGGCCATGGATCAGGGAGCAGCTCTCTGGGCGTTACATAGCTCCCCCATCGTGTGTTTTGGCATTTCTGATGTACGACTTTCCGTGCAATTCAGCAAGGGCATGACTAACACTCAGAGCAGCAGAGACTGTTTGCTTCCCTGAGCTAATTGAGTCTTCAAACCGCGCAGTATGCTGTTCAGTTCCACACTCCTGTTGATCAGTTAACATAGAAGCTGGGGACCAAGTTGACTTGAACTGACCATGCAGGTCTGCAGCGACATCGGAAGGGCAGCTAGGCCACCAGATTCGGCCGACTTGACTCATCGCTTTCCCCGCCTGCGCGAGGGCATTGTCAGGCCTCTTCACATGTCACAGACAGAGAAGAGGCGCACACACACGCACAGTGAGTGCTGTCCACATCCTGCACAAAGGTAAACTGGATGCAGATGCGCAGGTGGCTCTGGAGTCAGGTGGCTGGGTGTCTGGACTTATTTTTTCTATTCTTGGTGTTTCGAGTTTTGGGGGTTGGCATCCGCTGCACGCAACAGTAAGCTAGAGACCTTGCAGTATTTCTGCACGTTGTCTCAGGAGAAGCATCGAGCACTGCATGTTCCGTCTCCCTAATGATCGGTTTCGCAAGGCTCCAAAGTCTGCACTGCCAGCAGCAGGTGAGCGCAACAGACTCCGGGCTCTCCCTGACCACCAAGGAGTCCCTGTGGGCCGGTGGGGATGAAAGTGGTTTTCTTGACGTGGCTGTAGGGATGCGTAGGAGGACGGCACAGCACCCGGTGGAGCTCTCGTCACCATTGCAGCTTTGTGCAGGACACGCGTCGAATAGGATTGGTGTCAGGGGCTTGTGATCAGGGGACGTCGTGGCAGTGACGCATGTGGTTATGAAGACGTTCTCAGATGCTGTGGATCACTGTTTGCCGTGTTGACTTCGACTTCATCTGCGCTGCGCTCAGGTCCGTGCAGGCTTTAACGACCTATCGCCACGGACCCGCCAACGAAGAGGTTTGCAAGAGTGGGATCTTAAGATTGCAGGTTCAGGTGACGAGCCCGGGCTAGGAGGTCCACAACTGAGAAGATGCCGATCCTTGACAGCTGGGACTTTGTCTCCGTCCACGTTATGGCCGTTAGGGGCTCTTTTCGGGCGGCATTCTTCTTTCCAGAGCTTCGGGTTGAACATCTGGTTTGGGTCCAGCAGACCGTGATGCGGAGGCGTGCTGGCTGGGGGTCCTCGCCCTGCAGTTCTGGGGCCTTCTGATGCAGTTTCCGCAGATTCATCCGTACGAGTTTGAGGCAGCTGACCTGCGGGTTACATACCACCTGACTGCTATTCTCAAAATCATTGTTTGTATCATGACCAGTGCCTCGGAGATACGGTTGCGGCGGTCATGATTCTTGATGCCAAGTTCACCGAACGGCCACACTTAGAGCAAAGCTCCGCTAGGTGGATTGGCGACTGTTCGCGAGTGCGGACTGGACTTTGCTGCTCGACACAGAGAGTGATGTGAATGCACCCTCTGTTGTACATGTACAGGAAGCCATGACCATGACATGCATGTTGTAACTGTATTATATGCCGCTGTGTAGCTTCGCAGTCGGTGAAAAGGTCCGCCAATTTCAAATTGGTAGCGGAGCAGGTACCCCCAGACGGGACCTGTGTCTGCGGGGACCGAAGTAGCCTGTAGCCTGTGGTGGGCCTGGGAGGGCCCGAACCTACCCATTGCCTACCCATTGCGCACTCCCCCTTCAAACTTTCAAACTTCCCTTCGAACCTTCGCCAATCATGTCCGTGGCCGGTCTTCGGTACAGTCGCTCCACGTATTCGAGTACTCCCCTGGAGACTCGTAGCGGGAGCTACATTTACGATGGCACCCCCAGTACGTTCCACGACTGGGAGTCTAGGACCTCTATGAGGCTTAAACTGTACGAAGATGCTATCAGGAGCAAATCCAAGAAGACCGTGGAGCCCGAAGAAGAAGGCAGTGATGATGAGAGCCGCGTCGTAGAGCCGAGTCCGACTGCGGGAGCCACTGCCCCTGTACCTCCCGAGGACAGGCCCGACATGGATGCAACCGAGGCAGCAGCAGCAGCCTCTGATGGTGGATCCCGCAAGAGACCACCCACGCCGAAGTCATCCGACTCGGTCTCAGGACTGCCGATTGCAGACGAAATGTCATCCTATGCGATTAAGGCAAGAACCGAAATGGTGCACAAAGTGCTGGAAGGACTTCGGGACGAAGCCTTCGAACTCGCCCGGGATATCGGTATCGAATCCCTGACTGGCCCCGGTGGCCTCCGGGATTGCATCACCAAGTTGAGGAATGTTGTTTTCCCCGTGCCACCGAAGAAGCTCGAGAGCTCTTCCGTGCAGGCCAGAAGCAAGGTGTCCTCGCACGCCAAGGCGGCGAGTCGATGCTGTCGTACGTCAGCCGGCAACGACGTTGGTGGAAACTGCTAAAAACCTTAGACGCCAGCATCGAGCTTTCCGAGCCGATGCGTGTGGAGTTGCTGCTGGAGCTTTCTGGATTGACTCGGCAGGAATGCCTGGTCATCAAGGCGTGCACCACCAGCAACCGAAGCTTTGAGGCCGTCGCTGCTACCCTAGTGGAGCACTACAGCGGTGTTCACCTAAAGGAAGGTCGTTCCTTAGGTGGCGGTACCTTTCAGGACCGCCGATCGAATCACCATCCTGGTGCCCGCCGCGGCAACCCTAAGGGCTACGGTAAGAGTAGGTCTAAGGGTTTCAACCGTCGCGCCTACGTCGCTGAAGACGAGACGCAGTACTACGACGACGCGCAGCCGGACGATGGCGACGACGCCGAAGAGTACGACGACACCTCGTACCCCGCCTTTGGGGACGAGACTGAGTACGATCCTCACTCCTACCCCGTCGGGGAGGAGGAAGAGGACCCGGGCTACGAGGAATTCGGGCTCGAGGAAGAAGAGGCAACTGCCCTTAATTGCCTCGAGGAGCTCGATCCCGAGGATGCAGACAGCGGCCATGTGATTCAATTGCAGCTTGCCGCAAACGCCGCATTCGGAAAAGCGAAGGGGCGTAAAGGCAAGGGCCGCAAGGGCAAAGGGAAAGGTAAGGTAGTGCGATCACACCTTACGCTCGACGAACGTCGCGAGAAGATGAAAAACCTGAAGGCGCGGTCGAAATGCCTCAGGTGTGGGGCTATTGGTCACTGGGCAGGTGATCCCGAGTGCAAGTTCCCTACCGCTAAAGGAGGGAAGGGAAAGCCCCGGGCCCACATAGCGATTGTGGAGCCGCGACAGGACCCCGACGGGGGCCTGTACGTTCCCTCAGGGAACGATGTGGACCCTAGTGGCCACATGGTGCGGGATCTAAGCAAGGCTAGTTCCAAGGCAGCCCCCTCACAGCCATCTAGCTCAATGCAGATGGAGGGGGGCGACCGAAGATTTAGTCTCGGTCAACACGAGGGCCAGACTTACGAGGAGGTATCCCGTAAGACGGAATTCGTGCGCTGGGCTCTCGTCCAGCCGAGCCCTGCCGCGCACCTTAGAGATTTCCTCACCTGCTTTCAGCAAGGTGTAGGAGGTCAATATTATCGTGAAACTCGTGCCTCAATAGGTATACCTGAGGGAACCTATAACCCTCGCCCGAGGGGAAAGGGCGCGAAGAAGAAGACTCCACCGAATCCGCCTTTGGCGGAGAAGTGTAGCTCGTGCACAGAATTCTCCTACCAAGGAAGTTCTGCCAATTATGTCCGCAAGACCTGCAGGGACTGCGGCCATGTATCCCAGGAGAAACGGGAACATGTATATACCGTAGACCCCGCTGTATGCTCACACGAGGCAACAGACCATCGGGGTAGTTCGAGGACAACGTCCCGAACCTTCTGCAGAATGTGTGGCACATTCGTCGATGAAGTGCCGCAGGAGTTTCACCGAGAACGGAAGGCCGTCTCGGAGCGCATCCTGGAAGCGACAGACCTCGCGCTTCCTCTGGTTCAAGCGGTCACCGCTGACGACGCGACCGCCGACCTCGATCCCGAGGCGGTGTTGCAGATCATGGGTTTGTACCAGGATCGCATCAATCAGGCCATTGCGTTGGAGGAGTGTATTCACCCGACGGCGCTTCACTTGTGGTTAAAGGAAGCGATCACTATGGTGGTAGGATCTAGCCCCATAAGTCCTTCTTGGGAATTCGCCCCGACAGCAATGGTGGCCCGAGGGCGTAGCCCCGGGCGGAACAAAGGAAAAGGGAAAGGGAAGGCCAAGCCGCCTGCCCCATCCGTTCCTGCTCCAGAGCCAGACCCGGCTCCAGAGCTTGAACCGACCGGCGCACCGGAGTTGTACAGCATTTCGGATCCCTTAGGGACCGATTCCTTTGTGTACAGCCGTGACCCGGATCTCGATCGCGATTATCAAGAAGCTATTCTACTAGAAAGCTTCAGGGCCGATGACGATCTGTACGACCCGTTCCCGGGTGGTTCGTCAGACGACGGATCGCCGGGATCCTACAACGTTGCAGAACTGGACGACTACATCGCCAGACAGGCTCAAGAGGAGCTGGACGCAGCTTTTGAACAAGCGCGCCAGCAGACCCAGAATGATGCCGAAACCGACAGTGTGACACCTCCTGTCTCAGCGTCGGCAGCCCAGAACCGTCTGCAGGTACGGCACGTCCCCGGACGGGAGATTATGCAGCTGGACTTCCAGGCACGCCAGCGACAGGGAACCGAACCGGTCCCTTGGTGGGAAGAGCCGACAGAACGAGATCTGGACCTCCAGAATCTCTGCCGGCATGATGCCTGGAGACGCCGACACGAACAAATCCTGGCCGAGGGTTTCGCCAGGAGAAGAGAGCTCGACGCACAGAGGCGCGAGGAGGAGTACCAAGAGGCCTGTGCCCAAGCAGGACCTGAGTATCCGCGCCAAGTGGAAGGCGGAAGCCTCCTCCTCTGGGAATGCTCAAGCATCCTCTCCGAGGAATGCCCAGGCATCCTTGTCGTCAGCCCCTAAGGAAAACCCTAAGGGTGGTTTCATAGATAGGTCGGTTGTATGGGAGGCAGATGCTGCACAAGCATATGTGCAAGCCGAGGAGGAGCCTCGTGACCCTTACGTCACAAACCCTAACCGCTTCACTGGACCCTCCCGGGCCAGTGCCTCCGCCTCTCGACAGGACCTGTCCAGCAGTGTAAGTCCAGCCTCGACCGCGGCACCGGCGAGGACCGTCGGGCAGGGCAAGGGAGCAGGGATAGAGCCTAAACCTAGGTGGCTTAAGCGAGGTAAAGGTAGGGGAACCCCACCTTCAGAGCCAAGCCTACCTGCGCAGCCCAAGGGCCTCTCTAAGGCGAAAGCTAAGGGGAAGGGTGATGGAAAACCTAAGGTCTTTCCCAGGAATATTGCAGGTGCAGGATCAGCTTCTGGTAGCGATCTAGTCCGAATTGACAACTTACCCCTGGTAGACATGTGGGACCCGCTAGAGGCCCACGTATGGGGTGCCCTCGACGAAGGTTGCAATTCCACCTGCCATAGTGCATCCTGGGGAGCACTAGCGGAGAAAAGACTTAAGGCGTTAGGGCCTAAGTTTCCCTTGGGTTGATTCTAGGACAAAGTCGTTTGCGGGTTTAGGTGCAACATCCTACACCCTTGGAAAACGTCGTTTGCCGTTCAGCATAGCTAAGGGAGACACAACCATTGGCGGTGTACTAGAATCCCACGAAGTAGACACCTCTGCCCGGAACCCCTTGCTGCTGAGCCTCTTTGCCCAGAGTACCTTAGGACTCATTAAGGACATGAAAACATGTACCTGTATGATCCACAACCAGGATGGCTCATTGTCGCGAGTGCCTCTCGCTAGGTGTTCAGAGACAGGCTTGCTACTACTTTGCTTAAGTACCTTTGAAGAGGACTTACCAGCCTGCGTTAGAGCACTTAGGACCCCCGAGCATAGGTCCACAGCCAGAGCTAGGCCTGCAGTGAAGGCCCTGGTCGCGGAAGATTCGGAAGCATCCCTGGAGATTGGTACCCCTAAGGGACCAATCGAGGGGTTGCTTGAGGAAGGTACCCGTAAGGGACCTTCCCCTACAGCCATGGTCCTTGTGTCACCAGTACCTGATACCAAAGGACTGGTTAACGGGTGCCTGGTAGGCCCGGAATCCTTTCACTTTGAGAAGGCGTACGACCATTTTGGCGACATTGTCATTCTGACTGGTGGTGCAAGGTACCAGTTTGACGCTCGAGGCAAGACCCGAGTGCGTATTCACTACCGGGACGGATGGGAGGATAGCTTTCCCCCATCGATCAGGACGTCACACAAGCTCTACCTGCACGACTTGAGGAATCTTAAGGATCCTCACCTTGGAGAGTACAGTCACTGCGTGGGCCGACACCCGAAGATACTGGAGCAGATCTTCATGCCAGCAGCAACGGCCCTGCTATCGATGATCTTTAGGGACATCGAGATTGCAGTGAAATCGAGGACGCCAGCCATTATTTTGCCGTATTGCAATGGCAACCGGCATCGCAGTGTAGCCATGGGCACATGCGTATCGGCTGGCCTCTACGTTTTGGGGATGAACCACTTTTTAGGTCATCTACATGCGTATGTATCCTGGGGCGACATGAAGTGTGGCGGCCACTGCGCCTGGTGCAGAGGACATTTTACACATGCCTCTGCGACTGAACTCGGGAATAAGTCTTGGCACATCTGGATCCTGCGATGACCAGTTACGCCCGCCATCCGGCCCAGGCGGAGAGGGACCGGCAGATGAGGCAGCCACCGCCGGATCCCGCTGCACACAGCGTGCCGCCTGCGCCGAGTAGAAGGTCCTCGACCTCTACTGGTCCACCGGTTAACGGGGACCCCAAGGAATCCGCCTTCTGGATCCTTAGGCAGGGCGTCGACTCCGAACAAGCAGCCGAAGAAGCAGGAGTCGCCAGGGCCGTCGACGACCACAGTTCCTGGGTCGCATCCGGAGGTGCGCCACCGCCGCCACCGCCGAATCCGACTCAGGATCGGTCACCGCGTGGACCCCCTCGTGGGCCACCGAGGCGATTCCGAGGAGGGTGGTACCCCTAGCGGACCTCCCAATCTAGAGGCACCTGGACGGTTGAGGGACCGCTACGCGGCCCTCGAGTTGGTCAATCTCGAGCTGCAAGCCGAGAACAAGCAATTGTACGGTAAAGCATGTGTAGCCGACGATTGGAACCAGTGGTTCGAGCAGCAACAACAGGCGGGGTACCTTACAGGATACCACCGCACCCCTGCACAGAGCCCTTCTGGCAGGCGATCTACCCAGCGAGGGAGATCGAGATCCACTGGCGGTTACATCTCGAAGAGTTCGACCCCGAGGCTGGGGGGACGACACCCCGGCAAACACGGCCGGCGTTCAGGCACATCGGGAAGGAGCAGCACTGACGTTGGCCAGGAGCCCCAGTTCTGAATCCGATACTATTGCCCGTCAGCTAAACCTCACCTTGAAAAAGGAACCTAGCGACGAGGGAGTAGTAATCGCTTCAGAGTCCCCGACGGGTGCTGGGTTCAGATCCGTGTGCTCAATGGCAGTGCTAAGCAAGGGGAGGCGTAAGCTGATAACCAAGGGTATCAACGAATTAAGGGACCATGACAAGGCCCTTAAGCGCCTGCTAGATGTAAGCAACGTAGGAACCACTGTCGGTCCTAAGCACATCGTTGTTTTCACTACCGAACCCCAACACTTCCAGGACCCAATGGTCCACTGCATCAACGTGGGCCTGAATGCCACGGGCGCCTGGACACCAAGTGGTGCCAGGAAGGAGCTGCAGTCTGTGGGTCCTAGTCTTATCATGGTAGCTATAAGGTATAAGGACCCGATAGATGGCCTTAATCACTCCGACCTTATAGATGAGGTTGTTAGCCACTCCGAGGCGTCCGGGACACCGTACCTGTTAATGGACAGTGCTCAAACCTATAGGTGGCAGGAAGCTAGCATTCCTATTCAACCTGTATACGGAGTAGGCGACATCTCCTACTATGGCAACGACAACGGCATTATGGATGTATTTGATGGCTGGACCACAAATAGTTATCCCTATATGGCTCCGTTGAGTTTTGACAACGTGTTTTCCGTAGATTCGTTGTATGGCTTCGCCAAATAGCAGAACACCAAGTAGCTACTGCACTTGTTTCCCAAGAAGCCTTTCGCAGCGTGCACTTCTCAGGAATGCAAAACCGTTGCCGTACACGTACTCGGTGGGAGACGTGGTTTGCTTTAGGCGAGACAAAACGGGCAAAACTGTTTGGTCTACTGCGTCTAGAGTAATCGGTTTTGAGGGTAGCCAAAACGAGAGAGTGTGGGTTCTGTGCCAGAACGTACCGGTTCTAGTGTCCGCACAGAATCTAAGACCTGCGCAAGATGCAGAAGCACTTGCACATGCAGTTCTCCAAGGAGAACCCGTGTTGCCAGAGGAACTAGTGCGTGGACAGCAACACTTTGAGGATCTCAGAGATGTACCCGGCGGGGACATCGATGAGGAAGAATCCGAGGATGCACCACCAGGAGATGTACCTCAAGAGGAAGATGAAGAACCATCTTACGGTCTTCTAGACGGCCCAGGACCACTCTCATCAATCTTCGAAGACGAGGAGATGACTGATCAACCAGAGCGGCCGGACCGAGGTAGATCTAGATCACCTCCACCAACATCTTCTTCTAGATCCCGACGGGTCAGCACAGCTGAACCCGAAGCGGAGAGAACCCCTAATCCTAGCAGAAGGGGTAGCAGATCAGATCTTCTAGACGATCTGCCAGCACCTATTAGGCCACGTTTCGAGGAACGTAGGCTCGAGGAGGGAGCTAACGTGAGTATTCGGCAGAAACTCCGTGGTTTTTGGTCTAACCGGTTCTCTTCCAGAGAACAGGTTGAGCAGGAACTCAAGGACCTCCCCGAGGCCTTGAAATACTGGGAATGCACCCCAGCAGTCCGCTTGCGGATCGATGGATCACGCGCTAAAGAGTGGAAGAAATATGAGGACTTTCAAGCGGCAATTCCGCTGAAAGGAGCGCAGCTTAAGGAACTATTAGACGCCGGTCATACGCCGATACCATCTAAGTGGGTCGACACTATTAAGAACTATCATGAACGTCTTAAGCCGGATTATGAACCTGAGTTCAAATCCAGACTGGTGTCCTGTGGAAGTTTTGAAGATTCCACAGAGGTTCGCACAGACGCGCCAACCTCAGATCTCGAAACACACGCGCTAGTAGCCGCGTTCGCCGCTTCCAACGGGGTCCCCGTAGAATCGTCAGATATCCGCAACGCCTATTTTCAGGCCGAGCCGATTGACCTAGCGGAGGACTTCCACGGGTAGACCCGGAAGCGATGCTTCTTATCAGAGTACCTGTATCTGGACTCTGTGATACCGGCCGTGGTTTTTGGAGGAAAGTTGGCCGGGAAGCACGTGACGTCGGCTTCCAGGTGAGTAGAATCTTTCCCGCGTTTTACTTTTACCGCGCCGCCGGAAAGGTGGTTTGCGTCTTGACAACGCACGTCGATGACTTCTTGTGGGCATCGATAGGCAAGGGTGGAACTATCATAGATAAGCTCCTAAAGAAGTTTGAGGTAGGCCGCCGCGAGTCGGGAAGACCACGCTTTTGCGGTAAGCAATTCGACATATCTGGAAAGGACGTGTTAATCGACGTTACCGATAACACGAATAAGATCACCCACATTGACATCAAGGCAGGCAGAAAACACTCGGATCTTATTGACCGAGGTGAAGAACGCCAACTACGCTCCGTAGTCGGCAGCCTTTCGTGGATCTCTAGGCAAGCGAGGCCAGATATCCTATACCGTGTATCGAAGCTCCAGAGCTCGATAAAAGGTGCAACTGTTAGCACTCTCCATGAGGCTAACAAAGTCCTAGAACTTGCCTTGAAGGGTCGTGACCTCAAGTTAAGATACAAAAATGGGGCATTCGATTTCGAAAGCTTAGGCGTACTGACAGCTTCGGACGCTAGCTTTGCAGGCGAAAAGGGGGATCGTTCACAACAAGGACGTATCCACTTTCTCGCTCCAGCTGCCTAGCTTCGCGATCCAAATTGTAGTCGTTACGACACAATGATCGTGTCGTTTTCATCCACCACGATCAAAAGAGTATGCAGAGCAACTCTTCAGGCTGAGACCTACGCCCTCCAAAGCGCCCAAGAGGCAGGGGACCGAATAAGAGCAGCTTTAGCCGAAATCTACGGATTCGGTAGCTCAGGCCCCGATTGGGAAGTTCGTGCGAGAACACAGGTTCCGCACATTGCGCTGACGGACTGCCGCAGCTTAGCCGATCACCTCAACACGGAGGCTCCGTCCCGTGTGCAAGACAAGCGTTTGCAGATCGAGCTTAGCGCTCTTCGCCAGTCTATCTTTACAGAAGACGGCGCACGCACCGTCGACGTCTACCCAGCGGGAGGAGACAGAGTGGACTGGATTGATACAGCCACTCAGGCCGCTGATTGTTTCACCAAGTCCATGAAACCAGACTTCATCATAAAATTGATCGAGGCTGGTGAGTACAGCATTAGTCGAGCTAAGCTGTAGGTGTAGATCGCAGACGCTACAATCGTGGGCATACCTTGTATGTACCATAGTAGCTGAGTCAGTGCTAGAGTAGCATGCAGACACCACTTCTAGAGGACAATGATTATTGTACCTCATGTGGTTAATTCAAATTTTCCTCAATGTCATGGCATGAGAACAGGTTGAGTGTGAATGTACCCTCTGTTGTACATGTACAGGAAGCCATGACCATGACATGCATGTTGTAACTGTATTATATGCCGCTGCCGTTAGGGCCCTTGAGTCATACCGTGTAGCTTCGCAGTCGGTGAAAAGGTCCGCCAATTTCAAAAGTGACTTTCCTGCTGCCATGTGGGCATGTAGTCATAAGCAGACCGCATGCCCAGGGTCCTCTTGTCGGAGTTCCCGATTTTTGGGCTGCTCCACCAGGCAAGGAATGGCCGATTGAAGTTGAAGTTCGTTTGAATCAGGGTTTTCTGCAGTGCCAAGCATCAAGTCTCCGGTACAGAGTCTGCGGTGATGCAATGTGGAGAGTGTCTTCCTCACGGTGCCCTGGACAACGTGCAGGCGCAGCAGGCGATCCAGTCCTGCCAGCTGGCTTTACAGCAGCATCATTCCGATTTTGTGCTTTCAGTGATTTCGAGCTCTGCAGAGCCTTATTGTGTCGTCGAGGACCAGGAGGGAAAGCAATGATTCCTTCCATCGGGAACTTGTGGCCCCTGTTGTTTCCGTCTTCAAGGTCGATATAAAGGAAGTACGCCGTGTCAGTGCAGTTTCGACATTGCCTCTCGGCATCAAGAGTCAACTCGAGAGTCGAGAGCCACGGCCTGTGAAAGACTCGGGGCAAGACATACAAAAGGCATGCTGTCGACATGCACCCGAAGCTGCCATTGCAACAGGAAGACCTATCAAGTTATGTCCTCACAGCTTAGGACTGCAATACGCGACCGGGAACAGCTGAAAAACAAGCGAAGGCCAAGGATGTTTGAGGTGAGATGACACTTGTGACCGTGTGTGCACGAACCGAGAAACCCATAGAAGCAACAGCCCTTGAATGCATTTACTTATTCGTTTATAGTCGTGATCTGTTTGTATCGCTGGCGCGCGTGAACTTTCCCGACCCAGCCACACTCTGTGTAAGGTGAGATGTTCGCGGTTGGCACGACTCGTCTTCCGGGCGGCCGCACGGCACGATTTTGTTGACCTGCGAAGTGTTGCGTTGTTTGAGCTTCAGATGCTTTCTCCCGGAGTCCAGCTTGCAACCATGAGCTTCTCACCGACCGCGGAGGTCTGGATAGTCACAGCGGTACATTAGCGAACGGGCTTCTGTGCTGTTGCGAGATTGTAAGCCACAAGCTTACTGAAGGCCACTAAACGCGCTGCAAGGTAAGCTCATCTCAGATATGTTGCTTCATGAAGGCAGACTGGCCTCCTAGAACTAGTGCATCAGAACGGGCTACTTCCGCAGGTTAAAGGCCCTGCAGGCATGCTTCACGCCTCTGTCAGAGATCGCACAGAAGTTGCACCGTTATAGCCCGCCTGCTTCGCCATAGAGGAACATTGTAACATGGCGTTTGTTGGACATTCTGTTTTACTTTGCCGGTGGGCTAAGGTCACCGCACGTGCCCGCTGCCTCGCTGTGACCTCCAAGATGATGCCGAGGGCCTGGGCCTGGAGGAGCCGGGGTTCTCCTGGCCTCTTCAGGGCGGCGGGTCTAGCGGAGAGAGCTGCCATGCGGGGGATCCGTCGCAGGTACGCAGGTAGCCGCTGCATAGGGTTAGGAGGTCCGATCCATGGAGGGAAAGGCCAAGGCAGATGTCAGCTCGAACAAGGGGTAAGTGAACGGTAAACAGAGGGTGAAGCTGTAACGCAGCGAACGGTAAAAATCAAAGCTAACACCACGCGAAACAAAAAGGAGACGAAAAGGTAGGAAGGAACAAAAGAGAAGACCAGGCACGGGTCACGTGACTCGGATTTTCCTGCACTCCCAGGCCGCCCATCCGCCAGGGCGGGCGGGGTGGCGGGCGGTCGGGTGTCTTTCACAAAGCAGTCACAAAGCAGTCAACAAAAATGTGAAACAACGGATAAGAAATGCAAGCCAAAGGTAAACACACAGGTGAAACAAAGGCAGCACAAGGGAAAGGCCAGGCCCGGCCCGGTGACCCTGGACATTTTTTAGATTTCTAGCTTCAGTGAGGTTTCGTTGTTTTGTTCTATTCTATATCTATATCTTATTTTGTTCAAAACGCCCCCCCGCCATCGGAAGGGTCTTTCCAAGTATAGGGTTCGTTGCTCGATTAAAAGAGGTCGCACTTGCAGGAGAGCGGCAGATGAACGTCCAAACAACCAGCAGAGGGCACGCAGCCACTTTCGAACATGCGGCTTGCGAGCCAGCAGCACAATCTCAAGAAATTTCATTGTCCGGATTCTGAAGCATGGCATAGCACAGCGACCACTGACACCTATTTTGCTTTTGCCGTGCCAGTCTTATTGCACGAACCTTTCCTGTCTGCACAGGAAGTACAGCGAGCCCAGCTCTTCTTCGATATGCTGGTGAACAGTGCTCTAGCTGGGGAGGCAGTGTTCATGGTGCTCCTTGGCATTGTTTCAGCTTCGACCCGCGTTTTAACACGCTTGGATCAAGCCTGAGATCGGAATGAACGTGCGCTCAAGGGTTGAAGTGGGGACTTCTCTGGTTTGAGTTGTGGTGCGAAGGACGCTTCCTAGAGTGCCGCGCTGCCCGCTGGGCCAAGCAGCGCAGGCACCGGGCAGGTGATGTTCTGTGGGCAGGCACATGTCACATGGAGGTAGCCCCTCTGATGTTCCAGGATCTAGGTTGCAGCCGACAAGAATTGGGGCTTCTGGCGGCTCGTGAACTTGCGGGAAGGTGTAGGAGAGGGGATGCGAGCGCATGCTTGTTCCTTTTGGTCAGGAGTTGGCATTCGCCGTTGTGGACGCCACCACGACCTGTTTTTCGTGGACCTGCTCTGGGTTCTGTCTGGAGACTTCCAATTTGCATTTTCCTATTTGACAGCCCTGTCTGATGCCGCATCAAGCTGAAGTTACCTGCCAGGCCGTTCGGTATGGTGCTGGAGCATGGCGGCAGATCTCCCGATCGGTCATGTCCGCCAAGAGCTGCCTCCCCAGAGGGAAGGTGTCGGATAGCAACAATGCGTTTTAACTTTTTCGCTTTGCAGACGCACCGTCACGAAACGGCTAGCGAGACATGAGCAAGCCATGGTGATGCGTTTTAACTACAAGGTCTGGCTTCCAGTTCGGCAAGGTGTAGGAGAGCACCACATAGAGCCGAATGTCTGAGGTGTCCTTCCAAGAACGTAGTAGTGTGACATGTCGTGAAAAAAGAGCTCTAGAAGTCGTTGAATATAGCTAATATAGTTGCAACTAACTGGAAACAGTGCTGCTGCAAAATTTACAGGTTCCCGATAGGTCTGTCGGTCGCTCCGGTACATTGCAGATAGTGTTTGACTGCCACTTACTGCCATTACCGCTGGCATGTTCCGTGGTACGTCGTATATTCGGGAAGGTAGTCAGCTTCGTGTGAAAGACTGTCGGAGCAAGATATTGCGTTGCTGGTTCTTGGCAGATGTTGCGCCTTGAGCTCAGTCCGAAGTGGTGTGTTGGTTTCGGATCTGTCAGATGCACAAGCAGCACAACCTTGCTAACATCACAGCTCGCAGGCAGTTCTTTCCCAGAGGCAGAAATTCGGACGACAAGTTGCCCCTGCAGCCCTAGACCCGGAATCCCAACCTCGAGAAACCAGCAACAACGCATAACAACGCCTAGGCCGCATGATGAAATGGCTCCAGGCCACAGCCACACGCACATCGGCATGTACTTTCCACATAAGCACGACAAGATAGTGGGCAGGGATGGTTGAACAGCGTCTCAGTACACAGCACGTCTGTGGAGGGAAACCCCTGCGCACAGCCAGGGAGACTTGCCGCAAGCCCCGCAGAGCAGGCTTCGGGTATGGGACGTGTGGCATTTCGTGGATGTAGCACATCTTGGCATCTCACGATAGTTCTGACAACACATGGGCTGTAATCGCGATGCTTGGGAGTTAAACTATACCTGTTGAGAGCATATGGTGCCATTGCGGCATGCATGCTCCGCTATGCCATTGAAGGAAGCAAAGCATGAATCTGCCGGAGTTGATCGGAACCGTGAATTTGCAGCTGTGTGGTGCGATTCAGCTGCCACATCCGAAGCAGCCAAGTTGTCGTAGACTGCAGACGCACATTCAGGGACGAGCTGGGAAACATCTCCACGGCAGACCCCTTGAGCGAGGTCTTGGCCTGTGCCCCAAGGAGGTTTATGGTTTCTGCAGTTTGCGTTTGGGAAAACTGCTAAGCCACAGGTGCAGGACAAGAAAACGCGTCTCCTGCTGCCTTATGCTGGGTTCACAAGTTCCAAACTATATGATCTTGGCTGGGTAGTTGTGCTTGCCACCGGCAGCATTCTCAATCTTTGCGAGTTGTTAAGCCTACCCAGACCTCGATCCCAACCTGACAACATAAGCACCACTTCACGTGGCAGTCCAGGCCTCCCGCTGGAACGTGCTGGGTCTGCTCCATGCTCTCCAGGCAAGTTGTCGCTCCGGACGTGCGCAGGTCGAAAGCAAAGGTTAAGCAGGTCCTTTTGCCAACTCTGTTCGATCTAGGTGGTGCTCCGGCGAAGTGTGGACAGCCACCCTCACATTCAGCTGCCGTGGCTCGTCGCGGAGGCACCGCGCATGTGGAACCATTGCTTGCCGGCGACTTCGTCTTCGGAAGTGTATCAGCTCGTCCTTCTTTGTTGAACGGCGTGGGGAGTTGCGGAAAAAGTAGAACATTCTGCTGACCCTTGACTGCAAAGCTTCGCATCTCTTTGGCAGGGTCCACGGGGCTTGGATCTGCTTGCAGATACGAGCAGTCTGCGTGGCAGCTTTGTCCGTGGCCTACAGTACTACAGAGCTATCTGTTGCGAGACTACATGCTTCGAGGTTAGCATTTGAGGGATGTCGAGGGGTGTGTGTGTGTGTGTGTGTGTGTGTGACCAAAGCTCAATTGGGGGTTTGACCATCAGATGTGTCCTGAAAAGGCTGCGCCTGCGTTGAAATGCTGAAGCTCCTACCAGAGCTCAGCGATCAAAGCCTTCTTGTCTCCGCCACGCCTCGGACCTCCGACTTACCGCCTGCACAACCATTCCTGCTCGTATGTGCATTTCGGGCATCTAGCCTTTCCAGCTGTCTTGCCTGTCTCATCCACATCTCCATTCATCGAAACTGCGAATCTTTCCACTGATTATTCCATTCATCCTTCTGTCTGCCTCGTTATCTGTTTCGTTGCCGTTTGGTCTGTTTTGCCGATCCGATTGTGCATATTTCACTTCTTGCCTGCATGACTGCCTGCCTGCCTGCCGCCGAGGTGTCAGTCGGTCAATCAGGCAGTCTCAGCAACCTGCAATAATTCGTGGATGTCGGCACAACTGTGTGTGTGTGTGTTACTGTGTTAAGCTTGTGAAAATCTGTTTCTGCCAACACTGGATTGTTGTGCATGCCGGAATGTTTTTTTGATCCGTTTTGGATCCATTTAGGATGAGTTTGGGGATCCGTTTTGGCCCCAGCCCCGGCGGGACCCCGAAACGGATTTGCGAACGGATCTCCAAACGGATCCGAAACGGATCGAAAACGGATCCGAAACGGATCAAAAACGCATCCCGATCCGTTTTGGATCCGTTTTGGATAAGTTTTGAGATGCGTTTGGGATCCAACCCAGCCGGCCCCAGCCCCGCCGGCCCGGCAAACGGATCCCCCAACGCATCCCCCGACGGACCCCCAAACGGACCCCCAGACGGGTCCTGCGGCGGATCTCCGAACCCACGCTTCCCTCGAAACGGATCGAAAACGGATCAAAAACGCATTCCTCTCGAGGGAAGCGTGGGTTCGGGGATCCGCCGCAGGACCCGTCTGGGGGTCCGTTTGGGGGTCCGTCGGGGGATGCGTTGGGGGATCCGTTTGCCGGAAACGGATTCCAAACGGATCCCAAACGGATTCCAAACGGATCCCCAAGCGGATGTGAAACGCATATTTAGGAAAAATAGCATTTCCAGAGTTAGCAGGCAGCAGATTTTCACAATGTTAAGAAATGTTAAGCACAGGTACAGTAGGCTGTCTTGGACATCGTGTGTTCTTTCGTGTATTCAGTGGGCACTACGGTATCATGCGGTGGTTGCATGCATGTGCTCCTCACTACTGGCCTTCCCCACCTCCAGTTTATTGCATTGACCTTCGCTTCTTTGCCTTTCTTCTGGACACCATAAGAAAAATCTACGTATGTATTGCTGCGTGGCGTGTTCGTAGCTCCTTGATTTGGCAAGGAATTTCCAACAGAGCAAAGCCAAGAGCAATAGCTTGCCAGCTCCCCCCAGCACCAGCATCGCGAGAGGAAGCCAGAACTCAAACCACACCCTCCTTCAGTTGGAGCCCTTGAGCAGTGGCCTGGCCACTCCCGCCTAGCCCAACGGCCTGACGAGGCTCGATACTTGTCACGCCCTCAGTCCGAGGTATGCTGGGGCTTGCTGTGCACGGGCAAATTGCGAGACTTCAAGGTTTGGGGCCCAGGGGGCCCGAAACCAAGGTTCAGAATCTGAACACGTGATCAGTGGGCGTGAGTGAAGGGCTTTCTTGCGAGTTTGAGGGAGGGCATGAAGAACTTGATGCCACCTGCTTCTTGGCTCGAAAGGGGGGTTGCCTCGAGTGTCAGTGCAGACGACGGAGGTGCAGGGAATCAGTTTTGTGGTCGTGCGGGTGTGTGCTTAGCACGGGCCTTTCGGAAGCGGTGCTTGTTTCCAGGGATGAGAAGATTTGGCGCAATCCGCTTATCCCTTTGCCGAAAGCAGAGCGCACAGCGGTTGTGGAGCCGTCCTGGACGCCTTTTTACTCGCAGCCCACCTTCGGGTCGCGGGTTGCAAACACCTTCCATTGGTTTGCGTCGTGCAGGCGTCGTCCGAGTCGTCCTCGTGGACCCGGTGGGCTTAGTTGCCGGCACCGGCGAGGATGAACTTTTCAGCCCCGGCCTCAAGGGACGCGGAATGGTCCCGGCTGTCATGCTGCTCTTGGTGATCTCTGGTGCCGTATATGTCCAACCGCACTCTATTGCTTCCGAAATGACAGGGCAGGTGCGGCAGTCGATTAGTACTAGGGTGCTGTTTCAACTCTCCTGCAGGATCCTGCTTCCAAGCCGAAGCACAGTCCTTTCAGTTTCTTGCGAGACGAAGTTAAGTTGATCGGACAAAGTTCTTATGGAATTCTCGCACCCCATGCAGTCGCAAAGGTCACCGATATTCGCCCTCCGTCCCCTCGGGAAAGGAAGGCGCGCAGGACATGCAGTCTTCCATCAGGGGCCCGTAGTTCAGAGTTCCGACATCGTCCGTGCTTTGGAGATCTCGGGAGGTCCTTGCGATCTTTGCAGCTACGTGACAGATAGAGATCGTACCGTGCAGAGTGTGATGTCGATGCCCCAGGCCGGTCGACGGCACCCTGCGGGCTTTTGGAGCTCAGAGCCGCGGCTGAGACTTCAGAAGGCCCGAGGGCGAGGCCCTTGAGTGTAGGAGCCTTCCATCTGGCCCTTGGGGTTTCAGGGTTCTTCCGCGTTAAGAGCTACCCTCGACTCTTTTGTAGATGGCAAAGTAGAGGTAAACCTTTCAACTTACTGCTACGTTGGGCACCACATCTGGCCGTGCAAGGGCAGTGGTTAGTACCGCCAGCAAACGCATCAGAAGGAGAGATTAAAGCTCAGCTGAGGAGGGCAAGTCCACAACCGATTCTCTTCCTCTTGACTCCCTTAGCGACGGTGTTGACCACAAGATCGCCTTCGCCAACGACGAAGCTTCCGGAGCAAACAGAACTCGCGTTTGCCTCGATCTAGACGAGCTGGCACATGAGCGCTGCCACAGTGGCAGCGAGCAGGATGTTTGTGCCAGACATGTGCCTGAGCGGACGAATGCCATGCAAAAGATACCAACTGTCCCAAGCAGCGTTTCAGACGATGACGAGGAGGAGGCCAGGAATTTCTCCTTCTTCGAGTCGGAGCGCGGCGATAAAGCCGACAGCGGGAAGACTGCGCCCTGGAGGCTGAGGGATATCGTCCTTCGGTGCAGGAATTCCGGCAAAGGCCTCGGCCTCTCATCCCCGGCGCCTGTGCCAACATCTGCACCGGAGACGCCCTCTCTACGATCACTGGTGGCACGACCAACGAGCAAGACTCCGAGACGTGAAAGCCTTGCAAGCCCGGATAGAAGAACATCCATCGATTCTGCGGTGCATCTGCAGGAGGTGGGACATGTGCATACGGAGCGACACATTAAGGCCATCCGAAATCCTTGGTTGAAGGTGGCCATCGACGTCGCACACGACAAGAAGTCCCAGGTGAGGCCTCAATCAGGCACATGCGCGTGGGCTTTCTTTCAGCTTCCAGATGCTGCTGTGTTCAGGAAGGTCCACCGTGTCATGGCACCCTCATTCAGCTGCTTATGTCTATTTTTTAAGATCCCGATCTGTCTGTCGCTGTGTCAGGCAAACTGCCTGTGGTGCGCGGCCACAGCCTGGGTCAGGCCCTCTCCGACCTGAAGAAGAAGGCCACAAGAATCCAGCTCTGAGTGCTCGTTGCCTCTGGGCATGCGGTGATGTCCCTGCCGGCAACCATTAATCCTGCAAGTAAGCGCATGGTGTGTTTCAGATGATGCAGGAGATCACGGCCATGTCCCGAAGCCGCAACATACCACCTCCAAAGTTCATACCCGGCATGATTAGACTGCTTTACCTGCCGTCAGCTACTGGGAAACGGAGGCTGGGTATTTTAATGCCATCATGGCTGTCTCGAGAAGCCTTGTGCCTTCAGAGGGTCACAAGCGAGATTCTACACTTACCTTGGCCCGTAAGCCGGCTCGGATTGCGAGCCGTGACAACGCTCAGGAAGCCTGTGCAAGTTCCGATTCACAGTAGGGTCAGGTCTACCGGGAAGCTATATCTTGCCAAATCTTCGGCGAACCTGCAGTTAGTGATTGGGCAGCGTGATCGGTGTGATCAAGGTGAGATGGAAAATGTTACGCGGATGCTTGTGCTGCGGCACCGACAAGTTTGAGGGCAGGGAAGAACTGATAGGAAGCAATTACTCTTGGCTGAAAGCTGGGGTCGCAGGGTTGCGATGGAAGTGGTACGAGGTGTCACGCTGCCCAATCTCGAATCTCGCAATAGTCAGCACACGCTTCAGCACTTCTGTTCATCTCGGAACATACATGACGAAAGCATGATGTAGTTTTGTGATATTGTCACAGTCTCAGCACGTTATCATGGATTGCGGTGTTCGTTCACTGGCATAGCCTGCTTGCCATCGCTCATTACTCTGTACTTCTTCTTGGGAATGCCATAATCCAATGGCTCAAAGAGTCACACCGTCAGTTGTGTGTGTGTGTGTTCCGGCAGCAGACTTGCTCGGGCTGAACTGCTGATATTGCGTTCTTTCCAAGATGTCCAGCGCTTGTTCATGCCTCGTCAAGGCGGTCCAGCATGCTGGTTGTTTCTGCCCGCCGTTGTCACCAGCTCCCAAGACCATGTGGTGCTCTCCGTGAAGTTTAGGATGATCAGGTGTCTGAACTTCTGTGGCTGATCTTCCATGTCCAGCAACTACTGTCACTGTACTGCTCAAGCACATTGAGGCTTACACTTGTCCCAGTCGATGTTACATCACAGCCTGTGCTCTTCGCCTTGGCACACTAGCGTGTGTTTCTTCCGTCTGCCCTCTTCGTAGATGACTTGCTCTCCGGCTCTGTCTCGCTCTCTCTCCGAGATTTTCTCTCGCTCTCTCTCTCCCTCTCTCTGCCAGCCTGTTTTTTGCATGCTGATCACGATGAGATCAATGTATCTGATCTACGAGTTTGTGTTTCGGCAAAGTGTCCGCGCGCGACGGTTCGGGGAAAGGAATCAATATTCCGCGAAAGATTTGACATGATTTCGGGTTTGAAAGACTTTAGGGAACAGACGTGCAGGCCCCACTGCGTCTGCTACTGCCACTACCGGCTGCTGCTGCTGCTGCTGCTACGACTACCACCATCACTGCTGCCACTACTGCTACTGCTGCTTCGGATGCTACTACTGTTTCACAAATTGAAACCCCGCTCACAAAAGCTTATACCCGAAACCAGAGGGGGGACAATGAAGCACACAATCAAATGTAATTACTAGTTACTAGTACCAGTACTAGTACTAGTAGTAGTACACTACAACTACAACAACTACTACTGCTGCTGCTGCTGTCACTACTTCTACTACTACTTCTACTACTACAACTCTTCTACTACTACAACTACAACAACAACAACTACTACTACCACTACTACCACTATTACTACTACATTGTGCTTGGAAACGAAGCGCCCTTTTGGGACCGAAATTTTTGCAATTCTTGAAAATCTTGCCAATCTTTGGGGTTCCCCAATGGGCCAAGATTTTGCTAATCTTTTTATCTTGCTTGCCGGTTTGGGGGGCAAGATTGCAGGTAAGTTTGCTCATTTTGCAATCTTGCTAGTGTGCACCAGGGGGGGAGGGGCGAAGCTTGAAATCGTGCATCCTTGCACCACTTGGACCACTTGAACCACTCACGCACTTGAACCACTTGCGCCGCTTGCAGCATCTCGCGAAGAGAAATGGTGCAAGTGGCCCAAGTGGCTCAAGTGGCGCAAGCGGCACAAGTGGTACAAGTGGTCAAGTGGTCCAAGCGGTGACAAGATTGCAAGATTGCGAGCTTGCGATCCCCGCGCCCTGTTATCCGCTTCCTTCTAACCACAACGTCTTGGTTCAGTCAACTCCCTGTCCCCGCTTCAGTCACCCATGTTCTGGTGTCAACGCATGTTTGCGCGTCCATGTCAAACTCGGCTTGTGGTCCAGGGTGGCCGACTTCGCCCCCGTGCTCAACGTTCTGAAAGAATCCGCGCGTGTGTGTAGTTGAGTGAGTCTTTGCGTGCGGGTTGAACAAAGCCTTCCGTGGGCAGTGTTTGTTCAGTGAATCTGCGTGTCCGGGTTGAAAGACCCGGCCCTCGTGGTGGAATGCATCCGCGTTTTCCGGACAGAATCCGCGGGGGCCAGTTGAAGGAATATCCTCGCCAGAGTTGAATGAATCCGCGCCCGACCCTGGAGCAAGATTGGCAAGATTTTGCCGTGAAATCTTGCCCCCCCTTTAGAGCGAAGCAAGCTTGCCTGCACTCTTGCCACTTTTCCCAAACATCTCCAAAAACTTGCTGACCAAGATTAACAAGATTGACTGCACGACGTTACGATTTTGACGTTTCCCTGGAAACTGTCAGCGGAAATGACCATAACACGCTTAAAGAACGTTGCGAATGCGCGCCGTGCTACTGTAAAGCGCTAAGGGCGTTCTGTTCTGTGTCTCCCTCTGTGGCGCAGTGCATATTTTCCATTAGAAATAGTATTTTTTCCACTCGCCTGGTGGTTCTATTGTTCGGAGAAGCCGAGTTCACGATAAGCAACACAATGGGGGCAGCACTCTTGACACTGTTTCGAAATCAGAGCCCCAAAGCCGGACTGCTGGCGTCTTGGCGAACGTTTTTGCATGCTTTCAGCTGCTCTGAGCACCGCCTGGCTTGCCACGTGCAAAGTCTTCGGGGCCATTTTTGGGACCCAAACCCCGGTCAAAGACGGTGCCTTTCAAACTGGGCCTCCCCAGTCCCGATTTATCTTGCTTCGTTTGCTCAATTGCGTAGCTGCACAACATTGTTGCTGTCGTTGTTTCTGAATCCGGCAGCAGCTCGTAAAAAAGAAAGAAACTGTGAACGATTGTGACCTTCACAGCAATGCCTGCTTGCAACCAGCTGCAACCACTTTTTGTCAAAACCTGCACTCAAAAAGGGTGAGAAGCGGGGCCAAAAATGGGCCCCGAATTCGGGCCCGTTTCTGGAGCCTTCTAGTATTGGCACAATTACCGAAGGCTCAGAAAACGGTCCCATTTTTGGGCCCGCATTTATGTGCCGGAGAACCACTCTTGAGCTCGTTCTTGGAGTCGCCAAAATCTTGACGCGGATCGAAAAATATCGTCCAATGCCAATCTTGCCGAATATCGGACCTCTTTTCCCCACCACTACTACTACTACTACCTACTACTACTACTACTACTACTACTACTACTACTACTACTACTACTACTACTACTACTACTACTACTACTACCTACTACACCTACTGCACCTACTACTACTACTACTACTACTACTACTACTACTACTACTACTACTACTACTACTACTACTACTACTACTACTACTATTTTCTACTACTACCACTACTGTTGCTATGACTACGACAACAACAACAACTACTACTACTACCACCACCACTGCCACTGCCACTACCACTTACCACTACCTGCTACGGCTAGAGTGCGCAAGCGTTCATGAATGGCTTCAGTCCGCTCGAGCAGGTTCATAGTTTCGATCCGCAGGTTGGCTCTCTAGTGCGATCCGATTCGGTTCCATTCCGTTCCTGTGTCGACGAATGAAGATCGTGGTTCGACCCTCCACAGATTCTACTGTCCCCGATCACGTTTCGATTTCCGTGGCCAGCGCGGCTGGAGCGATCCCTCTCAAATTTTGCCCTCGCCCCACTCAGCCCTGAAAAGGCTGAGAGAGTTTGGGACTTTGATGTGAATGTTTGTTCACCAGTGTGATCCGGTTCGGTTGCATTCTGGACATTTGTTACCACAATCTAGAGGCAGATGTGAACGAATGAAGATCGTGACTGGACCCTCCACTGACATTAACGTGCTCGACATTGCGGTCGCAACAAAAGCGTATGACTTCTCAGTTGTGGAAATGCGCTTCCAAGTAAGACTTCGACTTCTTCTCGTTGTGGTGTGCGCCCTCTTTTGCTGTTTTTCGGTTTGCTTTTGGCACGTACGTGTGTGTGTGTGTGTACCTGTGGGCATCCATGCTAATTGCTGGGAAAAGCTCTAGCAAACTCGTGGTCGTCAGCGGTCTTGGTCAAGACAGCTGGTGTGTGGGCAGCGTAGCCCTTTCAAAGCGCCCTGCGGACCGGAGTTTGCGCAATTTGAGCATGCAATCCAAGCAGTATAGCTGCTGTCAGCCTCTGCGCCGCATGGGGTCGCAATTGATTGTCGAAGAAGCGAGCAGGTGCAGGAAAGGCTACTCGTAGCATGACCTTTGATCCTTTAGTCATTTAATTTAGCTGTGATTGTAGGAGAGAAGAATGCAGGACATGTGCCTTATTTACTATGCAATGTAACATGTGACCGCCCAGAACATCTAGTGGATCTGGAAACACCCAAGGGGCACTTGCGATCGTTGTCGTTCAGCTTTTGTCATGAAGCTGCCGAGTATCATTCTGAGCGCCTGAGTCTGACATTACTCGCTGCGATCTGAACTCTTCTCCTGCTCTTGCCTCGCGTTTGCATGTTTCAATGTCAGTGACGTTGGCCTGCGGGCAAGAATTCTTTACAGATTCATTCTCCGCGCGATTCTGTCGCCCCGAGGTGTCTGTCTTGTGACACTTCCAAGTAAACACTAAACACGTGCTAGACAGCAGTATGTACTATATACATATATAAGCCAGTGCCAAGCTAAGCTACGTCATGGTTGGCAAAAGCTCCAATTCGGCTTCGTCCTCAAGTTACAACATGCTTAGGTACTGTGGGGGCCCAGCAGAATTTGCACTGCACGTCTCAGCACTTGCGGTTTGCGCCACATGAGCCACGTTGAAGCTTGCACAGTCCGGTGCTGCCTCGAAGTGGCGCGCAGGAAAGCCGCTAGTGGATAGTGAGCTAGTTGCTTGGAAGTCCGAGCAGTTTTCCCGTGATTTGCACGTGTAGGACGATCCGCGTTGCGTTGGCACTCTTGCCGTTGTTCACCGCTGTGGCCTGCGGACCGTACTGAGCCGTGGGGTCGCTGCATATCTTGCAGGAGGGACCTAAAACTGTACGCCTCATGCGGCTAAACATCACGACTTTCCAGTGCTGTGAACACGGCTTGTCACTAGAAGCACCTTTCCGGATCGCAGTTTCCAGTTGAGAGTGTTGTTTCACCGGTTTTGATTTGATCGGAAGCAGAACTCGCGCCAAAGGCTGTGTCGTGATTTCTTGTCCTTCGATTCCGGGAACTATTACGCAATGACGGAGTGTAGTCTTCGGATGTAGATTAGCAAGTACTGTGGCTCTGAAGCTATCGAAGGTTGGCCAACCTCCGCCGCGAGTTCTGGGGCGGAGGGCGAGGAGTTGAGTCTCTCGGCTTCAGGGGGTCTCTTAGTTCTGTGATTTGCACGTTTACGAAGTAGTGGAGGACGAGGTCAACACCTCGTGCGAGAGCTGTTGTCAATAACAACCGTGCTTGTAGGAACCGAAGACCGACCTTTGCAATGAGAATCCCCAGGCATCTCGTGGCCCGCGTGCTGCATGAAGGCAAAGCGAGGTTGATAGGGTTTAGGTAGGACTTTTGGGTTCAGGGTCTTTGCTCAGTTTGGAAAAGTTGTCACTGAAACTCTGCGGTTAATCGAAGCACAGTCGGACCTTCTTTTAGCCGACAGTTTTGTCGTGCCTCGCGAGCCCAGCAGAATCATTGTACCACTGCTTATGACAACTCGCAAAGTCGGTGCGCCCGAAAGTACAGCTTGTATTTCCGAAGACTTCAGCACTATCCCCTTGTAAACAAAGCGGAAGCTGGTCGGAAGGGCGCTGCCACCCGACGGAGCCTCGGGTCCCAGGCTTGGCTTTGTTTTTCGATCGCGCCATCGGAGACCTGTGTGCCATTGCATTCTCGAGTGGCTCATGCTCTTGCAGAGTCATCATATACGGTGGCCGGCAATCAGATTTCCAGCCGATGGCCGATAGCCGAAACTTCTGAAGTGCAAGAACTCTTGAGATGGTGACCCAAGGTTTTCGTAGACGTTGGAGCTCTTTGACCACACCTCAGACTTTGCTTCAGCAGCCTCTGCACACTCCAGCTTTAGTTGGAGATCGTGAGGTTGTGGAAAGAGGTAGAGAGAGAGGTGTTCTTGCTGAAACGCTCGGGCAGAGGCAACTAGCTCTTAGTAGAAACTCCAGTGCCAATTCTGCTCTGTGTCAACTTACAGTAAGCCCGGCAGAAAGACAGAGAGGTAAAAGGGGCTAAGGCGGAGAGACAGATAGTTAGTTACGTAATGAGGTACATACATACATAGGTACATAGCGACAAGAACAGAGCAGGCAAACAGAGAGGTTCGCAGGATTAGACCGTGTGCCGCATCCTGAGGCCATGCACACGAATGCCTGAGCAAGATACTCCTCGCAGAAACGGCGAGGAAGTGCGGAGGCCACAGTTCAAGTCTTATGATTACTACGTCAGTCGCTTCTGTTGCTACAGAGATGGTATCAACATATTAATCTTTTTGTAACAGTATTTTTCCACTCACCAGGTTTCTCGCGTATTCTCATCCAAAATGTGTCATACTGCTGCAAGGCACCTGGAACTGCGCCATTGCGGGCGAAGGGTTTCAGGGTTTACGGTTCTTTTGTTGCCAGCTGCTTGGGGGATCGTTCGAGCTAGAGGCGAAATCTCGCACCTTGGAGGTCGCAGTGGGCGCATCTTCGTTGATGCTTTGGAGCCCAATGCCAGGAACTTTCGATCGACGAAGGCGAGATTCCGTCACTACTCCGGTGGGTCCATGTGCGTGTGCGGGGCAATACTTCAGATTGTTGCATGGCACTGCTGTAGCAAGAGGCTCTTTGCAACGAAGAGCTGGAACTGAAGTCAGCTCGGGGAGGGGAAGGTTCTGAGACCCTGCGCTAGGCTCAGCTACTCCGCCTCCCCCGACGCTGGCACCTTCGGCTGCGCCTTCGGAGGGCTGCCGCTGGCAACACCACGATGAGGGTCGACGGGGAAGAAAGGTTGCGGTTGTGGACTACTTATGTTGGAAATTCGGTTCATACCATCGGGTTCTGAGTTGAGGTTCAGGGAGCTCCGATGGGCCTCGATTGTTATCATGCAAGCATGGTTTCATGATTGATTCGAGGTCCGATTCGCATCTGAGCTCATCTGAGCTGAAGTCAGCACTGGGTTCTCATTCGAGATGCTCCACCCCAACTGCCAGTGCTAGAGCAGGCCACCTTGCACGGCACAGGGGCGAAGGCATCGCTGAAGGCCGGCTGTCAGTACACCGTCTCAAGACATGTTGGTTGGTCGTTGCCATGTTGATTCGAACAGCCCTGCTAGCAATTCGTGACGACCTCGAGGTGGCTGGGACTCGCAGAGAAAATCATAAAGATCTTCAGCGATCATGCTGAATCGGGAAAAGTGTGTCGACATTGTCAACCCTAGTGATCCTCTCCAGCACAGTTTGCACAGTACGATCGCAAGAAACTTTGCGGCCTCTGTGTGTCTTAGTAGAACCAGGCCAGGCGAAACGCAAAACATGCACCGGAACAGGGCCGAACACATGTTTCACCAGCAGTGCAGGCCGAAGCTTATGGCAGGAGCCTTATCAGGACCCCAAGACATTCTTTGTTTCTTCGAGTGTTATTGGTTTCCGGTTTGCAAACCGCGACCTCGTTCCGATAGGATGCCCTGTGACGCCGTGTCCGAGTTCTGCGCAGTAATTTCTCTGCTCGGGTTGGTAACGTTTCAAGGTGAATTGAACTGCAAACCTGGGACGGACGCGAATCCCTTCACCAAGGTGGCCTTTCATGGAGCTTCAAGCCCAGCATGGGCAAGATAGTTTCATCGGCGGATGGGCGAAAGGAGCAGGCCGCATGAGCTGGCTTTCGAGACCGAAGCTCAGAAAGCGAGAGAGTGAGAGAGAGAGAGAGAGAGAGACCCACAGCAGCACTCACGGACAGCGTGGCGAGCGGGCGAATGACCCCCGGAATCCCTGCCGGGGCGAGTGCCAGTGACAGCCAGAGCTCGTCCGCCAGCGCCAAAAGTTGAAGCCCGCAATCTGCCTGCCTGAGTGACAACGACCTCGAGCCCTACTGCACTTACAACACCCCACAACCTGCAGTGTCCATAAACTTGATCCTGACCAAGCCGCACGAGATACCGATTCAGAACTACATGACGAAGCCAATGAGCTCCAGTTTCAGTTTGACCACAAGCTTTACCAGTACTACCTAACCGAGCTGATGTATCACCCTCGAACTCCTGACCAACTTCCTTTCGTACTACCTGTTCAAAGCCAACCTGAGCCTCTAGAAGACGATGCAGAACCCGACGGCCCCAATACCCACCGCAACCTTCTCCCCAACTGACAACAGTGAACCATGAGATGCACAGGACCAGACCGCAACAGTGAAGTCGTCTTGCCGGTGAGCTCAGTCATGCATATGCATCGCCGTGGCCCCAGCCTCGACTGAATAGCTACAACACGACAGTAGTACAACATGTCGGGGCGGAAACTCCTCCCTACCAGCAGCCTGGCCATCCTGGCCTTACTGGGCCAAGCCTTGTGGTGGGGCGGCACGGCAGGACCCAACCCCGGGGCACCCACTAAGGACGTGGCCACCGACACAGATGACCTGCCCAGCAGGGCAACACGCATGGGCACCATTGGGGCCCAGAACACACAGCAAGCGACTCCAAGCACAGTCGAAGACACCGCACAACACCCAATCGCAGACGCGGCAGCCGGACAACCCACGGCCAACAGCGACCCGCCACCTACCACTCCACAGCAAACGCAAACCACTGCGAGCGCCACCTTGCCGGGCGGGCAGCCGCGGCGCAACCTTTGGCAAGCCTACTACCCAGCCCCCTATGTGGCTGCCCACGACGTCTGGTCTGGAGGCGGATGGTAGGGCCGTCGTCAGCCGGCCCTACCACACACCAAGTGCCAGCACAACCACAACCAACCACAGACCAGACACTGGAGCCTGGCACCATACCAACCCAAAACCCTGAGACGGACGCCAACGGGATGCCACTGCATGGCCCCAGACCACCACCAGGGGTACCCCCGCTGCCAAACATGAGGCAAGCCGAATACCTTCACTGGCTCACAGCAGGAGAACTTCCTGATACATACATAGAGAGGGAACTGCTGCCCCTTCTCGACCCCCAACCACCAACCCGGACATCCACAGCTACGGAGCCGCAGATAGCAACCACAACCCCCGGTGCAACCGAAAGCACGGGGCGGCACAACAGCCCAGACACAGTGACAACACCACAAGCTGAAGCACAACACCAACCCACCATCACCACAGACACAGGAGGGGCGACGAACCACAGCCCGGAAGCACCCACGACAACCGCCGGGCCCAACACCGCACCACAGGCCGAAGACAGGCCTCCACCGCCACCTACAACGATGCAGACAACCGACGAGATGCCAGCCACAGAACCCAACCAAGTCCCAACAGCGGAACAACCTCCACCACAACAACCACCGACACCGCCCGTAAATACACGAACGGCAGACACAGTCGACAGACGCCGACCACCCACGCCAGACCTTGGCCCTCCCCCCCAGCCTGACCGCCCACCCAGAACAAGGGAGGGGGCAGGAGACCAGAGGCGCACCAACAGGGCCACCAAACGAGCCCTCAAGATCCAACTACAACGACTGGGCCTGTGGCCACGGGGCGGCACTGGCCAAGGAGCCCGATACCAGCCACACCAAGCACATCCTCCACCACGTCCGCAGACAGCTGACCCGAATTGGGCGGACCTGCTCAATAGACACCTGCAACCCCTCCGATACAACACCCCTAAAGCAGCTGGAGCGGCACAACCAGCCGACGGCAGACCCGGAGCCACAACAGCCACCGCCCCAACTCACACGACCCAGCATCCCAAGGCGACGCCAGTGGCAAAACCGCCACCGGTTAAGCAGCCCCCGGCGCAACCCAAGCCACCACCACCACCCCCACCAACCACGGACGCCGAAGTGGACCCTGCACCCTGGGACCAGCCCGCAGCTAGCTCCACAGACCCGGCGCCACATGAACCAGCGAGCAGCTCCACGGACCCAGCGCCGCAAGGGCTCACACGCAACCCTCCACTGTCACCCTCAGCCATGGCCGCGGCCCAGGATCGCCTACAGCACACAGCCACAAGCCGCAGCCAGCCATCCATCAACCGACCCACCATCCCCACTAACAAATGGGCTCGGGGGCGTATCCTGGCACAGGAAGCAGGCACCCCCACTTCCCCACCGTGGTGGCTCGTACAGATAGAAAGCCACCCACTGCGAAAAGAAGAGCATGAGCTGGCAGCACTCCGAGCGGACCCCAACCCCCTCCGCACCATACCACCAGGCATACGCTCCGAACTCGCGCCCCCCATCTCCACAGGGACGGTCCTGTCCCTCACCAGACCCAACCTGCAAACCTACATGGCAGAAGTGGTGGCAGCACCCCCCCCAGCCATCTACGAGTTCAATGCAGCCATCCTTTGTGAAGGAGACATCCTTACCTTCATGTGGCAGGATGGGGAATGGATCCTAGACGTCCACCTCAACGAAGCGGCGGGGTGCAGCGATTCTGGGACGGACACTACCCAACCCACTGCAGCCTCCGATGAAGCACGGTCGGAGCACACCGCAGACCCCGAAGCTTGTCAAGCACCAAGCGGGGCGACCGACCAACCACAAGCTGACGGCGACCCACCCCAAAGCAGCTGCTACACCCAAGGCGGGGCGACAGCCACACCACTTGACCACCAAAGCCCCGCCAGCGCCACGAACACCGCCGCAACAGACACTGGACCTGCACCACCACAAAGCAGCCACAGCCACAGCCAGAACCACCAACCACAACAGGAAACCCCAACAGCCACGGCAAGCTCCTCGACAGCCAGCCACACAACGAATAGCAGACCCACACAGGGGTCACCACAGACATACCAACCACAGTACCACCAACCACAGCAGGAAACCTCAGCCACGGCAAGCTCCTCAGGCGATGCAGCGCCAAATGCCACGCACAACCACCAACCACAGCAGGAAACCACCTCAGCCACGGCAAGCTCCTCCTCACATACAGGCACAGGCGGTACAGGCACACCACATGGACCACTCTCCGATGGGCGTACCCTTAGGCGAAGCCAGCAGGCAGACAACAGACCACCACCAAGCACAACCACGCCACCAAGCAGACCCAGTCTACTGCAACAAATACGCCGACCCTTGGGCAACAGACTTCAGCCCCCCCCACCAGAGCATGACCAACCTGCACTCATGCAGCGGCCGGGGCGACCCTCCTCGTCCAACCAAGCCCCGAACCACTTGGAGGATGCCATCGACAAGCTACGCAGCCTACTCTTCGAGACGGGCATGCGAGAAATGCACGAAGTCACCTACCATGTAGTTATACTGCTTAACCTCATTGTGCCGGAGCGGAACAACCACACACCGAGCAACCGCTCCTGCGAGTCACCACAGAAGAGAACCCGCAGCACACACTCGCTCTTCCGAGAAGCAGCAGTCCACCTGCACAGCCTAGCAGCCACAGGACACAGCCCACAACTTGCAACTCCTCCGATATTACAACAACTGGCACAAGCCTTGCAACTAGTCACCAGGGGGATTGACACCTCACCCGGGGCGACACAGATGGGGGTAAGCAGTGCACAACTAGCGGCAGCAAGGGGCGTACACCACCTTATCAATAGAGTGTATGACAGTGTAGAAGCCATGGGCGCCGCTGGACTGCAACAACACCGGGGCGATCTGTGCACCGCGGCAAGGTTGGCAGCAGTGGCGGGGCGTGACGAGATCCTGCCAAGACCGTTTTCGACACACCCGTCAGACAGCATCGCCTTGGCGGGGAATGCACTGGAAATGGAAAGGCCGTACATGGGACATGCGGCCACACTAGCAGAAGCTGTGGCCAACTTGGGGGCGGCACGTGGCTTCCTCACGGACGCGCCCTACCTGTTGTGCGGGGAAGCGCTCCACTCGCTGCACCTCTGGCAGCAAGGTGGTGAAGCAGTGATGGTGGAAAGCCAAGAAGGGGCGAACACGGAGGCGAGCGAAAAAGTCGGGGCGTCAACGCTGTGGCCCACAACCGGGGCAGCACAGACTCAGTTAGACCCCGGCGACGACGAGCCCGCCTCCATGGCCACCCTTGAGGAGGGCGTCGGGGCACAGCTGGACCCAGGAGACGAAGAAAGAGCCGCGCTGGTGGACCTCGAGGCACAGCTGGAGTTTGAACGACAACGTGGAGCTCAAGAAGCGCAACATAATGCCTCAGAGGAAGAAGCCGGGGCGGCGATCCCGACAGACGCGGACTCGGCGGAGGCGCAGAGGGACGACGACGAGGGCGAGGCGGCGGAGGACGACTACATCGACCCCGTGACCAGACGGCGAGTGACCTCGAGCCCTACTGATAGACCCACACCACAGTCGTCCCCTGACCGCAGTGACTGAAAGGGTGACCGTCCAGGGGCGAGTGCCCCTTAAAGCTCCGAGTCCTGTGATCTGCATCGCATCGCACTCTCTTACTCTTGTGTGCTTGTCTACTACAGCGGAGCATCTAGTGAGCCAAGTTAGGACCGGCCCCATGTCATGTGATCTGCAACATACTTTACAACCTTTGTTTCTCCGTCGGGGCGACACCTAGGCTCGACACGTTAGGTCCCGAGGCAGTACAGTAACGGATGCACCAGAGCAAAGCACGGGCCACTGCAACCGGAGCGTCGAGACCGTAGTCGAGGAGCCTAGTCTGTAGAGGTACCCTACAGCCCCAGTCCTGTGATCTGCACCATACTGCTAACTGTGTGTTGCCAGCAAGCGGGGCGCCGTAGGTACCATCCGAGGCCATAGGACTACGCAGAGTGGAGCCGAGGAGGGCTATAGGGTATTACACGGCAAGCGGCATCTATGGTAGTTCACTGAACCTGTTGTGATCATACCAGGCCCACTCGTAGACAGCCTCCTCAACATGCCAGCCCAACATGGGCGAGTGGAAAACCCACACCGTACAGATGGCAATGGGCGACATATTGGACGTCGTATGGTACGGTTATTTCGGGGCACTTCGTACGGACTGTTCGGGGCATAATACACGATGTCGCCGAGCAGTGCTTGTTGTTCCAGCATGTAACACACATGCACACAACCAACAAACGGGCGGCTCCCGCGGGGGCTCGCCCTCAGGCCCGGAGAAAGAAAGAGAGAGACAGCGGCGTAGCGCATGCGCGCAGGGGTAGCAGGGCCTGAACCTACGACCCCAAACGCCCCCCAAGCAAGCAAGCAAGCAAGGGAGAGAGAAAGAGAGAGAGAGAGAGAGAGACGCTGCTGCCCGCCTCACGCCCCGTAGAGAGAGAGGGAGAGAGAGCCATTTTGGCTCAAGTGCTGCACCCTTGCTCGGGAGGCCTGTGACGCCCCCCGTGCATCGGGGAGGGAGGTGACTGGTTGACTTGGGGTGTAAGTTTGGGGGAGCCTGTTACTTTCCTCCAGCGGTGCTTGAGTCATACGCCCGCCACAGTTCTCATCAAGTGGCCCCTCTTCGTAGTGCCTCCGAGTGCAGCCATCCACCAGTGCGGCACGTTTGCTGCTCTACGCGACTTTCTCATCGAGGCTGCCCTCGACGACTTCGATGTCCTCACTCCCGGAGGGTAGCCGCAGAGGGGAGCCTATCCTCGTTCTTTCGAACCACCCGGCTGCGATTCCCTTGCTGCTCAACGGGTCGTAAACTTTGACCAGGGTGTGCAACGTGATACTTTCTCGTCGACACCAAGAATGAGATCCTTGCCCACAATGGGGAAAAGGGGGAGATCCAAGCGACTGGAAAGAACGACAACCGAAAGGGGAAACGCCCTTGAAGTCGAGGACAACCTCAACTGAACTGAGTGAGCGAGGCCCATTTGTTTCAGACTTTGCCCCGGGGGAAACCCCACAGCCACCAAGCTGCAAGAAAACTTGTTTGCTTTTCAGGGCTAGTGAGCTGGCTTGCATGTTTCTCTCCACACTCCTCAACAACGGCTTTTTGCTTGAGGTTGTAGTCAGTTTTGCACAGGGGGAAACCCCCCAGGCGGAGGCGGGAAGAAATTCCCAGAATTCGAACGAGCACAAGAAAAGACAACGACAAGAAGGTCTGGACTCCCCCGATAGAAGACCTCGCCCAACAACCAGCTGCTCGATTACGACTACGACCTGCTCTACCGGCGCATGCTGAACTACAACGCCGAGCACAACCACCGGGAGTACCACTTCTCCCCGGACCCCCTGCACTCCCTGCTTCACATGACCGAGAGGGGCATCCAAGACCGGGCGCGACCACAAACGGGGAGGCTACCCCGTACCACGTTGTCCGAGCACAACAAATCATTGAGCAGCTCCTGCCATTCCTGGAACAGCAAATCGCGACCACTTTGGCTGAAGCGCACGGCCTTCTGTTCAGTTGGACAACCGCCTTTTGGGGCACGCCGGTGCTACTGGTGGAACACAATGAACCTGTGAAGGCGCCACCGGGAGCCACTCCTGCGGAAAGGGTTCCCCCTGCACCAAGCTGAGATCGTGGTTTCTCCAGCCTCATCCAACGTGACTACGCAGGCTTTTCAAGCAGCGAGCCCATGCCGCAACACCCATGGACGAGATGTGTTGGCCAGACAAACTTCACACAGGCGGAGAAGAATGCATGCTGCATTCAATGGAACCCCCGACCAAGAAGAAGATGACCGCCCAGAGGAAGAGGAAGGTCCATGGTGAGTGGGTGCACACTTCCGGCTGCATGATGGCTAGGGGCATCTCCCCTTGGGCGTACTAGTTCCCTACTTTGTCGCGTGTGTTCTGAGTGTGTTGTTTGGTTCTCTTGTCTCAGCCCAGGGTGAGCCATCATAATTTGCGTGCAGACGCCAAGCTAGATCCCTCCCCAAGAAGCCGGCAATTTTTTAGTTGTATACCCCTGCGGTGTTGATGCCACCGTCGACGGCCGGCTGACAATGGGATCTATGTTTCTAGTTGCCACCCCAAAGATATTACCTAAACCTTGCTCCGTTTCTTTGCAAGGAAAGGGGGACGCCCCACACGTGCTCCCAGGCCGACAAGACTTGGGCACTTTCGAACTTGGCCTAGCAATCTTCAATAACTTCACTTACACATGGCGTATTCGTCCCAGATATTGTGCTTCTATCTTTCGGAGTGCCGTTCATCTGTTGCTTCCCTTGTGATGCCGTGCTGAAGAAAAACAGGCCAACCCAGTCTGTACAAAGCATGCACAGCACCGCAAGGCCAGAACCTGTTCTATCACTACTTTTTCTTTCGGGGTTGCCCCTAGAACTTTATCCCGGCGCGATGCCGAGCCTCTAGCCTCTGCCCCAAAAATTTCGGGTCAACTAATCCTCCAGCTCCTGGCGTCCTGTGATCCTGTACTGTCCTTCTGCGTTTTAGTGAGGTCTCTTGGTGCTGCCTTTGTAGAGCCAGGCTGGACTCAATAAACGAGCTGCAAAAAAGAAGCTTCGGGGCCCAAATTTCCAATGTGAAGTTTCACATCAACGGTCAAAAGGAGGACCCCTCACCTTTCCCGAAGTCGTGTACCCGGCATAGTCGACTTTGTTACTTGCTTCGCCTTTACGGTTTGCAGTCCCGTTCCCTTGTTGCTGCCCCCGTCTCCAAGCCGGCACGACCCACCGCCAACAATGACTGCGGCAAGGATGACTACTCTGCTTTTGGTACTAGCCTTGCCCCGTTTTTTATGTCTCTAACCTTTTGTTGTACCGACTAACAATGCCGCAAAGCAGAAACCAAGCCTGACGTCTCACCGCTACAGTTGGAAGGGGGACGCCCGTACATTTCATGACCTTTCAGCCGAATCCATCTTCACTTCAAGTCTGTATGGGAGTTCATTCACTTATGTTCCTATGTCCAGGACGTTTGCTTGTTCAGTAAGTTTCCCCGAAAAGCTGATGGATTCCAGTGCGAGCATGGATCTACCGATTGAGCTGTATTAGGTACTTTCCCTAGGGCGCTGCTTTGAGTTTCTCCGGTAGATAGGACGACATGCTCGCTGAATCGAGCCATAAAGCCAGGCACAGACGGGAACACCCCCTATCGAATAGCAACGAAACCGAGTGCACCGATGTTGACGGTGGATTCCAGTTGCTAAGGGAAGCTTTGAAACGTGGGCTCCCGGTGCCGAAGGCTTGCATGAAACATAAGCGTCCCAAAATTGTCGGTGTCGCGGACGCGCGCGGTGTAGGGGGTAACCCCTGCACCACAGCGCTGGCGAAAGAAAGAGAGAGAGAGAGAGAGAGAGAAAGCGGGGGGCCTCGCACGCCTCCTATGCCCTGCTGAAGAGAGAAAAAGAGAGAGAGAGAGAGAGAGAGAGAGAGCGAGAGAGAGAGAGAGAGAGAGTGAGTGAGAGTAGTTACAAGCTATTGATGTTAACTGGTTGACAGTGGTCTACTCAACACGTTTTCACGTCCTCCCAAAGATCCCCCAACAAACAAGGGGGGGCCCAAGTGGCCGGGGGACTTGACCGTCCCTCATGCCCTGGAGAAGAAGAGAGAGAGAGAGAGAGTTGCTGAGCGGAGAGAGTTCCTTTTTCCACTTGCAAGAGCCGGGGGTAGCAAACTGGCAATGCTCACCTCCGCAACAGTCGGGGGCGCACAAGCGCGCGGGCAAGGGGGTAAACCTCTTGCCCATAGCCCTGGCGAAAAGAAAGAAAGAGAGAGAGAGAGAGAGAGAGAGAGAGAGAGAGAGAGCGGGAGCGGGAGCGGGAGAGGTAGGCCCCTACACCAGTGCGTGCGTGCGCGCGGGGAAGCTCGCGACCCTTTCTGGCTGTGTGGTTAAGAGAGAAAGAGAGAGAGAGCGAGCCAGCCCACAGCACACCATCACCATCCGGCAAAGGGCCCCACGCGAGCGTGTGAGTGTTCCCCTATGGCTCCCTTTGCTTGCCCTGCGGGACCCAATGCCGGCACCAAACGAGCCAAAAGGTAGGAGGTAGCAGGCAGAGCAACGGGGTGCACAACCAGTGTTTAGGGGCTCCACTGAAGTATGCTGGTACCGCAGTATTACGCTGCATTTGTTTCCTTACGAAAGCCCCCAAAGCTCTGGCGCCCGCAACAATCCCGAAGTCAGAGGGCACAAGGCGAAAAAGTAAAGCGCAACGCGGTCAGAGCAAACGAGCTGGACTAGGCGGGGACCTGTAACTGCGTGCAAGGACACGGGGCGAACTAAGGGGGACACGGAAAGAACAAGTCCAGCTCGACTCGAAACCCCACGAACGTCTCACCTGAACGTGGACACTCGGCGTACAGCAGCGCGTGAGCGCAGGGTTGGAGGGGTCCTACCTCTCTGCCCCAAACGCCGTGCAAGCGAGCAAGCAAGCAAGAGCGAGCGAGAGTTGCTGAAACGTCGTGCGGAATACTCGCGCCCTGCAGTCTTTACCACTCCCTATAACGGGGTGCGCACTCGCGCAGCGGGGGAGGGAGACCTCCTTTCACGTCCTCCAGACAGAAAGAGAGCGTTCTGCCAGGTGTCGGTGATCCGCCTCGATTCTTGGGTCTTTTGGCAGCCAGTTTGCAGAAGCATTGCAAGGTCCTCGAGGTGTTCACGAGGATTCATTGGGTCATCTTACTGAAAACTGCCTCTAAGCCTCAGCTGGCCAGAAATCCCAAAGAAGACTATGTCAGCTCCAGGTGGGAGCACGCTTGCGGACACACGGGCGAGTGGAGGTCGGGTGTTAAAGTGACACCCAAGAGAATGGATGTGTGAGTCTTTTGCACCGCGGTCGTGGCTTCAAGCCTTTGAAGCGGCAGGTCTTGAAGATTGATGTGGAAGGTGGGGAGTGGGAGGTGCTTTTGGGAGCGGAAGCTCTTTTGGTTGAGAGGCGTGTGCTCTGTGTGGTCTTGGAGTACTCGCACTTCTGGGCCGCAAGCACGCACGTCACTTTGAAGGGTCTCGCACGATGGATGTCGGAGAGAGGCTACGACGGCTACCTCGTGGGCAGCCCTCACTTGATTCCTGTGAGTGGTGTGGACATGGAGTGGTGGCACGACCTGTACGAGGTCTGCGCAGCACCCGACTCCCGCATCTACCGTGGTCTGGCAGGCTGGTGCTGGCTTAACGCGGCCTTCGTCCTGCGAGGCTCCAGGCTTGCGCTTGCAGCCCAGAAGTGGCTCCCAAAGATGGGCAAAAAAGTGTTCGAAGGTGCAGAGGGCAAGTGTTACGGCATGTCCGCGAAGAGCTCTCTCAGTCTGGTGTCGTCGCAGAGTTGCAACTCATTCGGAGACGCTGAGAATCGCTGCTTCAAAAGAGTGGAGTGTAGCTGGCTTCCAGGCCTTCAAACGCTTTAATCTACCGTTAACCGCGGAAGAGATTGATCCACTTTCCGCTAGAGTCCTCAGTCCTCGTGAGACCCGTGGCCATGGCATGCAGCCCGCGAGCAGCGCTGCAGGAGGCCTGTAATTCCCGCAGCCGCTCAAAGTTGTTTAGGCTTTCGGACTCAGAAAGGTCACAGGCGATCAGGACGGAGCTGAAACAGCGGTGAGCAAACAGCTTGACCATGCCTGGAGCAGGATGCAGAGGGTTCCTGCAGCGACGGCGAGGTGTGTTGCACAGAGCTCTTGCTTTGATGAGAAGCAACTGAGCTTCACTTTTGTTTGTCGCGATTTAAGAACATCCGTTTCACGCAGTCCGCTTTGCTTCTGATGCAAGTGTGGATGGAACTGGCTGGTGCAGCAATGCAGCAGTGCAGGCAATCGATTATTCTTTGTGCTGTTCTTCAGAGTAAAGTGCCTGTTTGTCATATTGCACAGAGGCCTTTTGCTGTTTTTGTATGCTGTTTGTTTTGCGCTGCTCTCAGGAGAAATCGAGGCAACAAGAAAACAATTCCCTGCCCCAACAAGAACAACAACCTCCCGCCCGAATTTGGGCAGCCAGTCGGTGGCGTCAAAGCTTCGGACTCTTATGTCACCCCTCCACAGTGATCTCCAAGACTTGATTTCTGCCAGCTGTTCAATCACATTGGCGGCCTTGTGGAACAAGATAAGAGTGGTTTCATCGTTGTTTTCTGTTGCTGCTTCTTCGCCACTGCGGCAGAGTTTGCTGCAGGCGGCTGTTGTTGTTGTACTGTTGCGCCAGTGGGCTTTGTTTGCTATTGCGGCAAAGAGCTTGTCGTTTGTGTTTTGTTCGGAAGTTTGAGTCTGCGCGGAGCTGCAAAACTTGAGACTGGCCACTTCGAGTTGTGCAAGAACCCCTCCGTATTTTCGAAGAGGATAAACTCTTGCAGAACTTCAGGAGGAGATCAGCCCCTGGAGTCTCTGGTGCGAGGAGGCTGAACAGGCCTGGCCTGCCTGTGCCTCCGTTTCGGGTGTGATCGGCTGCAGGGCCGGGGTGAACTCCCCGCTTTCTACCTCAGAGATCCTTGGAGATCATGTCATGTCGGGCGAGACATCGCGCTGTGGGCATTTCCTGGATGCCTCAAATCAGACAGGTCCAAACTTGAAGCTTCATCCCGAGCTTGCATCCTTAACCCTGAGCTTCAAGCGCTGACAGATGTTCTACATTTCAAGAGCACCCGTTAGTTACCGTTAGCTGCAGCATGCAACACCTCTCACCCTGTATGAAGCCGTCAAACCCACGTCGAAGCCTTGACCAGGGAGTCTGGCCGCGGGATTTCGCCTTCCTCCTGCGCAGCCGAAGCCGGAGTCCCCGCCGTCGCCCAGGGCGCCCCGGGCGCTCAGTCGAGGCTCATCTCATTTCTCTCAGGTTCGCATGACTTCGGGAAAGGATTCCTGAGGTCCTGGTGAAGGGCTTCTCCTGACCGTGAGTGCCATTAGCACCAGTAATTTCTGCTGGCGCTCTAGCATTTCATCCGATCGCATAAGCTGCTGGGACATGAGACAGCGGCTGTTGGAGTCCCTTCCGGAGGCTGTAATGTTCCAATGTGCCAACATGTAGGAGACTGCCTGCTCCTAAACACTTTCTTTCGTGCGATTCGGCAGTGACGCAATGGGACGCGGCGCCAAAGTTGTTCCACGCCCCTGCAGGATGCTCCTGCAACAGAGTCGCCACCGCGGCTGCCCACTTTGAAGCTCGAAAGGCCATGGAGGCCTCCGCAGCAGCGTTGCTCAGCTGTCGTTTCTGCGGCCAGGAACAGGTCTGCAAGCTTCGGGACGGGGCAGAGCTTGTCCTAAGAGAACCCAAGCCCAAGAGTCTTTAGCGTATCCAAGAGTGCCGCGGCATGCAACAGTTCTACAGAGTGGCGAGTTTGATTGCGCACATGGCTTGGATGCCTCGGTGCAGACCGCCTCCAGAAAGAGCGTGAGAGCTCAGCTTCAGTGTGAGGAATATGTGAGCGCAGGCAAGTTCTCTCGTCCGCTCCTTTTGCACATGTGGGGCACTCAGAAGACCAAGTCCACAACAGAAGCTCTCACTAGCACGTTCAGTTGATGTCAGCCTACAGCAACAGGCTTTCAGCAAGAGCAGGTAGCCTACTGTAGCAGTTGCCTCCAAGATTGACGGTGAAATCGACACCATGGTATCGACCCAGCTTTCTTTCCAAACTCTCAGTTTTCTGCCGGCGCCTCGCCAGCCTGTTGCACTCCTGGAAGAGCTGGATCCACTCCCTCCTCCCAGTCCACGAGATGGGTTTTCAGCCCGTCCCCTCTTGAGTGATGGAGCCGACGAAGCTGCCTTTCGCCGTGTGCGAGTGGAGTCCGAGAGCTTTGGAGTGCCGTCACGGGAGTCTCGCCGGTCCTTCTTCTCGGAGAACCTCCCGGACGTGCACATCACAGCGAACCATCCGCCGAACCGGATCTTGCACGATTTTCACACCGCCCGAATGGACAAGATGCTGGAGGCGCCCATCGAAACTTGAGCATTCTGAATCCCTGCCCCAAAGTGAGCCTGTGTTTCTCTTCCGAACCACACCGGCACGGAAACCAAAGCTAGGAAAGAGCTGTGCTTTCGATCCCTGCAAATGCGTCTAGCCAGCAAGGGGGGCGAGATGCCACCTTTTTAACTCCACCAACAACCCGCAAGCCCTGGAAGGAGATTTCGACAGTTTCGGGCAGGCTAAAGCTGAAGAAGGAGATAGCTTCGCGCAGGGCGCCGACTGCTCCGGACGGACGGACGGGTGCTGAAGCCCTAAGGCAGTTGTCTCAGAGGCCAGGCTGCACATTGAAATATTTTGAAGCTGCTACCGTTGGTGCTTGTTACCAATAGCCATTACTGCTTCCTAGATGTTCCAACCAAGAGCACTGGACACTGAGGGGGAGCTTCGCATGGAAGGTGTGGTAGTCCTATCAGAGATTGGCGCCTGCGAGGACAATTTCTCGGCACCTAGGGGGTTCGTGCAGTGCTACTGTTGTGGTTCTGGGTCCTTGTGGTTAGAATCCCGGCTACCCCAAGTTGCCGAGCTTCAGTGGTCCTTCTAGCCCTATCAGGATGACAGCCTTGCGATGCTCCGGCAGAAGATGTCCACCTACTGCTGCACTCTTGCGGATTTACTTAGTAACTGGCCATTTCTTGTCTTTGGTTGACCTCCTCTGCATCTGTATTGACATAGGCCGGCACCTATCATGATTTTGAGTTGAGCACCATCTGAACTTACACGACAAAGTCCTCCCATGCTATGCCAGAGGAGGCACCAACCCTTGTAAGATAGCTTCACAGGGGTAAATTCCCATTCCGCCCATTCCGAAAGACTTGAGACTTGAGTCCTACGTACAGGCCCACCTCGGGGCAGGGCTTGTCCATGCCAACGTTTTGATGGCCCAGAGATTCCAAATCTCTCCTTCTCTCTTGGAATGAATGCAGGGGGCGCAGAGCGGAGCCGCCCCCGACTAATCATTCTTCTGAAAGCCGTTAAGAGCGGGTACTTTGAGGCCCTCTGGTCTCGGGGCTGATTCGCCCTCACGCATTTTTCGCTTGCACCTTGCTGCAGTGTAGATGCAGCTCGGGAAGGGAGTTCTGGACTCTCAGCCTGTGGACGTGATAAATCAGTGCCACGAGTGTGCAGCGAGCTGAGCAGCGCTTTTGTGTTGGGATTCGACTGGTTTCTCTAAGTAAGAGTCGATGCAACAACAGATATGATGTACGCGCCAGCCCTGAGACTTGAATCCTGGACCCTGTTCAGCTTATATTCTCTAGCTTTCGCAGACCCTGCAGATTTTCGAAGCAAAGCCCAAGACGGTCATCAGCGGCCCGTATGATATGATCCTACCTATGGACCTTCAAGTAGAATGCCAAGGCTGCCGCGCAGCCGTCGCAGCAGACCGCTCCGCTTCTGCAAGAGGCGCACACTGAGCAATGAGGTTACTTCTGCATTAGTAATTAGTCGAGATGCACCCAGCTGTGGTTTCCACTTGCCTCATGCTGGGGATGGGTTGAGCAAAGAGTGCAGTGCCGGTGTTCAAGATGCTGGTGGAAACGATTCCTGGCAGTGTAGAGGTGCCAGTGCGGCCGCTAATGGTGGTACAAGTGCTGGTTCTGATACTACTGTTGAATGCGAGTGCCTGCTCGCTAGCAAAAATAGCTATTGCTGTCTATCCAGATTGCAAAGCTGTTGCTTTCGCTGCTGCGAGGGCTGATAATTGGAATCTTCCCCATTCTGCGTTCTCCTGCTAATCTTCCTCCGATCGCTATGGCGGTGGCGGCAGGGAGGAATGACAGCAGTGGGACTGCCAGCCATAGTAGTAGGCATGATAATGCTTCAGGTTTCTGTCAACAGCAGCAATCTTCATCATTACCCCGGAATCATCGAGGTAGGACTCTTCGCAGGAACATCAGTTGCAGGACGAAGCTGACAAGCTCTTCCGCCAGGAGGGAGAGTGCCGAGAATGCCGGGCCCGGCCTCGGTGCGAGAAGACGTGTCGAAGCCTCAGAGCCTCTCGGAGCTCCGCTTCTTCTAAAGCACTCTTTGGCCGCTGAAGCCCAGCTACCGCAAACTCAAGCTCGTGAGCAAGATGTGCGCTGCATTGAGTGCCTTACCGCGATCTGTTCTCAACGATTTTCACTTTCTCCCGACTGCTGCTCTGAAGATGTTTGTCAGGGCGTGATGAGGGGACGCCACATGCCAGAGCCTCGGCATTAGGTCACCTAGGGTCTGCTGTTGCGAGGGGTGCAGTGGGAACGTTCTTGATCAACGCATCAACATGGGACCTCTCGGTGTGTCGGCATAGCACAGTTTCAATTGATGCATGTGAACCGCCAGGCTTTTGGCGAAGGCTACAAACAGAAGACTTTCCTCGCCACGTTGACTGCAAATCCGCTTCTTTGTAAGGCGGAATGACTTTTATCTTCGGGATGCCGCTCCGGAATCCGCATCTAAAGTGCAGGGGCTGGTCTGTGACAGCAGTTGCGGTTTAGCGCCTGAAACCTTGGCGATCCCTGCCGCCGGAATCTAGAGTCCAGAGTCTGTAGCCGGTATCATATCAGATATCACTTCTTTCTCCGGACTGGGTGTTGCAGACCGCGGTTTGGCGAACGCGTGTAAGACCGTGACCTTGGAGCGGCATCATGTGACTGATCCTGGCAGCCGGCAGCCCGACTTAGGAAGAGCTCCGCTGATAGCCGTAGTGTTGTCAGTCTCGAGTCGGCAAGCCTTAGGGCACAAAGCAGATGCAATGCAGCAGGGTCTGTTCGACATCCTGTGTCAACTTGTACTTTTGTGTTGCGAGCATTCGTGATCCAGGCCATGGAAAAGTCATGCGCAGGCACGTCGGCTCGGCACACTCGCCACCAGGGCGACCGGGAAGCTCGTAGAGGGTTCGCCAGTTTGTGGACGCCAAACCATGGACAGCTCAAGCACTTTCCGTATCCCCTGGGCATTCGAGTGCAATCCTCATGTTGGTTGTCAAAGGCTGCAACCGAAGGCATGTCTTTGGTGGAAGTTTCCTATGCTACTCCGGATTGCAAGGCATACTCTGTTTCAGTTGCATGACAGAAGCAAACCATCACAGGACATGCCCTGTGTAAGACGCAGGCATAATTATTTAAAGTGCCAGCGCATTTTCCAAGATTCGTGAGCGACGACTGGATTGTCTGTCTAGTGTTGTCTTAACCCAAGGATGCTGAGGTACGCCAATAGCGCAGACCACAGGGCCCCTGAGAGCCACTGGATGTCTGAAGGCAGGTTCCGTTGCTCCGGTCTTCTGAATCCTCGGCTGAATTGCCCGTTTGATGGCAGATCAATCCTGTAGGGCTGCTGCAGTTGGCATTTGACTTGGTGAGGGCCCAACCTCCTTTTGACGCCTTGTAATCAGTGCTCTACTCAGCGGCCTGGGCAGGAGATGTAGCCCAGTCAGTGCATGAGGGCGGCATTTGTCACTGCATTTAAAAACATGTCGGGGAGGCCGTCTGCTGGGTGGAAGCGCTTTCAAACATCATCTGAGAATCATCTGAAGTCCTTCCAAGAGTCGGTGGCATGGCCAATTCGTGTGCAACAGGGATGTGAATGACAGAGGCCGTTATCAGCAGAAGCATATTTAGTATCCATTTCTCTGCCAACGAAGCTGCTGTGCGGCCTCCCTCGACAGGGTTCCAAAACCAGACTGAGGTTGAGCGGCAGGGCGCTGGTACGTGGTCTGTGGTCCAATCTACGGGACTCAATCCACCTTCGGTCCCGAAGTCCGCTGGCAATCAGCATCGAGCTGAGTTCCCCATAGGGCCTCTTTGATTCGGGCTTGAGTTCATCCGAAGGCCTGTATCCCTACGCAACCAGCAGACCTCTCCCTGCTCACTGCTGCGCCCGGTGAAATTCGCTGCACGCCGCACTGGGGCCTCGTGCGCCAGCGCTCAAGACATCTCAAGACCCAGGGCTCCGGAGCCAAAGAGTCAAGTGCAGAGATGCTGCGTGCAGGGATGGCTGTGAAGTGCATGCTGTGTAAAAGCAACGATGCTAGCAGCTGCAGCAGCCAATGACGTGAGAAATGTCGCCTGCACACGGCGCCGCAGCATTTTCACGTTTGAAGACTCTTGATCCAGTGGCACCGCAGTTGCCGCCCATGATGCAGCAAGCATTATGATAAAACGTGACGGGATATCTCGTAACGCATGCAGGACTGCAGCCGGACACGAAGTTTAAGTTGCAAGAGCTTAGACTTCTGCGCAGCACCCTTGCAACCGCTTGCTCCGCACGAGAAGGTCGCCGCTTCCAAGCGGCGAAGCGCAAGCATGGCGAAGCCCTAGAGCCATGTTCGATCGCACTGAGCCCAAGGAGGACTGGCACCGGAATTGTCTCGGGATGTGCTTTTGGCAAGAAGTGGTCCAGGTTGCGCGATTGCTTCTGCCAGGGCACTGTCGACAGTGCCTGCGGTTCGCAGCTCCTACAGTAGTGTTGCTGCTGTGTTTTGCACTCACTCTGCTTGCTGTGGCAGGGCACGGGGACGAGCAACGTTGGGTTCTGCAACATGGAGAACCCGAGGCTCCTCGGGAGGATGCCCTGGTGAAAAAAAAGTCTAAATGCATAGTTCCATCCTGTATTTGTCGGGCAGTCTCTTGGAGATCGACTTCGATGTAGCAGTGTAGCAGCATGAAGGTGCATTCTCCAGTGCTTCTAGGATGTTTCTATGTTCACCGGCAGCCACCGAAGTGGAAGCGCCCAGACTACGTGCCCCGCCGAAGAGACTGCGCCAACGGTTGTGCCAACAAGCAGAGGACGGGAATGGTGATTGACCGGAATTTCGGGAAGAGGCAGCTTTTTGCTCCTGCCTGAGACAGCAGTGGCACCTGCGGACCTGGCCCACTCCCCCCACGACTGAACTTTCAACGACTTTACCGTCCTGCAGACAGTGTGTGTAATTCCAGCGAGCACTGTTTTTGATCTGATCCTCAATCCCAATAATTGCCATCCCATCCCAGACAGCTTCATCCTTGCCACGGCTAGCAGGACTCTTCGACGTTGTCAAGAGGCCGCCCGATGCGGGGGGTTTGGGCTTGCAGCGCTCTCGTGCTCGCTCCTAGGTCCCAGTCCCGTAGCGTCCTAGTAACTTACTTAGTATAGGTTGCTCGGATCTGAGGTTGGCAATACAAAGTATACCATGATGACTTCGGAGTTTCCCCAGCAAATCGGGCTCCTGCACAGCGTCCGTGCTTCCGTCTAAAGTCTAAAGCACATTGCTTCCGCCCTGAAAGCTAGTGGGGATTGTTGCTGGACCAAGACCAGGACTGCGACTTGTGTGTAAGAGGGATTGCCCAACAAAGACAATGAGCGCATGGCCCCGGGTATACTATACGACACCAGTCGCCGCTCTGATTGCGGCTTGTACTTGTGGCTTTACGGACGAAGCATCGATCGCTGGCTTCCACGGTCTTCGGAGTAGGCTGAGGAGGATAGAGCAGGGGAATGGGAACCACGCTTCTCCCGGTCAGGTTGCACCCTTCCCCAAGAGTATAGAGCTACAGGATTCCAAATTTTCCGGACAATATCGCATGAAGTACAACTGGCCGGATCTTCTGGGTCCTCATGTTCGTTTGCTTTCCGTGCTTTGAGAATCGTCCTTGTCAGTCACAGGGCAGCTGGATCCGCGAACAGACGGCGCAAAGAGCACCCGGCTCGATTTTGCCGCTGGTGCTTGTCTCTCTCATTTAGCCTTTGAAAGTATGGGTTCATTTGCAGACAACTTCTGTGCAGGTTTCGATAAGAATAGAGTCATGCAACCTGTGACGTGCACATGCCGTGCGGCACAGAAGAGACGCGAAGTCTTGGGAGGTTACTTTCCAGGAATGGCCATGTCACGGCCCTGTCGCGACGTATCGGATGGCCATCGGGTACTTTGCGTCTGGGATCTGAAACACGACCCGAAGCAACGGCTGTAGTTCTCTGAATCTGACTCTAAAGCCTTAAGGCGGACGGAAAAGGGGCGAAAAGAAAGGCAAACAAGCGAGGGCAGAATGCGCTTGGGCTGTCGTGCTGACGTGACAGCACTCTGTGCCGCTCAGTGCGTGCGGAGAAGGCGCGAAACCCGCATGACACCTCCTTCTGGACTCAGATGCAGCCCAGCGGGCTGATACCGCCGTCGGCCAGGCGGCGGCCGGCGATCGTCGAAGTCCAGATTACAGGAAAGACAGCCTCGGACGCAAGCTGTAGGTAGGCAGCCTTTTTTGAAAGATGATTCAACCTGGACTCCTTCACACACACACACACACACACACTCTTTTACAGACATATCCTATATTCAGCACATGTCGTCAGAACCCAAACGCATCCCGTGGAGGCGAGTACGAACTCTTACGAGAATTGAAGACGTTTTGTCCAGATTTGGCTGTCCTGGAAGCAAGAGAGCTGTAGGGAACATCATGGACTTCACCACACCTTTGAGTCTCGAGTGGGTCATGCGGTTGACTGCGCCCGTTCTGAGACGGGTGTCACCGCAGCCAGGACTGTGTCCGAATGCGAAGCGCTTCCCGGTTTGCGCCCAAGCCGTGCTCTTTGCCAAAACATACCTCGCCTCAGGAAGGTCTGCAAAGGTTTACGTTTGAGGTTGCCAGGGGGGTCATCGATTGCTCTCGGACAGCATCCTTCTGAAGTTCTGTTGTGTTGCCGAAATTTCATGAGGTGCCTCGAAGACGGTGCCAATGCTGCCCCGGCTTGCTACCTGTATCATCGATCCAGATAGGATTGGAGTTGTGGCACTTGCCTGCTCATGGCTGCACTCGGCTTGAGTTTCTGTGAGGTGGATGTCAGCCTAAGTACAATGACCTTGACCCGCTCTTCTTCAGAACGTGAGATCACAAAAACAGTGCCTGGACTAGCCTGGACATTGTCAGGTCTTCCCCCCCGAACCTAGCAACGCCCCAAATGCCAAGCGCCAAACTGAGCTGAAACAGTCAAGCACTGCAAAGCTTTAAGCCACTCCTGGCCAGAGCGCGCCTGCGTGCGGTGGACACGGGCGAGGCTGCTGCGCCCTTGGCTAAAAGAGCGTGGCCGGCAGAGTTTGGGCAGATCCATGGAGGAGTGAGGAGGAGAGGATTCGTGGGGCTCGGGGATGGCATTTGCAAGCATAGCTGGCATTGGCTGGCATACCTCGGGAGCTGGAGCTTACGGCCAGCAGGAGTCGGGAGAGTAGAAGTGTAGATCGATGCCATGGCCTTGCATTTGCAAGCGTTGCCGTCCTTCCAGGCCCTCAGCTCTCTGCCAGCACCTCAACAGCCTGCTCTGGCTGAAGATCTGGATCCACCACCACTGCTCCCCGCCCTCACCGCCGCAGGTGATTGTTTGCCAGTCAGCCCGGTCGTGAATGATCGAGCCGACGAAAGAGGCAGACATGCCAGTGCGGAGTCAGAGGGCCCAGGAGCATTGTCGATGGAGTCGCGCCGGTCCTTCTTCTCGGAGAGCTTTCCGGATGTCATAATGAAGCCTCCGAATCGGCTCCTGCACGACCGTCACATGGCCAAGATGGACAAGATGCTGCAGGAGCCATCTCACAATCTAAAGCCGTCTGGGGATCGGAGTGTTTGCTTCGTGGTGCTTCGCTCTAGCTGCAGCTTTGCATTCTTAGTGTTCCCTGTAAGGAGATATCGACGTTTGCAGGCAGGTTGAAGCTGAGACAGGAGATTGCCTGGCGCCGCGTGTTTAACACGCCGGATTACAAGTGAAGACGCTTCCCTTGAAGTAATGAAGTAACATGTTGCAGCTTTTTGTTTTGAATCAGGAACCCAACAGAAGCGGTTTACTACCAGCCGAAGTTGCTGTCAGGAGCCTGACAGAGCTTTCGTTTGTCATACGCTTTGGGGCCCTTCGGCTTCAGATGTGAGCGGCCACTGCAAGACTTTGGTTGATTATGCCGTGCAGCAAACACTATATGCTAGGATTGGTAGGGTCACTGCGGAGCATATGTAAAGAGAAACAACTGCCATGTCTTGCACAACCACTTTGTTCAGACAAATGCCATGCCAACGCTTAAACTTTTCTTGAAGCCCTATCGGCGGAGCATCATCGGCTCAATGCAGATTCAGAAGTCAGCTTGATTTACATGCAATGTTCACAGGACGTTGCCGAACTTTAGGTTCTTTAGATCACACCATCGTGAAAGCAAGTTGGTGCGCATAACGTTGTCTACGTGTATTCAACGCGTTTTGCAGAACTGGCCCGACCAAAGCTACTTTGTCATCAGCAGCAATAATTCTGGGGGTGTGGCAGGTCTGTGGTGACTCTAATGATTCAGGTAAGCCCATATTTGTTCGCTCCAAACCCGCAGCTTGCGTACAGTCGATGAGTTCCCCTAGGCAATCTGAAAAGAAGAGCTTCACGGCATAGTGCTGTGACACCGATAGCAACTCTGCCAATTCGGCAGCAAGTGTGTTTGACAGGCGATGTCTCTATCAAGATTTATCAAGTCTTCTGTCCTTTGGTGCGGGTTGTCAAGCCCGAGGCATTCGCCAACGATATCGTAAGTCGATTTTTCAATCTGGTTCATGGTCCGAGCCCTTGCTTGAGCAAGCGACTTCAGTCATCATTGTTAATGTAGTTTTGCACATTGTGAAGCCTTCTTCGTTGGAGCACGCAGGGGTCGCACCATGGAAGCGCCCATTCGGTGCTAGTCTCGAGGGCCTGCGAGTGGAGTGCCTACGAGGCTTCGCGCAGCTTTTAGATTTTCGGCCTCAGCGTAAACTCGCCGAGCAGGTGTGAAAAGGTATGAGGCCCACACTGTTATTTTCGTGACAACTTGCCCATGATGAAAGGCTGCACAGCCATGGGCCGCTTTAGTTGGAGCTGGGTCTCAATCTCACTGTGAGATTGAGACTGTCTAGTATCAACGGTCCTTACTTTGCTTGCGACCGTGGCACAAGGGCCAGTCGACCTGCCCAAACAGCCACTCGACATGCAAGACAGGCTGCCAAGCGTCGCAAAACAGCCGCATATGCCTTGGGTCGGAGAGAATCGACATTGACAACTCCAGCCTAAGCATCCGCACATATACACATGAGATCCCAGTGCACTCGGGACGGCTATAACCAAAATAGAGCGATGTACGCGTTGTCTTCTCCTGCCAGAGTTGAGAAGTGCAACCTTGGCCTGCTTGAAGCCACTCTGTCTGAGTTCTGGGTTCTGCATTCATTTCCGAGCTGGCCAAGGATCCGGAAGGCTTGGAGGCACCTGCAGTGATGGCGGGGCCTATTCCCAAGGTGGGAAACTTGCAGGGTCGGGGCATGATGTCAATCATGGTCATTTCAGGCGTCAGGGCTGGATTCCAGGTCGCGAGGTTGCTCGATTTGCTCGCGCGACCCCTTGCTACTTGTGCCATTCGTGGAAGCCTTTCCGAAGACCCTACTTCAACAGCCCCGTCTCTCCAGGAGAAAGCACAACCTTTGGCCCCTCAGGCGTGGTCGCCCTGTAGCGGTATCGGAGCAGCTTCAATGCACTGGATCTGTTGCGCCCATGTTGTGCCCTTACTTGTACATGCCGTGCGTCTGCTGGATGTGCGCCTTACTCCTCACACTTTGTCATGTCGAGATGTTCTTCCTGCGAAGCAGCAGGCGACCAGCACCTATGTCCCGCCAGAGCCCCAGAGCCCCAGAGCCGCAGACAGCCCAGCTAGAACGAGGAGGGAGGATGGCACAGCGCCAGCACAGCACACATCGACTCCATCTCGCATTGAAGCTGATCTTGAGGGACGCGGGAGAAGGGGCGGGGGTCCATGTCCATGATTTCGCATTCACTCGTACGCAATGGTTTGGAAGGCTTACGGCCGCTGATGAGCCAGACCCGGTTACGCCGGGTATGCGAAGCCGGATCTGACGAGAGACCCTCGCTTCCGCGTTGCTGGAATGCATGTCTGAGGCCGGTTACTATCGATCCGACCTTGCTGTGGAGTTCGCGTGGCAAGCCTCTGCCGTGCCGAGCTCTGTGCTGGCTTCGGGATTCTGGATTCGACAGTGGGAGAGGTGGCCATGGTTCATGCCTCTGGCTTCGAATCGTTGCGGTCAAGCTTGCAGACAGGGCAGGGAGCACCAGCCGTTCGCAGCAAGTCCAAGTCCTGGGGCCTCGCCCAGGCATCTTATCCGCCATAAAGAGAAAGACTCTTCGCGGTTCAAGGGACCTTAATCGAGACTGTGACAAATCTCAACATGGGTCGTTGTGGCCGTTTGAAGGCCCCTTTTAAAATAAATTTAGGTGCACCCTAGGTCCCCTTACATCTGGAAGTGATGATTCGTAGGTATCCTGACGTGTTTCGTGCAAGGGTGTTGCGGGGTTCTCTTGGGGCGTTTCTCGTCGCGGAGAGCTGAAAGAGCCTGACGTCCCGGCAGCCGTGAAGTTCGAGCGAAAGTGAGCGTGCGCTCGCCCATGGAAGCGGAGGTCCCGTTCCGTGCCGCCTCTTGGTTTGACGATGGCAGAAGTCTTGCTGACGTCTCTTCGAGAAGATGCTGAAGTGCTCAAACTCTTCTTGCCGCCTTGCCTTCTCTTTCCTTTCTCAGCTTCTCCGATCTTGGTCTCCTTAGGGCCGGCGCCGGATCTTCCATGAGTCATGGCGCTGACGGTGTCAGTGGCCTTCCTGAGCGGAAGAGCAGGCCAGTTCTGTCCGGCCAGGGTCAGTCACACTACCGCACACCGGAGGTCTGGGCAGGTAGGTCTAGGAGTTTATCCGCTTTTTTTGGACGAGTAGGCAAGTTGATTTGGAAGCAGGGTGACAGTTGGTAGGTTAAAAAATCCGCTAGCCTGCAGAAGCCCGCTCGCCACCATGCGGCGGGGCTTCGTGCTGGGTTCAGCTCTTCGAAGTTATGACATAGCATCCATGTCGGTAGCAGAAGGAGAGTTCTGTGACGCAAGTTGCTTCTGGTATAGCATAAGAAAAAATTCGGTGTCCGTTGCTTTTTCTCTTTGCAGTCACGGTTGCCGTGGAGCCCACTGCCACTGTGAACGAGCTGCGGAAGAAGACGCTCGGACAAAAACAGTGTTTGTCTGTGTGTGAGGTCTGTGAGGTTGTAAGGCTGCTTGGATTTTTCTTGCTCGGAGTAGACCCGGGCTCTGTGGCAAGCCCTGTCCGATCTGCAGACCGGACTTCAAGAGCATGACAGGTCCGACTAGCCCAATTCTCCCGGCATTTCTAACAGATGTTCAACTCCGAGTGTTCTCAACAGTGGCTGTCTTCAGTCCGCAAGCCCTGCCAGGGTTCTGGCCACAGTTCCGACCGCCCCTTGGAAGCTCTAAGCTGTGATGGGTTCTCATGCCACTGCAGATGATCTCTGCCCAAATCTGGCAGCAAAGTTTGGTCGAATCAACAGCCAACGTTGAACTCGAGCATGTGAGCTCAAGTCAGGTTGACGCATTGGTGCTGGCGCTCAATAGCCAGCTCCTCCAACCCGGGAGCACTGTCTTAGGCGGGATGCGGTGACTTAGCACTGAAGCGACGTGACCAAGCAACAGCACAGGCGCCGGCATCCAAAATGGACAGACGTTGACCGCTATCTCCGTTCCTGACACCTGTCTGCTTGAATACGTATATGTATAATACAGGCTTTGACGGATAGATAGACGGTAGACAGACGGATAGATGGGCTTCGCTAACTTCGTAAAGAAGAAATCAGCCTTCAGGAACAGCATTACCAGGAAGTTGCGTTAGGTCACTTGCTCGTCCAGGTCGTTGGCATGGTAACTAGACTGCCGAAAAACTGGATTCCACTCCCGAGGACTGGAAAGATCGAGTGTCAAGTCATGCTCTCGGCTCTGCGTTCGCAGCCATGAAATCAGATGCTTCAGTGGTGTTCCTTGGTCGCCTGTTGGGTGCCTGTGAGCACGTGTGCATGTTCTTGATCAGAACGAGAAGTTCACAGGAAGTGACCATAAGTGACCTAGCCAAGAAGTACAAATACATGGTCGCTTCGTGGTGAAGCCAGTCAGCAGCCATTTCGTCTACCCGGGTCTACCTGCCGTGATGCGCTGCATGTAGTCTGAGCCAGCTATGTCGCCCAACGCATGCAACATAGCTCTGAACCGAGTGTTTCAAGCTCGCTGTCCCGAAAAAGGGATAAGATAACTATCGGAAGTCTGCTGGTCTGGTGATATGTCCGATGGACGAAGCCCGAAGCCCGGCAAGGACGTTTATCTCGAAGCGTTTCGGATACTCTCCACTCTCCACTCCTTCCCTTGCGAGCTCCTGCCTTTCTGAGGACGTGGGGCGAGGGCGACTGCGGCGGCGACAGCAGCTGCGAAGCGTCAAGGCTATTCTCCGTGCGCCGCCTCTTTGCATGGACCGACGGGCTGCTCGGCGCTGCTTCACGTTAAGGGGTCTTCGCAAAGCCTGCTATCACAGCCCTCGTAAGCTCTGCGTGTCTGTTTGGTCTGTTCAAGTGGTATTCCACTCGAATGGCTAAGGTTTGCCGCTCTACGGGAAGATGGTCGAGTCGTAGTCTGGGGCAAGCCCAGCAGACATTTAACGCAAGACGCGGCAAACCGCCTGCACAACATTGTGCAGGTTGAGGAGACTTGCTGGCAGTATGCCGCACTGCGAGCAGACGGCATCGTCATCATCTGGGGGCGGGCTGCAAAAAGATCCCTGCGACACCAGCGGGAACCTGCCATGCGAGATCTTACAAATGTGGTCCAGCTTTATTCTACGTTTGGTGCATTCGCAGCCTTGCGGGCCAACGGCACCATTATCACATGGGGCGATGTGCCTTGTCCTTGGTTTCGGCAGGAGAGTGCGGCGGACATGCAAGCATGCACTGCACTATCACAGTCGCAAATAGTCGCAACAGCGGTGCAACATGATTGTAGCTATGCATCCGACCATCTCTCTTCAGAAATGGAGTGGTAGGTGCGGTGGGGCAGCGATACCACGGAGGTGCTGGCTGAGTCTTGTCTTTGCAGCTGTGTGTCTTTGTGGGGTGTGTTATGCGCGCTAGCCAGCATGAAGCCTACTAGTAGCACTATAGGAGAGTTGTGCTGATTACTCAGCATCATCCCTTGAATCAGAGCCGTTGCCGAATCATTGCGATGTCGGGTTGTTTCGTAAATCGGGATGCTTTCTTGGGGAGTTCAATCTACCAAGGTCCAGAAAGCTCTCGAACCCTGCTTTGCAAAGTCCACCTTCTCCTAACGTCCAAACACCACGGATACCCCCAGGGCCCAGAGATTTCTAGCCTGAGTGTTGCAAAGCAGCACCAAGGAGTTGGCCGACATTTGTGATGTCACGCCAAGCATGGCCGGCTTTGTGGCCCGCCGCCTGGATGGGCGCTTGGCCATGCAACTAGTGAATTTGGAGCGTTTGGATGTTCTCCACCTGCGCTGTTCAGCATTCCTAGATGGCACCCCAGGTCGCATCAGTATGCAGCATGCACCAATCAGCCTGCATGGTTAAGGCTTAAGACCTCCGTCCTTTGATGCAGGAGGGTGAATGTGGTTCGTGGAAGGTGCCAGCGGAGGATGGTTGGGACCCTGTGTAGTGGATGGATCTAAAGTTAGAAAGGCTAAGCCGGCTAAGCCCTCACCCAGTTCCGCACCAAACGAACAAGGCGTCTCGTCATGTGGGGCGTCAAGGTCCTGGGTGGCGAGTTGGCCGCCTCGGCTGTAGATAGCTTACACTGCCTGATATGATTTGCATCTGATGTGCACGTTTCTCAATTTTCGTCTTTGTCAGTCTGTCGGAGTCTGTCGCCTGCAGGTAGTTCGTGGCTTTCCCGGTTATCAACCTTCAAGGTTATAGGGCAGGGCAGATTGGAAGTAAATGAGCACCAGGTTGCTTCTTGCTCAGGTGGTAATGAGCCAAAATGCACACGTTGGGCTTGCGAATTGCAGATTCCGCAGCTTCAAATATTTTTGTCACCGTGCTGTCACCGCTCCGCAATGCGACCTCCCCTCCGTTGCTCACGTTCGCTCTATAGTAAGTCTCTAAGCGGAACCTCGCTACATTTCTTCGAGATCGCCTCTTTACTTGGGCTGGTCGGCCTTCTGAAGACCACGCGAACTCCGGAGGGTTTGGAGAAGAAGCCCGAAGCACACTGCAAAGGCACTGGCAGACGGAAGACAGGTCGGCGATGGATTGATTGATGGAACGATAGGTATATCTTTGTATAGGTAGGTAGGTAGATAGGTAGATAGGTAGATAGATGGAGGTGCATACATGCATACACATGTGCACATTAAAACTCTTCTCTCGCTCTCTCTCTCTCTCTCTCTGTCTGGAATTCGGCCCGAGTGAGCATAGGTTGTTATTCAATTGCACATACATACTAGCAATGCTCCGAAATGAGATGCAGCCCTCATGCTCTGTGCATGCGCTACTGAAGTCGTACGATATAGCTTGCTGGTGGCGGAACTATCGGCATTGAGGGTGCTATCGGCCGTTGACTGTACAAATATCCACAATTCAACACATGACACGAGACTGAGAGGTTGGTTGGTCACGGGCAACAGTCACTCGTACGAGTTGTCACCAGCAGCAAATCCAAGATAGCATGGTTCAGCGCAGGTCATGATCTGTGGTGTGTGGAACACTCAAGCGCACGGAATGACGGACACGAGGTGGGCGTCACATATAGTCATATGGGCGGATAGTTTGATGATGGACAGAGACAGACAGATAGACAGCCAGACAGACATTTGGACAGACAGCTGGTGGGTCGCTGGGTCGGGAGACAGGTACGTAGGTCCGACGTAGGTCTCGCTTTTCTTCAGGTTGTCTTGTTTCGAGACTTTCGCATTGGAATTCTGGTATTCTAGGCGCTTCAAGGACAGGTCGTTACTTTGGGAAAGGGGTGTGGGGGTTGGCGGGCGGGTGGGGTTTGGGTGAGGGTTGATTTCGTTCTGGTGCTGCCAACTTCGTCTGAAATATGGGCTCCAAACCCACGCCTGCCGGCGAAAGTCAAGACAGTGCTAGGGTCTTGGGAAGCGAGGATTATGTGGAAGGAAAAGCTGGGCTCTGAACCCACGCCTGCCGGCACAAGTCACGACGGCTCTGAGAATGACAGTCAGGAGCCATGTCGACAACATACGACGCCCTAAGTTAAGGCTACATGGTTCCTGAAAGTATCTGCTCTGTCTTGACTTTTGCTAACAGGTGTGCGTTAAGAGCCCATTCCACATAATCCTGGCTTCCGAAACCGTGCGGTAACTTAACAAGGTGATAGGTAGGTAGGTAGGTGGATGGGTAGACAGACAGACAGATGGATAGATAGATAGATAGAGAGGTGGACAGTTAGATTGATAGGTAGGGCAGTCAATAGACAGCTAGCGCGTGAACATGTTTGTATGTCCACGAACGGATCCTGTGCAATAGGCCGAACATGTACGCGAGATGGACTTCTCGTGCGGTTCTGCCTTTTGCTGCACCAGGGTGTCGTTGAATGAACAAATGGGCGCCGCCGCCCGTGTCATGTAACATAAGTCATGCAAGCAGAGCTTAGCTATCGGGCTGGCACTGTGTTTCCTTCTTGTTTGTCGGAGAAGCTCAGGGGGGGCCTGAAAGGGGAATACTAAAGTGGAGGCTTGAAGGGGAGCTTGAGAGGGGGCTTAAAGTGGGGCTTAAGGCTTAAGGCGGGGAGTAAATGGCGGCCTGGGGGCTTAAGCGGGTGCTTAAGGTTCTGACTCTGCATTGTCTTGATCTTCATCACTTTTACGACCCGGAAGCGAAACCTTGCTCTCACAGATCTGACGTGCTCTTAAATATCCGAGTCGGCGGTAAATCTGTGATGAATTGACTCGGATTCAATGTTGCTGAAGTGCATGTGCCTGACCTTCGTAAGTCACACCCTTGCTTCGGACTCTTCACCAAACTGAGGCGCCAGAAGACAGACAAGTTCGTGCGACAAGTGCCTCAGCTCATGTATTGGGTTGGGCCAGCACAGCCAACAAAGTGCCAGCAAATCCGTGCAAACGCAGTCCGCTGTCGCAATGCAAGCTCGGCACTGGGTCGGGGAAATAGATTCTTGCTGCCGCAGTAGTTGTATCTCTAATGGTCGGGAGTCCAGAGTGCACGTCCCTCAAGCCTTACACGGAGCCCGTAATCATCCGAGAAAAGGAATGTGCATAAGTAACAGAAAAAAGCAAGTCCCAGCTTGGCGCAGGCGTTGCTACGGTCTTCGGTGCAAGTGCAGCAATCTTGGCTGATGGTAGCGTGCCACCCGGCGGTGTAGCGGTGCAGCTCATGCCGAGTTTCATGCAAATGCTAGTGCTTGTTGGACCCAGACCCGCATTGAACTGCTAAAGCACCCAAGCGATTGTTTGGGATCGTTAGAACATAGCAAGCCAGTCAAAACGCCTCCGTCCGTCCTTCCTGTCGGCCCATCATTGCTGAGGATGGCCTGGGGCGTGCCAGAGAAAGGTGGAGACATCTCCGCTGTGAAGGAGTCCTAAAGGAATTTGCAAGATCTTGCGAGGAGAGGGGTTGCGTTTTGGGTGCCCCTGAAGGACCGGCTACACCAGGCTTGGGCCTTACGGGGTGGTGGAGCGATTCAATCACAGAGTGCGGCCGGAATTCTGATCGGCACAACGGTCAGAAAAGCCTTCGAAGACAGTGGGGAACACACAGGCATCCCGGTCTGCAGGTTGTTCAGATCGTGGTATCTGGCGCGGCGTTTGCAGCTCTGACCGCCTCTGGATGTGTTATCACCTGGGGAGATCCGCTCGCAGGAGGACTGTGACGCGTGCTAGTATCGTCGTGCTTGACTTAAGATTGGCGGAAGGTGGAGACTGGCCACATGCTTCGAAGTGCAGGTTTGTTGGATAGGGGTGGCGTGCATCCAAGGGATTCCAATTCTGAATGCTGCTGATCGTCCAGATCTGCGATAGACCCGAAACTCATCATGCGTTCCTACTGCTGTCGAAACTCTTCTGACTTCAGATGTGCAACTTTGCAGGCGACAGCTCCTCTGTAGCAGACCGCCTGAACTGCGTCCGTGAGGTCGTGGCGCCTTTGTTGAATGGCTCTTGGTGAGTGTTGCCGGTCCTGCACAGCCACTGGTCATGCTGCTAGCTTCCCCGCTACCCCCGGCTTAGGGTCCTGACCGCCCAACCCTACCGATCGAGATCGTCCCAGTTTTGAACCAGGCTACAGACAAAGCCATGGCAGCCATTCGAACAGATGGCACCGTGGCGACTCGACATGTCCCGGCTTTTGGGGTTTTGGGGTCCGCCTGGAGTCGAGTCGGGAGCTCGATAATGGGTTTGAAAGCTCGCCCGATATTCGGATTGATTCCGCTAGAATGGCTTCTTCACCGACAATCAAGATCTTGATCTTGTACTCGTAGAAGATGGCACTGGCAATGCTTTGCAATGGCATTCAGGGATGGAGCCCGACCCGCAGTTACATGGCTGATTTTGCGGACTGGTCTGCGTAGTCTTGAGGTTCACTGACTGCCAAGGGCACCACATTCGTTTCTCCATGCATGCGGGATCAAGTTTCCACAGAAGCAAACAAGCGATGAAACAGCGATGGCCATGTTTGGCCATGTCGAAGGTGACTTGGGGAGATCCGACCCACGGTGGCGACAGCTTTTCCGTGGGAGGTTTTTTGCAGGAGGCGCCCGCCGAGGGGGCATGTGTCGCAGTTTAGGTTGCTGGGCTCTGATAATGGAGGGCCAGCAGTTTATTTTTTTGGGTTAATTCGGTCAATTTTCTTTTTGGCCTCGCCTTCTGTTTTTCTTCCTATCCTTCGTCCGTCCTGCTGGACCTGCCGTGCTTTTCTGGATTCTCAGTTTTCCCATGTTTTCCTTGCTTCCAGTGTGAGGGCTTGCAGTCGCGTGTTTCAGGCAGTGTGTAGGCAGATCGCCAGTCCGCAGGTGCGGTTTCAGGGTCGGAGTGTCAGCACATTGCACGAGTTAAAGTTTGTGGGCTTGGGTTTGTGGTGTAGGTGTAGGTTTCGTAGACGATGTTTCGTTTGAGAAAGGAGCTCGTTCAAACAACCTCCAACACGATGCTAGCATACTCGCTTGCAGAACCGGGCCTCGTTCCTAAACAACTTAAACTGTGGCACTGTTTGCCTCTTGTGGGTCATCAGGTCGAGGCGGTAGTTGCCACTCGCCGTGCTTTTGCCGCTTTGGGCGGAGGCGGCTCCCGGACGTAGTTCGATGCTGTTCATTTCCACATGGGCAGTGTCACTGAAGTCTGGAGTCGCTTCCAGCCTGTCTCGGACGAACGAGCTTTCGTTGGTTGGTTTTGTATCGCTGGTGCTGAAAGTATGCATGAGTCCCGATTTTCAGTGAACGGAAGCCCAGAAGGACCCCAAGCACAGGCGTCGTCCACTCCTGGGGAGATCCTGACTATGGCGGCAGCAGCAGCTCTTTGAAGGCCGTTCACGATCTGCGTTGGCCTGATTTGCCGGGCGGTGGGGTTGTGGAGATTTTTTTATTGCCGTTGTATTTTGCCGAATTTGTATTGGTCAGACTAGTGTTGCCAGGTTGAGCTTTCCATACTAGTTTAGTAGGGCAGTGCGTGCAGTGTAAGTGGTGGCACTGGTGCAAGCAAACCCCTTGTCAAGCTTTGAAGCCAAGCTTGTCATCGAAACCGCGCCAGCCCCGATCATCACAGCCTACTGTTGCAGCGCGTGGACCTGCCGGAGGATAAACTGACAAATGTCCGGAACGTCTTTGCATCGCGCTCCGCTTTTGCGGCCGTGACGGCCACTGGTGAGGCCGAAGGGGGCTGAGCATGGCATTGCCTTTGGTTGACAACCCTGGGCAGACTGGGCAGACTGGGCAGAAAGGGTAGTGCACTTCTCGTAGCATGTGTAAGGATCGGTCGTCGATGGCAATTCCCCCCTCCAGTGCAGGTGTTTTCCTGGGGTGCCCTGGAGATCACTGGAGCCTCTGCGGGTGGACACTACCCGTGCAGGCCACAGCAAGCTTGAGCTTGTGACGATGCACACCATGATGTGGTGGGATCGACAACTGCTTTCCAAACTTGCCCAACCATGATCCTGTCTCCATAACTCGTTGACAGAACTGGTGAGCAGATGCTTGCACTCAGTACGAGTAATGTCAAAATACGCAAGAGGATGCGGAAGAAGGAGAATGATCGTGAGCTGTTTCGTAAGGGCAGAGTACGAGTACGCTGCAGAGGAACATGTTGTTGCCGGCTATGGCAGAGTCATCTGCACGCCTGGCTCCTGCAAATGAAGGATAGTGGCATCAAAGCATCTGTTCAAAAGTAGGCACAAAGACGGAGCTTGAATGCCACTTTCCCTGACACTTGTTGCCAGTACAGCAATGGCAGCTCACTTGCACCGCATGAGGATGGGTTGCTGGTCACGGCAAACCTGCAGCCGAAACGGTTCTTGCAGCGGCATGTAGGGCCATTGGTGTCAGTGCAAGTGAGGACTCAGAAGGTACCCCTGTCGGCAAGAGTGCTCTGAGTACCAATAAATGTACAAGGCCGCCAGATTCTCCTAGCAGCTGCGTGGATATTGCTTGTGGGGTGAAACGCCCAGTGACAGACGAGTTCGTCCAGCATAGGCTCGGCGACAGCCGATAACTTCTGTAACCCACACCATAGGAGCTTCAAATGCCGCCGGTTCAGTTGCAGAAGGGGTACCCGCATCTCAAGGCAGTTCTCAGGACTGCCATGACATCATGCGCGTCATGTGAGGATGCAAGCCGTAAGCAGGGATCCTGATCCTTCCTTTTCTGCAAGTGGCTGCAGAATATCAGAAGTTGCAGGAAACGGGAGACAAGATTAAGGATTTTTCGTTTGTTTGTTTGTTTGCTTGCTCGCCTTACATTCTTCTTCCCAGGCGATTGCATGGCCACACAAGCAAGCCTGACTGTATAAGTCATTGCCGAGATGCACTTCCCAAAGTTACATCGCCCAACACATTGCCAATCAGTACAGTGTCACTGCCTATTCAGCCCAATGAAACCAGCTAGTTTGATGCACAGATACACACGTTCGATTTGATTCCAACACTTGCATAATGCGATATGCGTGCGTAGCTGCTGAAGCACTCCATTCAAGACTCATTTGGCTTGAGATCCGCGAGCTCGGTTCGTCCTCACGAGTCAGTTTGAAATTTAAAGTATGCCGAAGCTATTCCAGCAAAGCCAGCGGACCTTCGACTTGGCATTTTGAAACGAATTGCAGAGGTCCAGCATGACCGTGGCCACACGGTCACACGGTGCAGGGACTCTGAGCTTTGCTAAGCTTGGCTGCCGGCCTTTCTGCCAGTCTTTGAGCAATTCACTGAACAGAGTGTTTTTTGTTCTCAGACCTATGCATGCATTGCGGTAGCCTCAAGCGCCTCGCGGCGCCAAGGAGGGCCGCTTGTAACAGCGAGATTTTGTCACCCACAAGAATCGATCTGTGCTTCTCCATGGTTCTACCTGTGGTGCCAAGGTGGCTGTCGCCCATTCTCGGGTACAGCTAAACAAGCTGAAGCCCTGAGATGACGCTGAGTCTATTTCCTGGTTCTCTTGCAACTCAGAACATGAGCTCGACAGTGATGAGAATCGCACCTGTGCCTCTCTGTAATCGGACCCAGCTTATGGGTTTCTTCTACGCGAGCTTCTGCAGAGAAGAATATGAGGAGGACGGAGGTTGCGTTCTGGGCCCCTGCTCGTGAGAAGCCCTCCATGGTGCTACGGCTAGCACCAGCTACTTGCACGGCCATGAACAGCAAGTCGTCCTGTACAAGCTGCGCCTCCGTGCCGGAACGGGTCTTAAAATGCGATGCTGCGCCAGTCGCTTTGAGTCTACATCACGTTGCCGCTTGTGAGGGTTTCGATTCCATGCATCAGAACTGCAGCTTTGGATTCTGTCGATGAGCAGATACACGCAAATGCGTGAGGAAGCGCGAAATCATGCGGAAGCTTTGAACATTCCGCTAAGGCCGCGGAAGAGCAGCTCGAGACCCTGACGCCGACAAGCTACGAAACATGGGTAACTTGAGCAACGCTACACTTGTGGGATTAGCCTGGTCAAGCTGCTCGTTTGCAGTGTGCTAGCGGGAGAGGTGATTTCCATTCATTGAGTCATACTAATATGCAAAAACGACATGCAGTCTCAGAAGCGTCTTAGTCTGTGCAGGTATGGAGCGCTTGCGAAGAGAAAGACTCGCGATTCAATTCATAATTAGTGAGTGGCGGTTCAGTTCAGCTTCAGCTTTGTTGCACACGAGGAGCTGCCAGTCGGGCATGCTTGGGTTTGCGACATGTTCAGCCGAATGAATGCTCATGAGTCGCTGACCGGTTGACCGTGTGGTTTGACATTGTTTTGTAGAATTCTTGTTACTGTCCGCATGAGCGGAGGTTCCTGTTCTGAATTGAAATTTTGCGAGTGACAGATGCTGGGTCACTTCAACTGCTGCATTTCAAGTTCGAGCCAAAACAAACACCATCCACCTGACAACTGCCCCTCTCCCCTGCAAAGTGCACACAAAGTAACTGCCCCTCGGTCGAGGCCCGAGCTTCTGTGAGAGTCACTGGTCGCGGCTTGCAGTAGAGCGGGCTTCTGCAATTTGAATGAGGGACGAAAAGTGTCTGGCATTTCGAAGAGCGACAACGTTTCAAGTACCCTACATGGTATGATGAATGTTGCCTGCCCAGGCTGCGGGCAACTCGGCACTACCTCGGCAACTAGGAACTTTCCGCCGAAGCGTCCTCAGCGGTGAAGGTGCATGCCTTTGATTCGCGTAGCCATGCCCACGAACTGCAACACTCCACGTCGGCTAAGGCCAATCCATCTCCGCTCCCGCACTCAATCCGGACCTGGGACAGGCACGGCACTTGCTAGCACTGCAACTGCAGCCTGCAGCTTTTCCGTAATTGCTGACTCATCCAAACAAAAAGAATCAGAGAAACAGAAGGCGGGACTCTGGCAGCATTTTCTTGGCTAACTGCCTCTGAACGGGACACTATAGAGCCATATTAAGCATCAGAGCATGAATGAAGCCGTTGGACAACAGGATCTGCCCTCTGGTGAGTGAACACGCGTTCTTCGACAGCATGTTGGCAAAATTGCATACAGAAATTGAGTGTTTGCCGCCAGTGGTGCCTCCTCAACCTCAGGACAAAGCTGGGCTAGACTGCTGCAAAGTCTGTGTAAAAACTTCAATTCAAGCGGGCCGAATTGGTTTTGAGGCACACGCAAAGGACAGGTCATCCTGACAACCAAAAACGTGCATTCTGTTCACCTACGCGTCATAAAGATGCAATCTTTCCCCAATTAGCATTTGGCACTGCCGTGCCCCTTGCCCGGCCCAAAGACGGACAGCAGCAGACATCGAGTTGCCCAGCGAAGCTACGAGATGTGGTCAAAGCAGAATTTGACGCCACTGTGTGCCTGCAGTCTGATGTGGCGCGGGGCTAAGCCAGCACACGCCGAGAAGGGGGGGGCCCAAGCTGGTGGTAGTGGATCCTCCACCCAGGTCCTAGTAGACCCAGCATGACCAACCACTGGGCACCAAGCCTCTCGCATTGATTTGGACAGCACACCTGCTCCTCTGCACGTCGAACTCCGAATCTACAACGCAGTTTTTGTGCATGAAACTATATGCCATTGCTCACGTACTGCGCTACGGCGTGGAGTCAACAAGTGACTGGCGCGGCGCTGTCGACGTGAAATAAGCTCCTCCGTTCAACTTCTTACTTTGCTTACTTTGATTTGGTAACGGTTGCTGAACTTTTCACAGGGCAGACCAAAAACCTCCTCCTCTGCAGCCACCGCTGCAGCGACCAGCGCAGCGACCTTTGCATCCGTCATCAACCTTTTTTGTCGAGTATTCTCTTGAAGACACAGCCGGCTTGGTAGCCTAACACGTGCACTCACGAAGCTACACAATGGATTGCACTGAAGACTTAGGCGTTCGCATGGTCTGCGATTGCAACTGAGCGGTTGTGGCTTGACACGGTCGGAGCTCCCATATCCTCACTCCAACGGAATTAACCCGACAAGTAATTCTTTCTGTTGCGACCCGAGGGCACAGAAAGCTTGCTGCGCTCATGTCGAAGTGATATTGAGTTCTTGCGATGCCCCGCGTTTGGACTTCAGGCAGCGCATTCCGAGGATGCCGTGCTCTTAGCTAGAGGCCAACAGATCGTCATTTCAGCTGGACATGATCAAGGCAAATGCTTTCTGTTGACAGCTATGTTGCAGTAGTTCTTCTGCACCGCGGTTCTCGAAGGAAGTCTAGCATTGTGACAGAACGATTTTGCTTGTTGTTCAAGATGCTGAGGAAAGGAAGCAGCATTGGTTCAGCCAGCAAGGGCGGCGAGGGCAACGGCTCTTCAGGCTTTCCGTCTTTCCGAGAATACTTCAAACGGGCATTAAGCGGAGTGCCCTGGCACCGGCTCCGATGAGCGGCTAAGACGTTAGCAAGTTGGCTTTAATCCCGCGGAGTGATTGAGGAACAGTTTTATTTGACATCACCTGGAGATCCCAACTCGTGTGTTCATGAAGGGGCAAGCACTTCAGCAGCTTCCGACAGAGATTGCCGAGAATTGGAGTATGGATATCCCTTTCTCCATGACCGGGTCAGCAGCTGGTGATCTCCATCCCATGTCTACCTAGGCACACAGCCAAAATCGTCCGTCTCAAAGACGGATCCTTGCAAAATCCCCTAGACAGAAACGCCAGATGCCAGGCCCACGCAAGAGCTCCGGAACCACCAACGTGTCCATGACGTGCCTTGGCGAAGAGGGTCACGGCTGGACTTTGAATGGCACTTCGGAGCTTCCACATGCAATGGACTTCTAGAAGAACGCTGTTCAGCCGGTTTGATCGAGCAGAGTCCCAAGTCCAAGTAAGGCATGTCATGAAGTTCCTAGCCGGTGATGCTCTGGCTTCAGCCATCATCGGCCTGGATCTCAGTGTGTAGCGGGAAGCCGTGTTCGGTCGAGGTAGTCTGTTCATTCAAAGTCACCGAAACCGAGCTTCCACTCCCTGCCTGAATTACCCCTCCATCACACCCAAGCTTGAGCGCGGGAGAGATGTGCAAACCAAGGCAAGGGTGGCGCCGTGATCACGCAAATTCGCACGAGCCGCAACCACAGCTGGGAGACGAGACGAGACGGGCTTACGAGATTCAAGTTCCCACCTTGTATCTGATGCAGTCACTGAATGCCGCCGAGAACAGTTGCTCCTTCATTCCCATTCTCCGAATGTCCCAGATTGCAATGCGAAGCTGGCACTGACGGACAAGGGACAGGTGCCGGCCTGGGTTCAGGAGACTATACTGGCAGCATCTTCTTGCGAAGTGTCGTGCAGGATCTGCCCTAGACTAGAAGGTTCGGTGTTCATATGGCAGAAGTTTATGTATGAAGTAATGACGTCCAAGCAATTTGCCTGCTCTGCAACACATCTTGGCACCGAGGTCTTTCCAAGTACCGACTGCCGCGTTCTCACCGCGCAGGCGGCTCGTAGACATGTGAAGGGCCTCAAAAAGTCTCAAAGTCTTCGTTTGATGCACCGGCAGTTGACTCTTTGGATGCAAGGAAACAGGTCGTTCTTGAGCCTTGGGCTGAGTCAGGCCAACTCGGAGGAGGAGTTGAACGAGGAGACCCGGCAGATGAGCAGAGGGAGAGGGACAGAAGTCAGACTGCCAAGAAACGGCGCTCTTCCTGGTTCATCCTGGTGTCAGGTGGCGAGGCAGATCATCGAAAAGCTAAGTGAGCTTGTGAAGACCAGTGGCGCCTCGGAGGCGGCAACTCGCGCATTTGGAAATGGTCTTCACTTCGCATGTGCTTGTGCCCGGAGTGCCGATGTCCTCTCCCTCTGCGTGTGCCCCAGACAGTGACATGTTGTGTTGCGCGGTTGCATTGTTCCACTCGCATCCCGCGCACCGGATGGCAGGCGTGTGGCTCCGATGGGGAGCTGAAGATGAGGACCCTGGTGCGCCCGGAGCAAGTTTGTGTTCATGGCAGTCCTCGACAGTTCGAGATCCTTCGAGTCAACAGAGCCCCCACCAGTCCTAGTCTCCTCGCAGGTAGTCCGAGCCGGGCCGGAGTCAGGCACCACGAAGCCGGAACCCACTCCAAGAGCTGTCTACCAGTCTATCCATCCATCTACCTATCGGCTTAATTATCTACCTGTCTACCTATCGACGCGTCTACATGTGTACCTATGTACCCATGTACCTGTGTACCCATCCACCTATGTATAAAATATGTCTGTCTCTACCTGCCCGACGGTCTGTCTGTCTATCTGTCTGTGTATCTGTTCACTTTAGTATATTCTGCAGGCCCGACACCTCATGACAGCGGTCACAGCTGTCAGGTACCCAAAGCGGCCGTCGGTGGCATCATCGGTGCGGGCCACAAGCGGAGTTGGGAAGAATCTGGTGTTGGTTTGACAAGTCATCGCACTGGCAACAGCTCGATTGGAGCGGTGGCCCCGACTCGCGCACTGTGATTCGGGAATCGTGATTCAATCATCTGTAGTAACTGTAGTATTTCTTAGCCTGCAGTTCAGGGTTTGAGGATGTTTGAGCATTTGGAAGCAATGGGTGTAGGTTTTCGGGCATCGCCAGCTGGCTTCCGTTTGAGGTAGTTACATTACAGGGCTATACAGACGTGGTTGCTGCGAAACCGGTTTGGTGAGCCCAAGTCTACAACGATATTGCTGCTCAGTTGAAGGGTTTGTACGACCTCATAGGCTTCTGCGTTGTTATGAGACATCCTGGTCCGGAGCTCAAACTATTCCCGGACCTCTCAGACAGACGAACAATCGGAATGCCCCCAGTGTGCGAATCGCGCCCGAATCCACAGAGTGGGAGGGAGTGAGCTCGTGACTGTGGCTGACTGCATCCCAAGGCAAGGGCGGGGCGGCCATCAAGCAGATGCGCGAGACCAGCGGCGCGAAGATCAGCATTGGAGGCGGAGCATCGGTCAATCGGTCAGGGAGAGTCGGCAAAGTGCTGATGTCTGGAAACCTAGAAGGATTCGGATTCTGAGTTCTGAGGACGCATTCCCGTTCTGAGGACTTGCCGCTTTTGATGCCGAACACACGTCTCCCGCAAATTTGCTCCCGCTCTCGCTGAGAAGCCGTGGGCGGCACCGGGCCCGGAGCCGAGCAGATGGTCACCGTCGCGGGCCCCGAGGAGGCCGGGAGCCGCAAGCGCGCGTGGAGGGATGCAGGGAGGAGGGGAGGAGGGGAGGAGAGGAGAGGCCGGGGCTTTCGGGGGGGAGAGGCGACTTCTGGGATGCAGAAAGAGTGCGTGCTCCTCCCTGCTGGTTTCAGGCACTGCAAACGGTCATCGCCGAAGTGTCCTGGCCTGTCCTCCCTGACACTTTCCGATGCGGGCTGCTCTACGGGCCGGGATTCTTCAGGCTTGAGCTCTAGTTCTAGTTCCTTTAGTTGGAAGTGAAAGGGCCACAGTCCCAAAGCCTTCCCAAAGCCCCCTGCCGCCCCAAGGCGCCCCCGTTCTTTCCAAGGTGAACCGACAGATCCAGCTGCTCAGCTCGGAAGCATGGCCTTGGGCCCCAGCGTTTGGGCTATGTCCAACCTGCCCTGAGCCCTGCCTGGGCCCCGGCTGCAGGTACAGCACGTGGGCTGCTTCAACAGGATGCATCACACAGGCGCCCGGTTCGGCACTTTTCTGTCGGGTCGACTGGCTCCCCCTCAGATGTCAGGCCATGGCCGGTCTGGCGTCGTCGCTGCAGCTACAGCCTTCACTCCTTGGCTTGGGAGGCAGGTGTCTCGCTACAAGATTCCGAGACTCACAGCTGAGGCAAGGGCTGTCTGAGCTGTAGGCTTGAGGGTCAAGAGCTCTTCGCTCAAGGCTTTCGGGTCATTGCTTCTGCACTCTTGCGGCGCACCTGGCAGGCCAGGCCTTAGCGAACCCGGGAATCGCCACGATGATGCAGGCTGGGCTCAAGTCGTGGCGCCACGGTTCTGGACTTCCGACTGTCCCTAGAAGGTCCGCGGCATCAATAGCTTCGTTTCGAGATTTGTGAAGTCGTGCAGAAGTCTAGCTCGAGCTGTTTCGTGGCAGGTTGCACAGAGCATGCCTCCGTACGTGATGGAGGACAAGGGTGCAAAACCTGCAGCTTAAAGTTTCCTGCCTTGCCTGAACTTGCTTCACCAATCTAATGTTGTCACTCGTGACAATTGCGTTCCTGCCCTTTGGATTCTTCCACCCTCTGCTTGCGAAGGACTCCCGAGGCTTCGCGTTGAGCTGCGTGGTGCCAAACCGCCTAGCCGCTCCGGTCAGAACGGGGCCTTGTTGAGAATGTAACTTCGCGATTGTGTGCCTTTGTAGTTTCTGTTGCCTAACAGGTAGCTGCACAAAAACTTCAACAAGGCTTCTAGGGTGCGTGATGGCGGTTCCTTCGAAAAAGAGGAGCCTCGAGTGCTCGGCAAGGAAGCTTCGATCCCAGGTTGGTGGGCTGATTGGGCGCGGGGGCTCCGGGACCAAAGAGGCCTTGCAGGGAGAGTTTCTGCGTGGGGTCTCAGTGCTTGTGCTTTGGCTTCGGGGATCTCCAACGTTAGAAGATGGAAGCATGTCATGTGATTCATGTGGATGTGGGTCGGCAGGCGCGGTTTGTGCTGGATCACCTTTGAAGGCTCAACCCAAATTCTCACCACAGATCAATTTCGGTGTTACTGGAAGATAATTTGGGGCAGTTTCAGGCCGCTGCTTTTCCGAGGCTATTTGGGGCTACTTGTCACAGCTACGTTCTCGCATCAAGCAGAGTGCTGTCCGCATTGGTAGCAATGCCGCAGGTGCAGATGCTGACCGGTACCAAGATTGGAATCCGAGAAATCCCGGACGACCCGGACAATCGCTCGCTCAATATAGCCACTAGGCTGATATTCCGAGATATTCGGCTGCCCTTCTGAACTTGTGTACCGGTAGCTGAAAGATATTTGCTGTGGGCTGGTAGCTAGATTCAGCTCGATTCCTCTCGGAGTGGCAGCTCTGGCCAGGCCGTTGCCGAAGATGTCTCTATTGTAGAGCCCGTTTCATGATCCTCGCGCCATGACCTTTCAAGCCTGCTGACAGCCTCAGCACACCAAGCAACAATGACTCCACAGAGCGGGATGCAAGGCTGGCCCCTTGGCCAATACGCCGGGCGGCCCAAAGATGCAGCTTCAGTTCGTGGAGGGGATCTTGGGGATTTGCTCAATTTGGGTTTGAGTGACGGCACGGACGTGAGGACTCATCGAAGCTGTGCAGTGCCTCCCAAAATGTTCGATTGCTGAAAGGTGCGCGGCCTACATGCTGATGATGAAGCGCTACCTGGACTCGGAGGCGAGCCCAGGTGTCTCATTAAGCCTTTGCCGGGTTGGTGTTCCTCCAAAACAGGCCTTGGGCTTATTCTGCCGGACTGTTGTGTGTTTGTGCACGGGAACCTGGGCAAACGAAACCCAAGCCCTTCCCACCTGTTCTACCAGGCACAAAGCAGTGCGGCCAACACCACTGCTACAAAGGGCAGCTCGAGGTTCTCGCAGCGCTGCGAGCTTCGGTTTCGGGAGCTGAGATGAGCGGCGATGCAAGGTTGGATTCTAGGAGCCTGCGTTTGTTTGGCAGGTGAACTTCACGGTGCTGGACGTGCTCGTGTGAAGCACCTGTGGAGCCCTGACGCAAAAAATATGGTGCCAATGTGCACGTAGTTAGGTAGAAGTTTCAGTCACCCCGGGTCCAACTAGTTGCAGCTTGTTTCTCCAGGACGAGACCAGATAACCTATGGTTGTCTAAGGGATTCAGGGTTCGTGGCGCCTTATTGAGTCATGCGTCGTGCGGCGTTGCACGAAGAAATGCTCGCTGTCCCAAGTGCCGCGGCTTTTCATGCAACGGCAGCCCGGAGGGTCAGGACTGGGGTTACGAGAGACTCAAGGAACCGGGTCAGGCCTTCTTTGCTTTCGCTCGGAATCATCCGCGCCAACCTTTACTCCAGTGTCGTGTGGTATGATGTCGTATGTTTGTGTCTGCAAGGTTCGATTTTCAGAGTCTGCGGCACATCAGGTCTGTCTAGCTGCTAGCTTCCTGCTCCATGGTTCTGTTTCCCCAGCGACACACTGGCCCTTGCCGATCATGTCGCAGTCCCATCCTTGAACTGGTCATCGATGCCATGGCATAATGCGCGGGGGCCGTGCCACAAGGCGTCGTCTCCAGCGATTGACAGAAGTGACACCCGTCTCTTGTTGCACCATGCGGTGTGCTGGCCACTGTTGCAAGGCCGAGATGTGCAAGAGGAGACTTCTTCAAGTGATAACGTGCAACCTTCGTCTGTGAGTCTGCATGACAACTTCAGAAACCAACCACCTTGCGAGGCGGCCTGTTGCAAAGAGCGGCCCCGCTGCAAGGACCGAGAGAGAGAGAGAGAGAGAGAGAGAGAGAGAGAGAGCTTCTTCGGAACATATGTCGGAAAACCAGAGACGATTGTAAGTTCAACCTTTCCTAGCGGTCCTAGCCAGTCCTGGTCAGCCGGTTGCTACGCCCACGTGTCGAAATTTAACCATGCATCGCGCTTTCATGAAGATGCGGGCATGCCGGTCCACCGAGAAGGTTGTCAATTCCGATGACGAGTCGTAGCAGCACCACACGCACAGCGCCTTCCCTTCGACCGAACACGCGAGGGAGCGAGCACGAAACGTCACGAAACCACGCGCCATTTTCGGGGGCGCTAGCTCTGCCCACTGCGCTAAAGCAGATTAAAGTAAACTGTAGTACAAGTTAGGAGACAATCACACATTGCGCCATCCACCACCACGACTCCACATCCTGCGGTCCAGCATCGTGACAACCATCTTGATCGCAAACCATCCTGCCTAAACCACTGTCAGATGGCGTTGATTTCACTGTTCTTCTCGAACCGGCCGGCCTTATGTTGGCCTTGAGATGTTGGGACCCGGCGTGTCCCGGTCCATTGCAAATTCCAACGCAGTGGTTTGCTGTTGGCCTTGAAATTACAACCCTCTCGCACAGCTGCGCGTGTGTCTCTTTCAACGCAGTACTTTTTCCCCCATCCATGTTTTGGGAGTGACAGGGCCGGTGGAGAGTTGTGCAGAGTGGTGAGCCTGCAGGAGCCCTGACGAGCAGCGCCGACTCGAGGACTTTCCTCGAAGATCTGCTCTGCTTCAGAGAGCGCGTGAACTCGTGGTGAGGAGCTGTCAGCCACTCTTCCAGCCCTCCAGGCCTTCGCGACAGTTTCGCTAGCGTACGAAGGCATGCGAAGACATGCAAACATGGCGCAAGCCGCATGCCATGGCCAGCCATAAGACCAATTAAGGATCTGAACTGACCTGGTGAAAAGCAAGCACTGAAGTCCTTCCTGTCCTGGCTGCCACCTGTGTCGAGGCAGCGCTGGCAGAGCTGCGCGAAGCCAAGGTGCCACTCCAGCGGAGGGTGGCCGAGGCGGCAAGACATGGCATGGGAACATATTGGATGTTTGAAGCTCAGCTTTATAAGGTTTCGTCTGCTGAGCTTCGTCTGCTTTTGCGCAGCCATGCGCAGCCTCACACTCACGTGAACGCAAACTTTTCGGGCATTGCCACAGGCCAAACAGGCCGGCACGCGCTACGACCGCGCTTGGGCCTCGGTTTGCGAGCGTTTTTTTGCCAGGGCATGCCGGGGCGTGCGAGTCGAGGCACCAACAACAACAGCAATGAATGCTTCAAGAGCGCAATGAGACAGCACTAGTCACACCAAAGCATAAACCTACAGCTGACACTGCAACGACAAGAGCAGGCACCATACTCTGACGGGAAGTACATCAACGCCCCTGCTAGCCGACAAAACAGCAACGAGCACAAGGTCAATTCATGGTCAGTCATGGTAGTGGTAAGTCTGCAAGAAGAAGCTGGCTGACCCGGTAAGAATTCAACCGATAACATACGATCATCACATGATCGCGACGCACGGCACCAGCAAGGCTTGCAACCATGGTCCATGGTAGCATGACAGATGGCCTTACTCATCGCGACGGCATATAGGTTACCGATATACAAGTCTTACGAGAAGTAACCCACATGACCAGTTGCTCAACTCGTAGCGGCGAAAAACCGCGGGAAACAACGATGAGGACGCACCTTCCAAGCATCTTCATCTCGAAGGTGAGCATGCATTTCACGGGCGGGAACACATAGTTGTAACTTGTAATGTATGCATAGCACGGGGTAATTCATCTCAAGCTGATGCTGGTTTGCATATTCATCGTTCACTCGGATCAGTCACGTCATTTTTTCATCAGCAGTCTTCTTTCGTCATTGAAGCACTGGCACGCTATATCATCCGCTTCGGCTTTGTCGCTCGAGTGGGTGCCTCTAGGGATTTGAGCCCGATCATGTTTAAGTCTTAGAATTCTTAGATCATGTGCACCTATTCCGAGAGCCGCGAGGCATGTGCCCTGGAAACTCGCTTAGCCCTGCTGGAGAACGTCCAGGCGCTTGGAGTTTGATGGTCTCGTGAGTTGCAGCGAGAGAGTTCTTGTACACCGTACATCCGACAAACTTCAGACTTGCAGTCATTCACATTCATAACTTCCATAACGCTTCCAGAAGAGCTACAGTATCGCTCGAGTCACGCATGTTGCACCTGTTTTGGAGAACAGCATTGAGTCCCCAAATATTGTAAAGACAGCAGTAGCAGTAGCACGCTGCCGGTCGAAGATGCAACTAGCTCCGTGTTCTGTGTCGTCAGGGACCCCGCAGTTGGTTTTCATGGTACAACCGTTGACTGAGCACCGTGAAGCTTGCTTTGTTGCCGAGCGGCCGCTCGGGGTTGCATCGTTTCCGTGCAGCTCGTGTGGTCACATTCGTGCAAGGCTCAATTATCCATGTAGTTGCAGAACTCAGACTTGCAGCCAGCATTTTTGGGAATGAAGCGTAAGCCCCCCCAGCCCCCCATCCGCAGGTGAGAGAGGTCGAGTGGACCATCTCCGACTACTCGGCTCTCCTGGAGCCACTGAGCTTCCGAAAGTTCAGTGCAGATCGGCTCGCCCGGTGAGGGACTTCAGAAAGTGTTGTCTTTTCATGCGAGGCCTGCGGGCTCAGGATGCAACACTAACGCAGGGTTTGGGAGATGAATATGTCAGACATGACCTAAATGGAAGACTCGAAGACTGAGGAATTGCCCCAAGGGCCAGTGCATCACATCTCCCACTTTTGCGGCGGGAGGCGTTCCGAACATGCAGTCGGCATCTGAGCTTTTCTTTCCCTTCGATAGACAGTACAGGGCAAAGAAGGCCGCAGTTGCGACTTAGCCCGTCACGTCGGTGTCATTGGATTTGCCGGTGTTCGATCACTCCCGATCAACGTCGCAAACAATCGAACGTGCAATTGATGGAAGTCATCGAAGGTGCTGAAACAGCCCAAGTGTAATCTAGTCGGTTCAAGTTCGACTCACACAATTCATATCAACCTTGCCCGCGCATTCATGCTGCGAGCTCGGTCGCCTGCAATGGCTCCGACTTCCCTCGCCGCGGATGGATAAGTCGACGGAGAACCTCTCATCTCTGTCCAGGGAGCTGCTGAGGACCGTGCATGGAGGAACATTAGCTCCACAACATCAACGGCCGCTTTGAGAAGATGTGGTGCGTCATGCTGTCCAGATCTTCTGCTGAGCTTGTGTGCCAGGACGCACCTGGATGGCTTGGATTCCTTCCTGACCAGTGCGCGACAGATCCAGGCATAGCTGCGCACAGTGCACGAGAATCGAGGATACCAGGTAACTTGATCGCTCAGGGAAGGCCGCTGAAAGGTGCAGGTACTGCGGTTTCAAAAGGCCACCACTGTGAGCCCCACCAGGCTTGGCTTGAGCATGGAGAGGTTGTGCACTCGGCGATTACTTTTCAGCCGGGTCGTATCTTTCAAGACACGCATATAGAGCCTAAGCCACACACACACACACATTGCTTTTCTTGACTGCAGATCTTGCCGTATCTGTTTCATAGCGATTGCAGGCGACCATAGAACGCAGCAGGCGCCGCACACAGGTATACTGTCAAGACATGTCAGCCTTTCATCAAACGCAAGACACACGGCCACGAAGGGACATCTGAGATTTTCATCGCCATTGCTGCCAGTTGCCGTCGCTGCCGTCTCTGCCCCCGGAGGAGGCAATTCGCAGCTTGCAGTTCGACCATCTGTATTCCTTTGCCAACTTCTGCGTTTCAGGTGAGCGTGGAAGTGGCAGATCCTCAAGATACTGTGGCATCCACCACAGCTGAGCTTCAGAAGGCTGCTTCGAAGATGCTTGCTGTCTGGGCATGTTTAGGCGAGGAGAGGAGGTACTCGGCACCCAATCAGCAGGCTCTCGCATGTCGGGGCAGGACAGGCAGTTTATCGTGCACTAATTCTCACACACAGGCAGGGAGACATCATTCCTCAAAAGACCCAGATTCTCGAACCCTCCACCACATGTGCGAACACAAGCAGCCTCTTGCAAGGCACAGCTCCAAGAAGTTCGCTCCCTGTTGGCCGACCTGCACGCAGCTCAGTTTTGGATCTTCGTTTCAGGTTTCGGCCCGGGCAATGAGCCATCGGAGCCTTCCGAAGTTCCGGGTTTCTGCAGTGCGCCTTGAAGTAAATGCCACCCTGGAGGCTGCTCGAGTCAAATTGGGGAACAGAGTGCCTGAGAATCCACCAGCATCCAGCATCCACCAGCCGCCTTCAGGCAAGAGGCTGCGGTGACAGAGAGGCTCAGGGGCGGAAGGGAGACGGCACGGGAGCCTTCAATGTAGATTCTTTAATGCACGTGCCTGCTGCGCTCGATGGTTTGAAACGGACCAAAAATGAGGCCCACCAACTATTCGCAGACACTTTTGCGGGTTACGGGGTTTTGAGGGACGTTGCATTTCAGGCGCGTCTGGTTTCAGGGCTAAGAATCTAAGATCTCGAAACCTGGCCGCAGCGTTCGAGGCAGCAGTTCCGCCAGCGCCCGTTGGAACTTGGCTTAGGAGAGGCCCGGCGCCAGGAGTAGCTGCGACAGCTCCTTCACCGCTGGTAACTGTAACTGTAGCTGGTAGCCTTGTAATAATAAGAAATGTAACACGGCCACAATCTAGAGAAAACATCTGGGACCCTGCAGTGGGTCTTCAGTTGAGAACCGCTGCGAAGGGATAAGTCTGGATCTTTAAATCTGCAAAACATGCAGAGGACGAGCTTCTGCTGTTCCTGGGCCGTGAGCGGACCAAGGCATCTCTGCCAACGGCGTCCGGCGGTGTCGTCTCAACGAACCGAAATTATTCCTTACAGTTATTCAGTGCTACTACGACAAAGTAGTCAATCACGGCCTTGGGGCTTGGCTGCATTCTCCGCTGTGCATCTGCGGGATCGCAGTGTGAGGGTTGTGAGTTCAAGCAGTAGCTGAACAGCGCAACTCGGGAATTTTGAGTACGGCTGACTGCCCCGACGAATCTGCTGTCCCGCAGTCATGAGCCTTGCGTAGCGTCACAGGAGGCCCGGCGTACGGGGGACTTGCACGGCGGCTCTACTTCTGCCAGCGCACAGCGTTCCGAGGCACGACAACAAGAACCCTCCCTGACCTTGACTTGGGCTGGACGTACAAATCCAACGCTGTGAAAAGTGCTGGAAAGTGAAGATTGTGCTGCAGCTGAGGGGCCGCTAGCACAACTTTACCACCAAACTTATTTACAAGAGTTTCGTCTTTCAGGGGCATGACGAGGTATGGTTGCTTTTCAGTTTCAAGCCTGTTATCGTGGCTCAGTAATCAAGCCCGTTGCTTCTGTATTCGATGCCCGGATGCCATTGCAAGGCCACCGCGAGCGCCTTACTCGCTGCGCGACATGCTGCGGTGCAGCGACGCCTAGCTCTCGAGCAGCTGAGGAGACGCAGTCGAGGGAAAAAGGGCTCGGCGGCTCCTCAGCTGACTCTGAAAGATCCGCTCTACGCTCTTCGATCCGCTCTTCGAGGTTTCAGGTCCAGAATTGCCCCTCAATTGGAACCGACCCTCGCTGTCCTTTTCCTCTCATTCTTTCAGATTCGTGTAGCCACCGTCTGTGAGTCTCTTGGCCCCCCGTGCAAGGAGTGAGCAGCTGCAGCCCGGATGAAAAGCATGGCTCCGAACGAGGTTATCAGGGCCTGTGCGTGCGTGTGTGTGTGTGTGTGTGTGTGTGTGTGTGTGTATGTATGCAGACAGACATGGTCTGTTGCTCGCTAGTTATCCAGCTGGCTTGGAAAGTGTTCATTGTTAGCTCCCGTCTGTGCCGGGATTGGTCTTTGATGAGTTATAGCTAGCCGTCCGTGTACAAGAAGTATGAGAAGACTTCTTGACTTCTGGTTGTAGTTACCTGCCCAGACTTGACACCTTCGTCGGCATCTCAGCCGAGGCACTCTGCCGAAGAATTCGGCCAGCTGAGGGACCACCTGGAAGCCTTGAAGCGCGATGCAGCGCCTCGTCGAGTTCTAGATTCTCATTGTCCGGCCGGTTGCAGCATACCGGTTTTCAGCTGGAATGAGGAGCAAGGCTTCTGGTTCCTCGACCATCAACCTTTGTGGCACAAACAGCACCACTGCAATAGAAATCGTAGAGTCTGCAGAGCCCTAAGGTGAAGGCCGCCCAGCTTGCTCCGCACACAGCCACAGATCTGGCATTGTGCCTGGGCAGTGGAACCGCGTGCTTTTGCTTGCCCTTCCCCTTTATGTCTGTGCCTCTGTCTATCACGACCCTGCACAGATTTCTTGGTATCACGGCTATCGGACCATCATCCTCGAGAACCTTGGGGTGCTGGGGGTCAGTTCAGTGCTGCTTGATGTTGACTTTCTGCATGGAAGAATGATGAAGCAGCGCTGATGTCTGAGAGCTTCCCAGCGAATCATCTGTGAGTGTGTAGGTACCCCGGATGTGATCAGGCCTCGCTTTCCACGGAGCTAAGGTCCTTTGCTGGTGCTTTGGTCCGACGCAAGGAGCTGCTGAAGAAACTCGGGGAGGTGGCTCGGAGACGTGGCTGTGTGTTTTTTTTGTTTTTTTTGCCAAGGGCCGGATTAGCAGGTAGCTGGCTGCGGGAGATGACAAGAACAGCAGAACTGCAGAGAAGACAAGGCCACATGGGCTCGCCAGGAGCTGCTGCCTGGGCCCCAGAAGACGAAAGTGCGAGCCTTGAGCGGAACCCGCCGGCCTGAGCCAAGCGTTGCGCCCGCACACGTCTGAGCCCCTCGCTTTGGCCCCCAGGCGAGCAGCCCACCGCCGCGAGCAGCTCCTGATTCTCGGCGTCGTGCAACATTACTTCCGCTCTCTCTTCACTGAAAAGCCATGCACACAGCCGGGGCTATAAATCCAGAAGTTTTGGAAGAGAGGAATTCCACTGAGAATCGCTCGCAACAGATCAAGATTATCAATTCCTTGCAGACCTTCGCCTAAGACCCTCCATCCAAAACCTTGATAGCAACTCCGAGCCGCCCCCACTCGTACAGCCTCCGTGGCAAAGGAGCTCTGCCCTTGCAGAGCCTTTGAGAGCGGAGCTGACGGACTCGGGCCAAGTGACCGTCTGGGCGCCCGGAGTGTCCCTTTTTTGTTCCGTCTCGCTTCCCTAAGAGAGCTGTCCACCTTCTTGAGGCCACGGCTGCGCCTGCGGCCGTCTTGGCCATAGCAGAAACCTTGGATGCGACTTTTGGCAGCAACAACCTTGCAAGTATGCATTACATCACCTAGTGTCATCTAGTGCAATCAGTGATGGGGCACATGCCGAGCATCTCCCAGCTAGGCGCTAGGCCCCGACGGATCATGTCGAGGTTTGGCTATTCCTCGAGCCAATCTTTGGCGGGCCGTGTGCGGAATCTGGCTGACCGGAACGTTGAGCTCTGGAAGGAGTCTGCACGTAGATCCTGCAATAGTGCTATGCTTGTCATCACAGCCCGAAGCAGGCTTGCACTCCTGAAAGAGCTCGTGAGCAAAGGGTTCCGGTCAGTCTGCCAGGAGTTGTCAGCGGCTTGGTCTGGAAGCGAGGGCGAGGTGGGGCAGAGCTGCTGCAAGGTCCTGTTTCGGCATTTCGGCAGGCTAAATGCCAGAAGCCGGAATTTTTGATGTCTGGCAATCTTCACCGCTACTTACAAGGCAGCGTTGAGACGAAAAGCATTAAGACAGGACCACAGTATGGTGCCGTAGAAGTTCCAATCCAGGCCACGAGCACCAGAGTAAGCGCTATGTGGCTTGTACTGCAACCCAACTCCAAC